GCCAGGGCTGACGTGTTCCCGGCCACATCCAGTCAGGAGCAAAGGAGACATCAACTGGCTTTTGGGTGCTGGACCAATTGGGAGTGAGGGAGGGAAGCCCTCCAAAAGGTCTTGGCCCTTAGGAGACTACAGATTTTTACATCAAGAGGAGTAGAGGCACTCTCACCACTTTTAAAGCCACCCTCTACTACACAAGGCCTGAGGCTGCACAATGGCCACCACTACCCCTTCTTTAGACCAGGGGCTACCATTTTGTATTTGGGATACGTCCCTATTTTTGTGGGTCTTGGGAAATCAATGTAGTCATAAACCTTACAGGAAATCATGGGTTGATGTGGATGAAAATTGGGGGGGGGGGGGGGTCTATGGCCTTGACATGTCATGAAATAATGCAGGGAAGAGCCCAGAGGACATTATTTTCCATTTCAAATCCCTCCAAGTTTGGCCACATTTCCTCCCATGTTTTGTCTTACTACTTTCAATCCAAAAGCACAAAAGCTGTGAAGCTGGCCCAGCTGATCATGTATGGGAAAAACAAAAGATTGTACAAAAATTTATGTTCTACTTATATCATATATGTCAGCTTCTTTGAGTGGCTTACTGTGAACTGTCATCTGGACTGAATAAACTCCTTGGTGGCTTCTTCTTCCACTGGTGAGATGTATTTCATTGGGGAACATTGGGTCATAGCTTTTTGTCTTGCCAAGCATGGACTCTCAGCGATTCACAGCCATATTTCATTATCCGTCTATTGGATCTCAATATCCACACATTAGGTCTTGCTATCCACAGTCTGGTTCTCAATATCCACAACCACATTAAATTGCTCAATTTCATTCCCCTTGAGGATTTTAGGCGGTTCTATGTTCTTTTTCAGTATAATCTCTGCCACTCCTTCCTCCTTCTGACTATCAGTCACTAGTGTTGTGGGGTTTTCAAAGCCATGTTAAGGGACAGCTTAAATTTGAAATGGGCAAGCAGCTTTTAGCAAGTTTGTGTTCTATCTAAATACCACATTTATTTAGTTAGTCATATATTTCTCTGTAAAATTAACACAATATATAAATAACATGAAGCTCACATTTCTACCTCTATAAAAGGCCCACACCCAAACCTCCAGGCTCCCCTGCCCCACCCCATCTTGTTTGGTCCCTATAAAAGGGAAATCTTTGCAACCATCATATAGGGGATGTCCCTTATAATAAATAAACCAAATGGGTTCTGCTTCTCTTCCTCTTGCTTAGTTTAATAAATAAGTGACAGCAACCAGCTTTGTAAGGGATAAACTTTCTAGTCCCCAAAGGAGGGGCATCCCTCATAACAATATGTGCTTACCAACTGTAGTTCCCCACTGGGCAGGATGAGCCCTTATTGGGTTGTTTGGACATCCACCACCATCTCCCATTCCAGCTTGCTTTGTTTCTAAATATATTTCCTACTAGCTGTACCCGCCATGTGTTGCTGTGGCCAGCCTTCCCTCCCTCCCTCTTTCTCTTCTTCTTTCTTTCTCTCCCTCCTTCCCTTTTTTTTTCTTTCTTTCTCTCCCTTCCTTCCTCCCTCCCTTCTCCACCTCTTTCCTTCCTTCCCCTCCCCTTTTCTTTCTCTCCTTTCTTTCTTCTCTACCTATTCTTGGACTGGAACTCCAGCCACGAAAGCCTCCGACAACACAGTGATGCCACTGTTCCCATTCAATGACTTCTTGGGTCCAAGCCTGCTTAGTTTCAGCAAGACTTCGTCAGGTTAATTCTTTCTCCCAAATCTGGAGAGGTGGGATTTCATGCATTATTTCAGCATAGTTTCCACGTTGTGGCAATGGATGACGTTCAATGTACATAATTGCTAAGTTTCACTGCAACGTTCTCTGTGATTTCATCACCATGGAAAGTATGAATTATTTAGCATGGCAATTCCTGATCAGAGCATCAAGGGATATTGTAATGCTGCAAGAAAATACTTAGGGTAGCAGGAAATCAGTTGTTTTTATAATGATATGAACCTTAAGTATCTATGACTTTTGGTTTGCCTTCTTCAGATAAATGAGGTTTCAGCTGAGATTAAATTTAGACTCTTTCATACTACAAAGGTAACTAACATATATCACCTCTAGTTTTAGGTCTAGTTTGTACTCAATCACTTAATAAAAGTAAACAGTGAATGTTCCACTAGGCCTAAGTATCTCAGCAGTTCTGAAGTTTGAAGAACACAAAATGTTTTGCTTCCTTACAAGATGTTTTTTTTACTTTCCAGGGCTTGATTTGAGGCTGGATATACACTGTCCTATAATCCAGTTTCAGAATGTAGATTAACTGCATTGATCTGTATTATAGGGTGGTGTAGATTGATATAATTCAGTTCAATGCTGTTAACCTACATTCTGACACCAGATTATAGGGCAGTGTATAGCTCCCTTTGGCACAATGGGTTAAACCCTTGTGCCAGCAGCACTTAAGACTGACAGATTGGAGGTTCAAATCCGGGGAGAGCACAGATGAGCTCCCTCTGTCAGCTCCAGCTCCCCATGCAGGGACACGAGAGAAGCCTCCCACAAGGATGGTAAAACATGGAAACACCCGGGCATCCCTTGGGCAACATCCTTGCAGATGGTAAATTCTCTCACACCAGAAGCGACTTGCAGTTTCTCAAGTCACTCCTGACACACAAAAGGGTCGGGGGGGGGGCAGTGTAGATGCACAGATCACTTACTCTTTTAAACCAGTGGTTCTCAACCTGGGGTCTCCAGATGTTTTTGGCCTTCAACTCCCAGAAATCTTAACAGCTGGTAAACTGGCTGGGATTTCTGGGAGTTGTAGGCCAAAAACATCTGGGGACCCCAGATAGAGAACCACTGTTTTAAACTTTTCTCTGAGCTACCATCAGGATTTAGGAAATCTCTTTTTACAGGCTGTACCTGGCCATGATGACTGAGGCATTCAAAAATTTGTGGTAAAAAGCAAAGGCCAGCAGTTTTCCAAACACTGGGTAGCCTTGGCTTCTCTTTTACTTTCCCCTTGTCCAGCACCATAAGAGAATGTAAAACTTAAAAGATCAGATTTAGTCCAGCATCTTCTTTTTCATAGCAGTTTGTTTCTTTATCAGTTCAGCAAACTACTGTCCCATCCTTTCACTGTCCTATTCTGTTCAGTGTATTGTGTAGTGCATGAAAGGTTGTTTTTGTTACCACCCGCTGAGTAATCTTTCATAGAATTTAAGATTACTCAGTGGGTGGTAACAAAAACAAAGAAAGAAAAATGACATTTTGGCCACTCTCATAATCATATATACAGTTAGAGCCTCCAGTGGTGTAATGGGTTAAACCCTTGTGCTGGCAGGACTGCTGACCAAAAGGTCAGTGATTCAAATCCAGGGAGCGGAGTGAACTCCTATCTGTCAGCTCCAGCTTCTCATGTGGGGACATGAGAGAAGCCTCCCACAGGATGGTAAAAGCATCTGGGTGTCCTCTGGACAATGTCCTTGCAAACGGCCGATTCTCTCACACCAGAAGCAACTTGTAGTTTCTCAAGTCGTTCCACACACCCACGCACATCAACATGATCTTTTATCTATAGACATATATTTCCAGGTTGCCAACATGTGCTTTGAACAGCCTGTGTTCAGAATTCCTGATGAGAAGCATTTTTTCTTTCTGCCAATCAATGACATTCTATTCTAGTGCTATCTCCTTTTCAATAAGTTCTCATTAAGATTTGGAAAAGATTAGAAGGCTGTGGCCCTTGACTGTGAAATTCCATCTGAGACAGATAGGAGAGCCTGTTGACCCATTAGAAAATTATGTTTAAAACGCAATGAGATAATTGTGCCGTGTGGCTACTGGGCTAATGTTTGGTGTTTCATCTCCTGCCTCAATGCCTTTGGTATCCGCTAGAGAAGGCATGGGAAAACTTCAGCCCTCCAGGTGTTTTGGACTTAAACTCCCATCATTCCTAACAACTGGCTGTTAGGAATTATGGGAGTTGAAGTCCAAAACACCTGGGGGACCAAAGTTTGCCAATGCCTGTGCTAGAACTTGGTTCCAGGACACCCCTCCCCTGTGGACACAACATCCATGGATGCTCAAGTCCCATTATATACCATGGTGTAGTAAAAGGGTTTTCTTATATAAAATGACAAAATCAAGGTCTGCTTTTCAGATTTTGAAAAAAAACAAACATTTTAAGCTGTTGATGGATGGAGCCACGGATGCAGAATCCTTGGATATGAATAGCTGATCATAGTTTAATAATGCAAACTTGAACATGCCTGCTAAGAATGAAGCCTCACTTTGTTCAGTAAGTCTTACTCTTGGGTAAGTGCACATAGGATTCCAGCTAAGGGTATTGAAATCCAAGAGGCAATTAAAATATGAATTGAGTATATGAGAGGATAATTGTTGGGGGATCTCAATAGGTTATCGGCACCTTGTTAGAATAGGAAGAGTCAATTGGAGTTTGGGAAAGTTACTTTTTGTACTACCACTCTCAAAATGGAAGTTGCATTCCAACCAACCCCGTTTCTAAATTCTGGGTTCAGAAAAAAAAGGGCAAGGGAGGTCAACTTCCTGACTACCAGTTTCTAGACCATCTTCTGGCCTGAGTTTGACATGAGGCATGAAACAACACTTTGGGATTTTTACAGGTAGGGAGAGGAAAGGGAGATTTGTGACTTATCCAACACCCTTTTTGGAGCTGCCAGTTTTCTAACTTGGGAAACCATTAGGCAAATGAGCTTGACTCTGAGGTTACCCTCAACAATTACCTTGGAGAGCCCAAGAATGTGTGTCATTTCTGCTTTTACAGTGGATGTCAGAGAGAATGGAGATTTGATGGCTGGACTTAGAGGTAACCTCCTGACATCACTGCTACTAAGTCCCACCTCCCACCTGTCAACCCAGGGGGGAAATCCCCACTCTTCCCCTTAGTCACCTGTGGCAGCAGCACTAGCACAATAAATAGGGCTCTGGTTCCTCAATGTCCCAGTCTCAAACTAAGTCCAACACCATTGCCTGAGTGTGAGTCCCTTACACAAAATGAACAACCTGAGGAACATCATTGGAGGCTTCCTCCTATGCCTCCTGCTGCTCTCTGAAGCTTCTACAGGGATGAGGTTGCCCAGAGAGACTAAAGCTGATTGGGAGCGTGGCAAAGATGCTTCATATGAGATCCTCAAGCAGTTGGAGAAGCTGGATATCAAAAAGCCACCGGTGAGTAGAAACAGAATCTGGCATCTTCTTCACTGAATGAAAGTGGCCCAAAGTGGCCAGCAGCATGGGTCTTCTTGGAGTAGGGAGAACAAGGGGAAGCCTGGGGTTCTGTATCTCCAGAAATGTATCTCCGCTAGCAATTCAATGCTACTTGAGTTGCTCCATCCTATAGAGTACTGGAATTTGAAGTTTGTTGTTGAGGTACTTGAAATTCTCTGCTGGAGATAGGCTTTGGGTCAACCTTTATCTTAAATTATTGCATTTGCTGGCATTGTACCCAATGGCTGATAATCCCTCATAGCAGGATGACTTGGAAGGAAAGGGTAGTTCAAGGTTAGAGTGCATTGATTTCAATATAACCAGGCTCAACTTGATGTTTGGCATCTTCCAGTCCTGTCTTTATGCCTGGAGAGCCACTGCCAGTCAGGCAGCATAGACAATACAGAGGTCCAGATTAGAACACATACCAGTCACACAATTCATGAATACAGAAATGCCTATTTAAAAAGTAATGTATGGTCATCAGAGGTGTCCATACTTGTGTATCACTAAATTGGGATTACAAGTCTGAAGGAATGATGTGTTAAAAGACCACTGCTCCACACTTCAGGGTCCCCATTCAGATCAGGAGGTGGTCACAATGCAATTTTAAAAGTGTTACTGTGTTCCTATTTTGTTAGGTTTGCTTTGTGCTAATGATTTGTTTTGAAGACTGAGTGGTAATTTGGTTAATGAATTCTGCCATATGGCAAGTAAATTGGTAAATGAAGCAAGAAAGACAGAGTAACTCTTGAATCAAGTTCTTTATACCACTCAGTTGTCCTTAACCATATGGATGAATGGTTAAACCACAGCTAAAGTGTTACCTTTAAAAAGGAATGCCTTTCTATTATGATGCGTTAATAGTGTGATGAAATAATTTTTACATTAGTTATTAAAATGAGAATCACCACAGTGCAGTGGTTTGAGCATTTCCATGCTTCTGCATGGAAATCCACTGAGTTATCTTAGGCAAGTCTAAACCTCTCAGAAGAAGGCTAGGGCAAACTGAACAAATCTTGCCAAGAGATAGGTTTGCCTTGGGGTTGCAATCAATCAGATTATGTTTGATTATATGATTCATAGTTTCCTTTTTTCATATCTGAAAGGAATGCTCCTTCTTAGGATGGCTCTTCTTAATGCAGTGTTTCTCAACCTGGGGGTTGGGATTCCTGGGAGGGTCACAAGGGGGTGTCAGAGAGGTTGTTAAAGGCCATCAGAAAATACAGTATTTTCTGTTGGTCATAGGTGTTATGTGTGGGAAGTTTGGCCCAATTCTATCATTGGTGAGGTTCAGAATGCTCTTTGATTGTAGGTGAACTATAAGTCCCAGCAACTACAACTCCCAAATGTCAAGGTCTATTTTCCCCCAACTCCACCAGTGTTCACATTTGAATATATTGAGTATTTGTGTCAAGTTTGGTCCAGATCCATCATTGTTTGAGTCCACTGTACTCTCTGGATGTAGGTGAACTACAACTCCAGAACTCAAGGTCAAGGCCCACCAAACCCTTCCAGTGTCTTCTGTTGTTCATGGGAGTTCCATGTGCCAAGTTTGGTTCAATTCCATCTTTGGTGGGGTTCAGAATGCTCTTTGATTCCAGATGAACTATAAATCTCAGCAAGTTCAACTCCCAAATGACAAAATCAATCCCCCCCCTCCCCATTCCACAGCATTCAAATTTGGGTGTATCGGGTATTTGTGCTGAATTTGGTCCAGTGAATGAAAATACATCCTGCATATCAGATATTTACATTACGATTCATAACAGTAGCAAAATTACAAACATGAAATAGCAACAAAAATAATGTTATGGTTGGGGGCTACCACAACCTGAGGATCTGCATTAAGGGATTATGGCATTTGGAAGGTTCAGAATCACTGTCTTTGTGTCTCACCAACACGGTCAATACACCGTGCAAGGACACAGGAAGGAGCAGTAGCTCCCCATTTTTGCCATGTAATCGCTTTGGAGGTCCACTGGGCACTGACTTTGAATGGCCTATTCCCTGAAGGATTCTGTAGCCCAGTTGTCTTAACTTTCCTTCACCTGCATTGAACTTGCCAACTTGTTTGATATAGCTTTGTCTATTTAATTTATTTTCATCTACTTGTGTTCATGTTACTTGTCCACTGCCCTGAGATTTCATGATACAGAGCAGGAATAATTAGTAATAGCGACTAGAGCTTAAGCCTCAAAGCCAGAGCCTGTTTTACACTTAAAAGGGAAATAGGAATCTTCAGAAAAAGCTATGAAACTTTGCTTTTGCAAAAGTGCTGTCAATAGTTGAAAAACTGCTGTCAATAGTTGAAAAACTCATAACAATGGTATTTTAGGAGTAGAGGCAGTTTTTGATAAATATTGACAACTTTCAAATTTCAGCTTTTTTCATATTTGAGAAATGGAGTATAAAAATCGGACTTCATTTCAGTACTGATTTCTTTTCTTTGTTTATTTGTTTTCCATCATTTGAGTGGATAGTTTAACTGTCATGCAACTAAAATGGCGTGTCAGTACAGTATTTTACTTTTTTGGGAAATTTAAAAAATCAATTAGGGAAAGGTATGTAATAAGGGGAGAGTGAAGAAGAATGGAAGATTACTCTTTATTTTTGTAAATGGTTGGGGACACTACAGTAAAATAACAACATTGATGTTTTCTTTTATACTTGGCTTTTGTTAGGGAATGTTTTTATGTGTGTGAGGAGCAACTTGAGAGACTGCAAGTCACTTCTGGTGTGAGAGAATTGGTCGTCTGCAAGGGCTTTGCACAGAGGACACCCAGCTGTTTTGATGTTTTACCATCCTTGTGGAAGGCTTCTCTCATGTCCTCGCTTGGGGAGCTGGAGCTGACAGAGGGAGCTCAATCCGCTCTCCCCAGATTCAAACTGCCAGCACAAGGTTTTAACCCATTGCACCACTGGGGACTCCAGAAATACAATCAAATGAGTACATTCCTGCATGTGTTCAGAAAATTGATAACAAAGAAGATAAAGATTAATCCAGTTTAGTTGCAAAGCATTTGATAAAGCATTTGTACTCATTATAACAAACCCATACCTCTGCTTTCATGGCATTCTCTGTGAGGGGGGTCAGGCTTAGCACAGCAGGTTAAACTGCTGTGCTGAAGAAAAATCCTGCAGATTGCAAGGTCAGCAGTTTGAAACCGGGTCAGGATGAGCACCCGCCATTAGCCCCAGCTCACCTGCTCACCAAGCAGGTTGAAAGCAGAAATGCGAGTAGATAAAATAGGTAATGTTTTTAGCAGGAAGGTAATAAAGGCACCCTTATGGACAACGACTGGAGAAAAGCTCCTTGGCACGGAAGATGGCGCGACAGCCCCCCACCCCCATGGCCGGAGTCAAGCACAGCCTCCAAGATGCTGGAAATAGGATGGGGAAAACTGCCTTTAGCTCTGTTTGTGGTTTGTGTCCTTTGTGTTGTGTATCCTTGTTAATTGTACAATCGGCATTGAATGTTTGCTGTATGTGTGTTATGTAATGCTGCTTCAGGGTGAGAAGGGTGGGGTATAAATACCATAATTGACTAATTAAATAAATAAATAAATAAAATAATAATAATTCCAGCAGGTGCTGGTTGATGATAGAAGGGACTTAAGAAAAGCTAGTCACATGAGAAGATGAAGTGAGTGACTGTTAAAGGGTCATAATACCAAATATGCAAAATCCCATTCTTCATTTTTTTTTAGTTCATCCAGAAAAAGATAGTTGCCCATAGATCTTCTTGAAATCTCTGGGACACACTAGTTCTGTTGACTGAAGTCCTACTTTTCCCCCTACAGGTCCAGGAATGAGCCCCATAGAATTCAATACAACTTTCTTCTTCTTTTATTGTTTGTTTTACAAAATACAAAAGTACAGGAATACTATTTAATATTTATACCTCAGTATGATCAAGCAGCAAAGATGAAGTACTTTGGCCACATCATAAGAAGACAGGAAAGCTTGGAGGAGACAATCATGCTGGGGAAAATGGAAGGAAAAAAGGAAGAGGGGCCGACCAAAGGCAAGATGGATGGATGGCATCCTTGAAGTGACTGGCTTGACTCTGTAGGAGCTGGGGGTAGTGACGGCTGACAGGGAGCTCTGGCATGGGATGGTCCATGAGGTCACAGAGTCGGAAGTGACTGAATGAAAAAACAACAACAACAACGATCAAACAATGATAATTTCCCCCTGGTTTCTCCAGCTATTCTATAGATTCTGAGCTAGATTGACTGTAGCTCAGAGTCTTATTGATCATATACATAACCATCTGTCTAAGGTTCTCAAAAGTACTCAAATACAGCTTTCTTCTGAGTAAAAATGTTCCACATTACAATCCTATTTTGGATCTATCCTCACATTACCTGATCTGGATCTATAGCCATCCCCTGTATGTCTTATGGCACTATGTAAGTGCCACTTGTAAGCTGCCTTGAGTCCCCCTTGGGGTAGAGAAAGGCGGGATATAAATAAGGTAAATAAATAAAAAATAAATTTTCTTTTACATGATGAGGAAGAATAAAAAGACAATCACATGAAATATTAATAACAATCTCACCAATATTTTTCTTTAAAAAAATCAGATTTTTTTCCTCATACAGTCACCATTTTCAAATGTTCCTAAATGTTTCAGATTATACTCACAATTGGTATGGATTAAAATCAACCCATTTTTGCCTTAAAGGCAGTTCTTCCCCTCCCGCCTCCTCTGCACATGTTAAGTTCTTTAAAGCGTAATAGTAAATCTTGTTTCTCTTTGACTTGAAACCATGAGACTTGATCTGATGCAATTTCTGATTTTTCTCCGCTCTGTTTAATATTCTAATGTTGCATCATCATTGGCCTTTATCATCACATGATGGAGAAGGAGGGAAAAATCCCATCCTTTTATCACGCTGACGTAACATAGTTTGAGAGTGCCAAGAAGTAATGCATTCAAATTAAGTTCCTTTCTTAACTGTGCAATATCACAATTGCTAAGGTAAAGGTGCCACCTTAGAAATGGTGAACACATTGTGTTCCAGGCTGCATCTATCATCATCCCCCATTTATGTATTTCCTTTATCCCAGTCGAGGACACTTGGGAGATCAGGGTTCGAATTCCTAGTCAGCCATGGATCTGATATCTAGGACCCCTGGTGGCACAGCAGGTTAAACCACTGCTGATCTTGCTGAACAAAAGGTTGGTGGTGCAAATCCGGGGAGTGGAGTGAGCTACCGCTATTAGCCCCAGCTTCTGCCAACCTAGCAGTTCAAAAACATGTAAATGTGAGTAGGTACCACTCCAGTGGGAAGGCAATGACACTCCATGCAGTCATGCCGGCCTCATGACCTTGGAGGCGTCTACGGACAATGCTGGGTATTCAGCTTAGAAATGGAGGTGAGCACCACCCCCAGAGTTGGACATGGCTAGACTTAATGTCAAGGGGAAACCTTTACCTAGGACCTCTCTGTCTGAGATCCTCTGAAGATGCCAGCCATAGATGTAGGCGAACCATCAGGATAAAATGCTGTTAGAACACATCCATGCAGCCTAGAAACCCCAGTGAATTATGGCCATGAAAGCCTTCGTCAATACATTGAAATTGTTATCTATTATATTGTCATATTGCTTTTTAAGCAAACTAAAAGTATGCCTTTCCATTCATTGTATCTGTTCTCCCCTAGGCATTTGAAACAACTGTTCAGTTTCCTAAGCCAATTGAATGTAGCGACTCCTGTGATCCAGATTCCTTGGCCACCACAAATAAGATGGTAACTATTTTTGAACTTCAACATCAAATGACCATATTGGTTCATGATAGCACCACTTCACAAAGAAGCTCAGTAATATGATGCTGAATGGCTCTGCTGACTGGTTGCAGTGAAAACTAGAAGCAAGACTTCTATGGCATGATGAAATGAACACATTTACTATGGCATACATTTTAATCTTTAACATGCCACAGAATTTTCTGAGTGATGTTTATCTAATGGGTATCCGTTGAGTATCCCTTATCTGAAATCCTTAGGACCAACGTGTATTAGATTTCTTTGGATTTTGGAATGCCTGTATTTGCATATATGTACATCTCTGGAAGGCAAAAGGAAGAGGGGCCGACCAAGGGCAAGATGGATGGATGGCATCCTTGAAGTGACTGGACTGACCTTGAGGGAGCTGGGGGTGGTAACGGCCGACAGGGAGCTCTGGCGTGGGCTGGTCCATGAGGTCACGAAGAGTCGGAGACGACTGAACGAATGAACAACAAAACATCTCTGGTGTCCTACATTTGGTCCTCCAGGTTTTTGGACCTCTTCTCCCAGAATTCCTGAACACTGGACAAGCTGGCCATGGCTTCTGGGAGTCGGAGCCCCAAATATCTGGGAGACCAAACATTGGACACCACTAATGTACATAATGAGACCCCTATGATAGATGGATAATGAGATATTGTCAGGATGGGACCCATATCTAAACAAAACATTCATTTTTTTCATATACAGCTTACACACATGTTGCCTGAAGGTAATTTGAAAAAAAGAATTTGTATTAATGTTATGTATGGAACAAAGTTTGTGTATATTCAATCATAACAAAGCAAAAGTGACACTATGCCATCCATGTGGATAGTATTTAAAATTTCAAAACTCTGAGGAAGGCCTCATCTACACTGCCATATAATGCAGTTACATAATGCAGTTAAATTACATTGAACTGTATTATATGGCAGTGTAGATCCATACAATGTAGTTTAATGCAGTCAAACTGCATTATGAAACGGCATTATATTGCATTGTAGATGCGGTTTAAGGGGACACTCAACCCATATCTAATGGAGTTGGTGGTGATAGGGTTTTTTTTCAAATTGACTTTAGGCTTTACTAATTGAAACGCATTACAATCAAGGTAAAATTTACAAATGTTAGTAGTTCGCCTTCTTTTTTTTGTTTTTCTCCTGTTTACCCAAAAAACTATGTAGTCAGGTTCACCTTTAACCCATCTCACTTTTCGGCAGTGTTCTCCCTTATGAAGTTTTTATATGCAAGCTTCTGTGCCTGGCATTTAAAATAAATTGAAATTACTCTTTTGTATTGTTCTCTGTTTTATAGCCGTGTCTGACAAAAATCAGCCAGGGACTTCGCCATTATCATGACCTACTGGCCATGTTTTCTGACCCAACGGTACCAACTGAGCTCCAAAATGCCCTGGATACCTTGCTAGAGCTGCCACTAAATGTGAGTGGAACTGAAGGGGTTTGGTTGGTGGGATGGCAAGGCAGTGTAAGTAACTGAAACAAACAAGACATAGGATGGACTTTGTAGACCCCCCTGGGTAAACTTTGCAGCTGAATGGTTCAATATCCCTACCCTACTACTCACAACCATGGATGTTTACACAAAACCAAAGGGATTGTGAGGGACATAGCAATAAAACAGGCTTGGAAAACCTCTATGAGACTGAAACTAACAGGACAATAAAACAGGGTGAATAATCATGCAGAGTAGGCTAGTGTGAAACTATTTTACCTAGGATTAGATGGAGGTCTGATACAGCAAAAACCCCACATAAATCTCAAACTTAAAAATTTCTAGAACACAGCTCTCTGGAAATCTCAGCATGACTTTGGGGCCAACTTTCACTGAGAAAATGAATGCAGCTTGGTTTCAATTAAAAATGATTTGGAAACAATGGGGTTAAGATATAGGAGGTGAAGTGCTTTGGAGTAAAAGTCCTCCATGTTACAAGTCTGTATTGTTAGTGTTAGTTTTAAGCCATCAGAAAAAAAGCCACCACGCTCTAGCCATAAATGCTGCAAACCAATCAATCAAAGCCATACAGTTAGTACCTTAAAGCACAGGTAGTTGGGCTGGTCCTAAAAGAAATTCCAAAGCCCACTTTATATATTTAATTATTATTTACAGAATTTATATTCCACCCTTCTCACCCTGAAGGGGACTCAGGGTGTATCACAGAACATATACACAGCAAACATTCAATGCTGTTAAGCAGACAGGACAGACAATAGATAGAGGTATATGTCGCCATTTTCCCCATCTTTGGCATCCTGGAAGTTGTGCTCGATTCCGGCCACAGGGGGTGATGTTGCTACATACCCTTTGACAAAGAGCCCTTGATTACAGACTTCCTCCTTCCTTTCATCGCTGGCATTTTCTTGTATTCCCTTTTTATGGTCTCATAAAATACCTCCTCGCTTAAGTGGTGCCTAATTTCTCTAGTCACAGCTCACAGTTGTTTTCAAACTGCTTAGGTGGACAGTGAGTGGGGATGAATGTTGGGTGCTCACCCCGACTCAGGCTTTGAACTGCCAACCTTTTGACTGATGTGATCTATTGCTGTTGGTGATTAACCAGCTGTGCTGAAGCCCAGCCTTAATAGTTAAATACTCTTTTATTACACCACAAGAAGGACACAAACAAAATGCATAATAACCTGAAACTGATCATCAAGCAAGTAGTTTTCAAACACAATTTTGAAGATTGTGACATAAGCAAGGGACCATGACTTGATGTATATGATGGAAAGAGGGAAGAGAAGTCTGCAGACATTTTTAAATGGTATTGGCTGATGATGTAATGGTTTCGGTTTCTCTCAGAGTCTCATACACCCAAATATCCCAGAAACAAGAAAGACAGAAGTATGTCTGTTGATAAAATCATACAATCCAACTGGAGAAATTCTCACTTCATATTGCATACATAGCACAATCATGTATACAAAGTGGCTTGTGAGACTGGCAATTCACTCACAGTGACTTCTTCAATGTCCTTCCCCTTTCCTCACCTTCTTCCCTCTCAACCAGACGGCAAGGGAGGAATTCCCAGCAAGAATTGGGTGTTCTGCTTGGTAGTATTCATACTTTTGGGTTGAGAGGGAAAGACACCCTTCTTTCCCCAGAAATCTCTTATATGCCCTTTTACAATGCAATTAAGCAAATTGAGAAATGCTCTATGAATTCATTTCAGGATGTTTCCATAGGTGATTTACTTCTTGCCTCACCTGAGGAACCACTGAGTATGGCTGCAAGACCCAGTATGCAATGTTCCTCCAGATCCTTTGACTGGGAATTACACTATGCAACAAATTCGGGGGGAGGGAGGAAATCTGTTCCTGGTTTGAAAGTGTTATTTCCTATTTAATTGTGTGGTACTTACTATGTTGAATTGGTTGAGAATCCTATGAGATATTCATTGAAAAACTGTAGCGAAATGTGCTGCAGAATGTCCCACAAAAACAAAGTTTCTGTAGTTTAATAGACTTTTCTCAGGTTTTTTTAAATGATAGAACTAATTAGGAAATGACATTTATAACCCAGAAACAAAAACCATGTTACACAATACTATTGATACAACATTTTCTTTTCTGCTGAATTTTTAGTTACTAATTCCTCTGCCTCAATAAATCTCCTGTCTCAAAACACATGAACTGCACAGGTTTGTGCCACACACTAAGCACTAAAACTATGATAACCAGGTTGCTGTGAGTTTTCTGGGCTGTATGGCCATGCACCAGAAGCATTCTCACCTGACATTTCACCTACAGGAGAGAATGCTTCTGGAACATGGCCATACAGCTCGGAAAACTCCCAGCAAGCCAATGATTCCGGCCATGAAAGCCTTTGACAACAAGCTGTGATAACCGTTTGTGAGAGAGGTGTCACTGATTCAGAATCTATAACATAGGGCTAGAAATCAGGGCTGGGAGCATATTTAACCCAAATCATTCATCTTCTGCAGGGCGGCAGCAGCAATGAAGGACACAGCCCAGTCACCAGGACTGCCGTGCCGGCGTGGCAGATGGCTCCGCTGCAGAACTTGACCCTGTGGCGCCTGCAGTCCTTTGGGGTGGTGGTGGCAAGAGTCTTCTCCCACTGCGCTGCTTTGGCTTAGAGAGAGCAATACACATCAGAGTCAATGAGGATCGATGAGAAATGTCAAGACAGGAAGCTCTAAGGAGAGAAGCCAATAATAATAATAATAATAATAATTTATTTATATTTATATTCCACCCTATCTCAGCTGATGAAGTCTTTTCCCCAAGTTGTATACTTCCATGAATTTTAACTTATTTGTTTAATATATATTATTTAACTTATATATTTATATATTTATGTATGTATTTATTATTTATGTGGTTGGAACCCAGCTGGGCCATTGAAACATCATAGTTGGCCCATAATGTACGAGGGACCTTAGTGCCAGCGATTGAATATTATTAAGAAAGGGGTGGATTTGTTCCAAAATCTGGCTCCTTTTGTTTCCATATTGTGTACCCATCTCTGTTTTTAAGGGATTAATTGTGATTTATAAAATTACGTGAATGTATTTCATGCAAGACTGCAAGTCGCTTCTGCAGGTTCTCAAGACACAGGAAAAAATGCAATAAAGTATTTTATTACAATGTAAGTAGAAATGGGCTCTGGTCTAATTTGTGAAATCATAGAATCATAAGAGTTGGAAGAGATCTTGTGGGCCATCCAGTCCAACCCCGTCAAAAAGCAGGAAAATCGCATTCAAAGCACCCCCGACAGATGGCCATCCAGCCTCTGTTCAAAAGTTTCAAAAGAAGGAGCCTCCACCACATTCCGGGGCAGCGAGTTCCACTACTGAACGGCTCTCACAGTCAGGAAGTTCTTCCTCATGTTCAGGTGGAATCTCCTTTCTTGTAGTTTGAAGCCATTGTTCCGCATCCTAGTCTCCAGGGCAGCAGAAAACAAGCTTGCTCCCTCCTCCCTATGACTTCCTCTCACGTATTTATACATGGCTATCATGTCTCCTCTCAATCTTCTCTTCTTCAGGCTAAACATGCCCAGCTCTTTAAGCCGCTCCTCATAGGGCTTGTTCTCTTGAAGAGAGGGGAAAGAGATTTTGGGGAGAAAGAGGGAATGGTCCTCCCTGAAGCACAGGCTTTGTATGCTCCCACTTACAAAAATCACAGAATCATAGAATCACCAAACTGGGAGAGACTCCAAGGGTCATCCAGTCCAACCCCATTCTGCCACGCAGGGACACAGAATTAGAGCACTCCTGACAGATGGTCATCCAGCCTCTGCTTTAAAACCTCCAAATAAGGAGACACTCCAATGCTCTAAGGCAGCTGCATATTCCATTGACATGCCGCTCTTACCTTTAGGAAGTCCTTCCAAATGCCCAAGGCCTGTGTTCTTGATTTCGCTGGAGTGACTTTCTCCTCTGCAGAATTTTATTGTGAAGGTAAAAGTATTTCATTGCTTCCCAGCATTTCTGGAAGAACTGTAATGGGGGTGGAGTTTAATTACTAGTTCTCTCCTTATTTTTAATTACACTTTACACTTCTCATTTGTAGGTTCCATTTTTGCAGATGCGATTATTCCCAGATTTGATTAATATGCTCCTTTGAGGAATCTGCAGGTCTCTCCAGCGTGACTCCATGATCAACATGTCAGAACAGCACAACAGCGGCTGGATCTACACAGTCATGTAATCCAGTTTCAGAATCCAGATTAATTTCTTTGAACTGGATTATATGAGTCTACACTGCCATATAATCCAGTTCAATGCAATTAATTTGGATTGTCTTATACGGCAGTGTAGATAGGGATAGAGTTGCACTGGAGGACCCAGAAATTCATAGACAGAACTTCTGAAGGGGTTTGTATGTTTTCCAGAGTGATTCTATGATCAGGTTCTGGTGAAAGTTGATAACAGAGGTGTGCTGGGGCACCTATAGTTTCCTAAAGATGTGTTTATTCAGGTAAAGCATTGTGGAGATTTTTTCATGGGGACCTTCTGCCCCTAATCCAAGCTAATGAGGGCATACTTTTGTCTTCTATTCTTCCCTTTTTCACAGAGTGAAATAGTGGAATCTTGTCATTGAAAAGGAAAATACTGTCAAGACCAAAACAAAATAACCAAGCTTCCAGATTGCACAAGGTGGTGCTGCAACTGCATATTATTTCTTCCTCCTCCCCCCCCCCCCCCCCCCCCCCCCCCGCACATGCAGACACACACACCGCCCGAAATAAACACGGAAATGGTGGATGCCTGCAATTTGACTGTGACATCACTGAGATGTGATGAGAGTAAACTAAAGGACAGAAATTCCACAAAATAGTTCTCAAAAAAGGAAATCTGGACACAAGACTAATTGCGTTGTCATCTTTTATCAATGCTTGTATTTTACCAGTTACAGTTTGGTTGGGCTCTCTCTGTGACGGGGAATTCCAGAATGGCTCAAGAGTGCAGCTTTCCCCATAAATAATTCTGGAGATAGAGATGGTGTTTTGTATTCTGTTTATTTACAACTGTACCAATCCAAACTACAATCCCACAAAAAGTCAATAGTCTCCACCAGAGCCATTTCTTAAATTCTGACATGTAGCCCTCAAGCAAGAAGCAACGATGACAAGTTTTGTTCTTCAAGAAAATCAGAGATAATTTTTTTTGAGACTTCTCTTAATTTTCTCACTGGCTCATGTTTTTCACTGATGACTAAGCTTAGCGAAATATGCTATTTAATTGATAAGTCTCCACAATAATTGTAATTAGTTTTAAATGTTTTTCATGCTTAATATTTATTTATATCTTATTTCTGGATGCTATTATGCTTTGTGTGATTTTTGTCTTGTATTTTATGTCAAATGTGCTTTGATATTATGAGCCACTTTGGGTCCCCTTAGGGAGAAAAGCGGGATATAAATAAAGATTTATGATTCTTATAAATCCACTTGCTTGACTGCCAACAGAACCTCTGAAGATGCCAGCAACAGATGCAGGTGAAACGTCAGGAGAGAATGCTACTGGAATATGGCCATACAGCCCAAAAAACTCACAGCAACCCAGAGATAAATCTGATTCTCTTTTCAATTCAAATGGTAAAACCAGTTGCCAGACTGAGGCATTTACTCATCTTTCCTCCAACTAATCTTTCTCGTTCAATTTAAAAAACGAAGAAATACAAGAATGTCATTAAACAGGAGAGGAGCCCCCGGTGGCGCAGTGGGTTAAACCCTTGTGCTGGCTGGACTGATGACTGACAGGTTGGAGGTTCGAATCCAGGGAAAGCACGGATGAGCTCCCTCTGTCAGCTCCAGCTCCCCATGCGGGGACATGAGAGAAGCCTCCCACAAGGATGATAAAACATCAAAACATCCAGGTGTCCCCTGGGCAAAGTTCTTGCAGATGGACAATTCTCTCACACCAGAAGCAATTTGCAGTTTCTCAAGTCTGTCCTGACACACACACACACACAAATTAAACAGGAGGAAAATATTCTCTGTTCATAAAAAAATTGTCAGCTCACAAAACATTGCTGCCCAAGACAAAGGAAGGAGGCTTTTCTAAAATGTGAAGGACTGAAAATACAGGGGGCTGAAAAAGGTACCTACCCTGTAACTAACTCTCTTTTTGACACACTTTTACTTGCTAAGAGAAGTTACTGTTGTCCAGTTACCAAGACACTATGAGCCAATCCTGTTCTTTTCTCTGTTCTGTAATTGTCCTTACCTTCAGCCAGTAGGCTATTAGGAATTGTGGCAGTTGAAGTCCAAAACACCCAGAAGGCCGAAGTTTGCCTGTGCCTGTCATATATGGGATATTCATCCAACTCTCCTGATCCACATACACTTTTAGTGATTTTCCACAGTGGCTCATCTTACCACTCTTCATATTTGGAATAACCATAGACAACCTTCTTTCTTAACATTGTTTTTGAGTTGGTTAATTACTTGGCTTCGCATTGGGGCAAAATGGCAGCCGCCACTAAGCGAAATGGCTGCAAACTTACAATGTTCAGCTTGGCAGAAAATCCCACTGATGTTCTCTGCATTGCTCTTTATTTCTAAGAAGATAACCACTTTTGTAGCCAAGGAGGAAAAAAGAGAAGTTGTCTAAAAGTTGAAATCTTCGTCGTACAGTTTCAACTCTTGTAATTCCTCAGATGCCATGAAGAGCTCAGGTGGCATCTGCCCCAGGTGCTGCTCTTCCTCTAGCTGCGGGAGGTAAGGGTCTGAGAAAGCAAGAGGGAGACCGAGAGCATCAGTAGGAGAGTGAAGGAAGAAACAATAGTCCAAGGAAGCAATTCAGTTTTTCATGATGGGTAGAATGTAATGGAGATTTCACCCTTAAGGGGCCACAGACACAACACTCACCTTGATACAGAAGGCCTCCTTGTTCTGGTTCCTCCAACCCGTTGGGCAACACAAGGCCAATTTCAACCTCACCATTCACCCCTGGGACACCGGCCTCTGGAACCTGACAGTCTGGGGCTTGCAGCTCAAAATCTTGGAAATCTGAGGCACTGGGGTCTGCGATCTGGAAGTCTAGGGCTTGGGCCTCTTCTGGTTGCCTAGATGGATGTGATATGTTAGTATGAGGAAGAAAGATAGAGGTTGGTACATTATTATTATTCAGAAATCGAAAAGGGTCAACTATGATGCTGAGTTTGCACTACAAAGAGATCTGGGAAATGCTACTACAGTAGTCCCTCACTTATCACGGGTTTTATGTTCCTGGACCACCCGCGATAAGTGAATTTCCGTGATGTAGGAATGCCCCCTCAACTTCCCCCCTCGCCCTCCTTACCTTCCTCTTCCTCCTCCCCAAACAGCAGCAGGAGGCCCCAGGTGGCGAAGAGGAGGTGGATGAGGATGGTAAGGAGGGCGAAATTCTTTTTTTAAAAAACCCCTGAATCAGCAAGTCTGCGATAAGTGGACTGCGAATGAGCAAGGAACCACTGTATTTCTTTTGGAGAAATATCTGCAATAGTGGCCTATGTCACCTGTGGGCTAAGGCTCTATGGTGAAGGTCAAGTCCTTGCTCCTGAGCACCAACAGCTTCAGCTATATTTATGAAAAAAGAAGGCCCTCTCTTCTCTCAGTGGTACTTGAGGTAGAGCTTTATACTCGCACCTTTGGCTATGGCTGGCTAACAAAACCTACGGGAAGTTGGGGTATAAAAAGATAGCCCACAGAGTTTTCCTTTGTCTCTCTTTATATTGCCATTGGCTGATTCTGATGGTGAACCTTGTTTTTGTTTTTTTTTACTGTTGTTATGGTCTTAATTGATATGTTTATTGTTTTAAATGTTTTAATGTTTTACGATGTTGTTGGCATTGAATTGATGCCTTGTGAACCGCCTCAAGTCGCCTGCGGGCTGAGAGGGTGGTGTAAAAATGTAGCCAATAATAAATAAATAAATAAATAAATAAATAACCTTGTTGGAATTCAACCTCACACTGCCCAAGTTTCAAGTCCTCAACGAGGAACAGTTTAGTTAGCTTAGTATAGGCTAAGGGTTTCCTTTCCCCCATGTCTCCTGTATGACAGTTGGCATGTAGCTAATTTCTTCTCTCCTCTCTGTTTCTGCTCTTATTCTGATTAAAATGGATACTTTTTTACTGCAAGCCTTTTTTGAATCTGACTTCTGCCTGCTTACACTTTAGTATGGAGAGTTTGTGCTGTGTGCTTTGAGATCTCTCTCTCTGCTTGTGTCGGGAGAGGTGTAGTGATTGAGTTTTCCTCTCTTTTTGAAACCTTGGAAGAGATGGATGTTAGAATAGCTCAGACCCAGTTCTTTACTAGTAAGAAATACAGTTATTTCTTACTAGTGTAAATAAACATTTTGTATGATTTTTTAAGATTGGACTCTGCATGTTTGCCTCGTAAGCTCTGAATTATTTACAGCCACATTACACGGCACTTCACGCTTTGCTCACTAATGAGCTGATGTTCAACTTTTGTATCCTGTTTGTTTTTTGGATACTCTGCTATATTTTAGGGTAGTTTTCCCTAACAAGCCTTAGAACAGGCACTTTTTTTTGGTTTTTGTCTGGTGCACCTTTTCAAATTGTTCATTCTTTCTGTATTCATTCTCTCCTTTGAAATACTGCATCTGCTGGCTATTCTGAAAAACCTTAATCTAAACCTGACACTTTGTTGGTCTTTGGGTTCATTAGTACAGATTGCAAAGTAGCTTAATACCTATCTTGCAATCAGTAGAGGGAAACTGTATGAGAGTGTGTGGCCATAATATCAATATTTATATAATGTACTAGCCGTCCCCTGCCACACGTTGCTGTGGCCCACCTGGGGCTTCTGTGTGGGAGGTTTGGCCCAAATCTATCCTTGGTGGGGTTCAGAATGCTCTGTGATTGTAGGTGAACTATAAATCCCAGCAACTACAACTCCCAAATGTCAAGAGTCTATTTTCCCCAAACTCTATCTGTGTTCACATTTGGACATATTAAGTATCTGTGCCACGTTTGGTCCATATCCATCATTGTTTGAGTCCACAGTGCTCTCTGGATGTAGGTGAACTACAACTCCAGAACTCAAGGTCAATGCCTACCAAACCTTTCCAGTATTTTCTGTTGGTCATGGGGGTTCTGTGTGCCAAGTTTGGTTCAATTCCATCATTGGTGGGGTTCAGAATGCTCCTTGATTGTAGGTGAACTATAAATCGCAGTAACTACAACTCCCAAATGTCAAGGTCTATTTCCCTGAAACTCCATCTGTGTTCATATTTGGGTGTATTGAGTGCTTGTGCCAAGTTTGGTCCAGATCCATCATTGTTTGAGTCCACAGTGCTCTCTGGATGTAGGTGAACTACAACTCCCAAACTCAAGGTCAATGCCTACCAAACCCTTCCAATATTTTCTGTTGGTCATGGGAGTCCATCGTTGGTGGAGTTAAGAATGCTCTTTGATTATATAGTTCACCTATATAGTTTATAGGTGAACTATAAATCCCAGTAACTGAAACTCCCAAATGACAAAATCATAAATGTTTGAGTGATGGTCACTCCTTGTGTTGTGAGACGTTTTGCTGCCAAATTTGGTGTGATTCCGTTCATTGGTTCTTTTGTTTTTAAGGTACTCATTATGCACAGAACATTTTTATATATATAGAAATGTTTGTGATGTGTCATGTTACATTCATTTAAGTTTGGGTTTTTTTTGTTCGTTTTTATAATTTTATATGAGAGTGTTTCAAACAATGTTTTGATTTGTTTTCTGTTTGCTTTCGGCACTCAATGTTTGCCACTCTGTTACTGTTGCTGGAAACCACTCTGAGCCCCCTCGGGAAGATAGGGTGGGTTATTATAATTATTATATTTATTATAATAATTATTATTATTATTTGTAAAATAGAATAAAGGCAGTAGCCAAGTTACAAACAAGATAGTTTCTATAGGTTTGAATTTATTTGTAAGTCAGAATGGAAGTTTTCACCTCACTTTCTGTCCCTGTGATAAATGAATTTTGAAAAATGTGGCTTGTTGTGGAAACAAGGGTTGGTGAGGAAGCTTCGGTAGAGACCTTTCCCCATGATAATAACTCTTCCAGGAGTGAATTTCCCTTCCTAGTGGTAGATTTCTCTCCTTTCCTGTTGTCTCACCCCTGTTCTTAACTATGAGTCATTTGTAAGTCAGAAGTTTGTAACTCAAGGACTGCCTGTACATTAATTTGATTAAGGGTCCACAGATCCAACACAGATTTGATTAAGGGTCCACAGATTCAACTTTCCTATCCGAATATCTTTGGAAGGTCTCCAGGATGGTGAATTAACATGCAGGAAGGCAATTGTCTAAAGTGAACTGTTTTGTCCTGTAGAGAAGGCCTTAAGGATGAAGTGAGGCCCCCAATTTCTAGTACAGCCTAAAAGCACGGAAATGACGCTCCCGGATATGGCCAACAAAGAACAAGATAGTGCTGCTTACCTAGAGGAGACGCTGATCAGGTGGCGTTTCAGGTACTTTTTAAATTCTGTCTTGTCTTCTATAAAGGAAAAGGCGAAACAGGATGAAGAGGGACAGAGAATCAAGAGGTGGTACCAGCCTTTCACAAACATTTCCACCCTAAGCAATGAAATCCTCTCTGGATGCTGGAAAACCCTGTCACTAATTATGGAGATACAAAATACATATTGATAAAGTCTGTCCACGGATATAAAAATGCTGCCCGTGTAGTGCATACAGTATCCCACTCAAGAATCAGGGAGCCCCAGGAAAGCTTGACATGCAGGAATACCTTCTTTGGGTTCACTATAATAAGGACCAAAAGCTTCATCCCGGGGAATGTCTGGATAGAGGTACTGGAGTGGATTTTCCGGGATGACCTCATCTGCCAGAATGTGGTAGTTACGGATGATGTCAGGCAGTGGCAGGACTTTGAGTTGTTCTTTGGTGTACGGCTCAACTGCAGAAAACTGGGGAGAAACTGAGGAATTCACAGTAACACTAATAAGATGAAGAGTAAAGATTAACATGGCATTTTGGAGACTTGAACCAAGTTCCTTGCCTACGTCAAATCCATGGAATGAGTTCAGAGAAAAATGAAGTAGCTGATTAAACTGAGGAAGGTGAGTTGTATTAAATACCCTGTTTTGGAAAATCCACACTTAAAACAGCTCATAATTATCAGGTTTCTAACCTCCCCTTCAATGGACTTCATTTGGTAGAGTTTACACCAAGTTTAAAATGCAATAAAATTTAGCATTTTTGGTTTCACAGTAATTCTTCTTGTATTTCTTTTTGTTTTCCTTCCATTTTGTTATTATTCTCCCCTGATTCTCTTGTCTGTTTTTAAATTCTGAAATGAATGAAGAGATATTTCTTTGTTTCGCCCTTACTTCTATTTGGTTTGTTTTCATCTTTTCTTCAAACTTTCCCATTCAAAATCAACTCCAGAAATTTGAAGGGAAACAAAAAAATTTCCCCCTTTGAGTCAGAAGTATCTCAGAGGAGATGACCAAGATTGAACAACTAATAATGGAATGAATGGCAGAGACACTAGGGAAAACAGAGGAAGAAGTAGAGAAGGAAATTGATCAGGTGTTTAGGGTAAGATCAACCTATGCGTGGGCTGGTCCATGAGGTCACAAAGAGTCACAAGCAAGTGAACGAATAAACAACAACAACCTATGCATGAAAACAAACTGTCTAGAGACATAATAGTTACTTTTACAAGAAAAAAGATTAGAGACCAAATATATCAAAATCATCTAAATACATCTGTATAGTTAGAAGACCACAAAATTAGCATTTTTAAAGGACTGCAAGGGGAAAGTAACAATAAAGCAAATAAACAAACATAAAGCAGAGAGAATGCCAAGGGTTCACCTTTGTCATATTCCACCCAGGTGCAGGTGATGCCACCGTTCCGGGTGCTTTCGCTGAAGCGGAGGAGGAAGGTGCCCCCTCTCTTCTTCTTCAACAGATGCCTCTCACGCTTACGGCTCACAAATCCCATAATGAGACTGTGATAAGAAGAAGCAACAAGAAAAAAAACCACTCATTACCTTTACTCTGCCTTCAGTTTTCTAAACTACTCCCACTGTTGCTTTATTCCCCTCATTTCATCTTGAATAAACTGTTGACTCAGGCCTAACCTTCCTGAACATTTTCTAGCATTTGCATTTCTAAGTATAGCCTGGATCCTCATTGGCAGCTATATTCTGTTATCCCTACTGCTAGATATGCCAGTGAAGGTCTATAGCTCAGTGGCACAGCACACACCTTACACACAGAAGGTCCCAGGTTTAATCCCTGTCATATCAAGGAAAGCCACCTGTCCAGAATCTTGGAGGAAAATTATCCTAGCAGCATGGAACAGAAGCTGAGGCACTCCAGATGTGGGTGAACTATAACTCTAATCACTATGGGACACAGTCCACCTTGGCTGGGGGTGATGAGAACTGAAATTGACCATCATATAGGAGGATAGTGTCTAGATCCAGGGAACTCATGCTACCCCTGGATCTAGAACACACCTGGAATACTGTGTCCAATTCTGGGCACTGAAATTGAAGGGAAATGTTGACCTTAAGCTGGAATGTGTCCAGAGGAGGGCAACTAAAATGATCAAGGGTCTGAAGAACAAAACCTATGAGGAGCGATTTAAAGAGCTGGGCATTTTTAGCCTGCAGAAGAGAAGGCTGAGAGAAGACATGATGAGGGCCACGTATAAATATGTGAGGGGAAGTCATGGAGAGGAGGGAGCAGGCTTGTTTTCTGCTGTCCTGGAGACTAGCACACAAAACAGCGGCTTCAAACTACAAGAAAGGAGATTCTGCCTGAACATTAGGAAGAACTTCCTGACTGTGAGAGCTATTCAGCAGTGGAACTCTCTGCCCCGGAGTATGGTAGACACTCCTTCTTTGGAGGCTTTTAAACAGAAGTTGGATGGGCATCTGTTAGGGGTGCTTTGAATGAGATGTTCCTGCTTCTTGGCAGGGGGTTGGACTGGATGGTCCACGAGGTCTCTTCCAACTCGTATGACTCTGTGATTCCATGATTTTATGATTCTATCACCTGTAGGCATAGAGGATTCAGCTGATGGACCAATAGTCTCAGACTCAGTCACAACAAGGCATCTCCTGGTGTGGCCTACCATCTGGATCTCCCTCATGGTTTTGCCAACAGTATTACTTCTTCCATTCTTTTTCAATGAGCAACAGAAGCATATATGCAGAGAATAGTCCTAGGAAGGGGAAATACCTTTTGCCTGGACAAAATAAGTGCTTAGTTCTGTGAATCTGAGAATCAAGTCTTACTACCAAGCATGCCAATCACTACTTGATCTTTAAATGACACTTCCAACACCCTTAAAAGTGTCACTCTCTCCTGAAATCGTTTGGTGTTTTCCATACCTCAAAAGATCATATTGCATCAGATCATTGGTCTATTTATTCCACTTAGTATTGCTTTCTACTCTAATGAAGATAATGTTTCCGGGATTTCAAACAAGACAATTTCCCCAGCTCTGCCTGGAGATGCCAGAGACTGAATCCAAGACTTTCGCCATGCAGACCATGTGTTCTGCCATTGATTTATATGCTTCCTCTCCTCCAAACCCCTGATTGTTTGAGCTAGTGAACTGGGACTTTCCGTATTTGTATGACATTGCAAACATAAAGTGCGTTCTCTAGATGTTTTGAAGGTGGAAAGGACAGAAAGCAAAGAAAGCACCTTTTACATATTTGCAAGATGGTGTGACAAAGGAAAGTGAGGACAGCCTCACTTCACTAGCCAAAACAGTCAAGAGTTTTGAAGGGAGAAATAATAATAATATTATAATAATAAACTTTATTTATACCCCACCACCATCTCCCCAAAGGGGACTCGGGGCAGCTAACATGAGGCCACGCTCGAAAATACAACACAACAAAATAAAATACAAAGCAACAAAAATTACATCACAATAAGATACATAAAGTAACAAAATAAAAACAAAATGATAGCACACGATCTATCATTTAGATTTTATAGTTTTTTTGTGAGCATTCATAATCTTCAAAAGATATTTCACAACCGAGGAGGCTTTTGAGACAAGCAGAAATGGGTCGACACTTCTAGGAAGCACTGCCCTTGTAGAACAAAATATGGAAACTGTTGATTGGAAAATTCAGGACTCCTCAAGGACTTCTCAAGCTCTACTCTTTGCAGAGGATGGGCTTAACATCTTATCTCTTCTTCTTCTTCTTCTCCTTCTCTTTCCCCTCCTGGAACCATTACTTACTCTTTCCTCCAGAGTTGCAACAGATTTTCCTGAATCAGGAGCAAAATCCCATCAATCCAGGTCCAGAAGGAGAAGTTGTGAGGAGAATCCTGTGGGAGGAGAGTGGGAACAAAAACAACCCTTTGAATCATATCTTTTGCCCTTGAAAAAAAAGGCCTTTAAAATTGATTTTTATTGGTAGAACATATAGTTATATGGAAAGCGGGAGAATATTGTGAAGAAGATAAAAAAGTAGGAAATAAAGTAGAGCAAAAAAAAAAAGAACATGAAGTAAAAAGAATATATATATATATATATATATATATATATATATATATATTCTTATATATATAGCATAGCTTAGTCCCTAGGCTTTTTAAAGAATGGAAACATGAAGGCGCTAACTGGGCAGGCAGGTGGAGATCAATAAGGCATTTTGCTTACTTTAGAGAACTGGGTCCAGGTAATGATGCTCTGTGCTGTGACAGGTGAACCTTCAATAGGAAGAAATGGAAAGGTATGAACTACATAAGTTGATTTGAGGCAAATATGTGTGTATAATATGTACAATGGGTATGTATGTTGAGAATCCTTTGTATTCAGGCCCCTTCCTTTGCTTCTTCTATATTGGAGTGAGGGAAGGAAAGCCCTTAGCCACTAGGGCATTAAGAAGAACTTCCTGACTAGGGGCTCTTCCACACAGCCCTATATCCCAGAAGATCAAGGCAGAAAATCACACAATATCTGCTTTGAACTGGGTTATCTGAGTCCACATTCTGATAATATGGGATTTCCTGCCTTGATATTCTGGGATATAAGGCTGTGCGGAAGAGCCCTGTGAGAGCTGTTCAACAATGGAACTCACTGCCTCAGTGTGGTGGAGGCTTCTTCTCTGGAGGCTTTCATTCAGAAGCTGGATGGCCATCTGTCAGGAATGCTTTAATTGTGCTTTTCCTGCATAGCAGGGGGGTGGACTGGATGGCCCATGTGGTCTCTTCCAACTCTATGGTTCTATGATGAGATGTGGCAGGCCAGTTAATCAATTCACATCAGGTCCCCTGTATCCAGGTCTCCAGGAAGTCATGCCTGCTTCCCCCATATTACCATTGCTTGTTGGTTTCCCAGTTTTTGCCTCCTTCATCAGGCTGAAATGCCTCTACTAAAGACTTAGTTACTCCTATAAGTTAAAATATGGCAGTATTTTTGGTCACATCTTTTTGCCTTTCGCCCTTTCCACTTTTAAGCTGTTAACATCTCTGAAACTGAATTCAGTCCTCAGAATGAAATCAGCTTCACAAACACAAACAGCAAAGTATGGCTCTGGGCTAATGGCACCAGAGGCGGTTTTGGGGCCCACAACCCCTCAGACCACCCTTTTTTAAGGGAGGAGAGAGCCCAAAAAGTAAACTTCCCTATATGGAAGCTTCTCGTGTGGGAATTCACCATTTAAATAGGCAGCAAAGGTCCCTTGTGCAGTTTATCATTGCCCAAACCTGCATTACCAGACTTACCACAGAGCTTCTCCCCCAGCATCTTGAGCTGGTCTACATTCAAGCCTTTCTCAGTTGCTGAGGAGAACTGCCAGCTCAGGACAGCAGACAACTGGGGCCAAGTGGCGGCCGGCGGGTTGACAAAGAACCGCTGGTTCTAGCAGAGGAGAGAAGGAGAAGAGCAAGAAACAGGAATGACACCAAAGCTGGAGGGAGAGGAGGAACATCTCACATGAATTAAAGAAATCCCAAATTGTAGGAATCATGTCAAAAACCCATCCACTTTATGGAGGATTATGGCACATGTTTACATTACAAAGCATTATGGGTCATTTCCCTGAACATGTTCGCAAGCCAATTGTGAGGGAAACACATTTGTGCATATAATATAGTGAGTAGAGTCAGTAAGCAAGAAGAAATGTGTCGAAAACTAATAAACAGGGGTCTTCTTTACACTATGCAATTATAGCACTCTTAATTCCACTTTAACTGCCCCATCTGCATCTGATGGAAACTGGAGGGAGATGCAGATTGGTTAGAGGCACCAGAGGAGCTCCCTGGCTGAGGATCCTAAAGATCTGTCCCTCAACTATCAATCCCAGGATTTCATGGGATGCTATGATGGCAACTGAAGCTGAATTAGGACATTATGGTGCAATGTGGAAGGGTCTGCTGGAGATTCCTCTGCAGCCCACCTTCACTCCATTATATCCGCTGTCTTGCTGCACTATTAGGGACTCAAGGATAAGAACCTTTCTCTTTACTTGGGTAACAGACAGCCAATGCTCTAGCGCACTCAATGTTGTGGCCAGAAAGAACTAGCAAAATGGTAACATCTTTACCAAAAATGTGGTGTTCTGTGTCAGAAGTAGAGGCTGACTATCTATTATCTCAAATACCATAAGTGCTTTGTATATTTTTGGATTTTGGAGTACCCATATTTGTATATATGTACATAATGAGATGTCTAGGGGATGAGACCCAAGTCCAAATTCATTTATGCTTCATATACACGGAGTCTGGTATTTTTAATCACGGAACACTGAACCACCAGAAAGGACAGGTATCACTATCTCAGTCACCCATGTGGACATTTTTGAATTTTGGAAAGTATGACGTTTCAGGGTAACAGATGCTCAACCTGTAATCCTGTCACTTGCAATGTGTTACTTCCATGCTCTGAAATAAAAATAAATCTCAGTCCGAGCAGAAATGAGTGTATCACAAAGCCAAGAATTGATTCATACAAGAAGAGGATTCTAGCCTGAAAGGAAACTTTACATTAGGGCTTGCACGTTCACTGGATATTGAGATGCTTGTGATGTAAAGTGATACTGCACTTTCAGCAGAAGGCCAACTAAGGCCTTGTGCCCCCAAGGATTTCCAGAAGCAAACCCAGATAAAACAGTTGGCACGCACATTAAGTATAGTCTTGTTACTTTAAAAAAAGAAGATACCATATATACTCGAGTACAAGCCAAATTTCCGCTCCTTTTTTGGCTGAAAAAGCCTCCCTCAGCTTATACTTGAGTCTAGTTTATTTATTATTTGACTGTTAATATTAATATTTTATTGTATTTATTATTTTACTCCAGTTATTATTATTATTATTACATTATTTTATTCTAGTATTAGTTTTACTTTTATTATTTTACTCTATTCTTTTTCTTTTTATTACATTTATTATTTTACTCTTATTATTGGAAGGATACGTAAGCACATTTACATTGAAGTAAGTTAGAATAATGGTTTAATCAGAGTTGGACAGTCTTATCTTAAATTAGTTTTATGTAAATATTCAAAAACATTTAACCTACTGATGCCTCAATTTAGGTAATTTTATTGGTGTCTATTTTTATTTGGAAATTTACCAGTAGCTGCTGCATTTCCTACCCTCGGTTTATACTTGAGTCAATAAGTTTTCCCAGGTTTTTTTTGTGGCAAAATTAGATGCCTCGATTTATATTTGGGTTGGCTTATACTCAAGTATATACGGTATTAACTGGTAATGACATTCATTTCTGTTCGTGCAGTGTTTATTTGCTACTACTAAAACATTTGAAAACTTTTTCATCATGGGCTTAATTTTTAAATGTGTTCAAAGTAATTTGGAAGTAATAAATAATGTAACAAGTCACTCTCATATAATCAAACAGCAATTAAATTCTTTAGAATAAAGTATTAATAATTAATTTCTAGGCTTTAATTTATTTTAAGGATTAAAATAAATTATAGGAAAATATACCTCAACCTAATTGACAGGCTCCAGTATATAGCGTGTCTACATATTGTTTGGCAATAACCAACAGTCCCATATTTAAATTAAAATGTCAAGTTCCAGTTGAAAGTTCGTAAAACTGAGACAAACAAGTTTCCTGAAAAGAATACTCATTTATCCTTTAAAAAGGAGTAAGAACTAATGGCCCTCCAAATGTTTTAGCCTACAATTCCCAGAATCCCTTGCCGCTGAGCTTTTTAGTTGATGATAAAACATGTAGATCACAACATCTGGAGGACCAAAAGTTCTCCATCTCTAATCTAAAAGATAGGTGGAAACAAAGCAGATAAGTTTCTATGGACAAAGAATCCTTGACCTTATATATCATCAGAGAAATTGCTAGAAAAATAGTCACTTCTCAAACCTCTCATGCTGGCTGCACTCCATACAGGTATATGAATTTTTCATATAATATTAGGGTTAGGTCTAGTGTTGTGTAAACCATGTACCATGAAGCACATATCATTTCAGATAATCAAAATGTGGTTGATTAAGTAAAGAGAAATAGGAATCTCAAGTAAAAGAAGAACAAGGGAGAAAAACCAAGTGGAACATCCACATTATGGAAGCGTTGAATACTGAAAATAGATTTTTTCTGTTCTTACCAGTGGGTCTCTACTGAGCATGTTGACCCACAAGATGGAGGCCCACGCACTGGACATCTGGTTGACATTAGAGATGATCACCATTGGCAAAGTGGAAGCCTAGTGGGAAAAGAAGATCACAAAAAGACCAGCATCTTTGGCCAACCATATTATATAGGACTGAGCAAGAAAGACAATGGTCCTCTAGGCCAGGACTAATCGATGTGGCAGTCTATGGACAGGTGCCAATCCATAAGGCACTGGCTGCTAGTCTGCAGCAGATTTCAAGGCAATAAAACAACTATAGCCTACAACCACAAACATGGCACCAGTCTTGACACACTGAAAAAAAATCTACTGGTCTGCCATGGTACAACAGCGTAAGAAAAACTCCTTTATTAAATTATGCTCTTTTGTTGGTATCCATGTGTCAAGGTAGGAACAACAAAATCCCAATTGCCAGCATGAATATGTTAGAAATAAGGGAAGTGTTTTCTAAGGGCCTTTCCAGATAGGCCTCATATCCCAATATCTGATCCTAAGGGGTTTTTTTTTTTTTGCTTTAAACTAGATTATGAGTCCACACTGCTAGATAATCTGGGATAAACAGAAAACCTGGGATCAGATTCTGGGATATAGGGCCTGTTTGGAAGGTCCCTAAGAGGACACTGCAAGGATAAGAAAAATGACACTGTTATCAACAAAGCAAAACCCTGACTGGGTGGAGGGCAAAACTGCAGCGCTCCCAAAATGGCATCTTTCTTTATTCCTGTTATGAGGAGGATGCTTGTTCTGCCACAAGCAATTCGGATCGGTTACATTTCTTAGGAAGCTCTAGTAAGGACCTTATCACATTAGGAAATAGTCCCTTTTACAGAATGGCCTTAGACTCTGATCCCTGGATGACATGTTTTAACATTGGAATGTATTTTAATTACATTTAATATGTATTAATTTTTATCCAATTTATTTTTGAGTTAACACTGTACGTTTTAGACACTGTGTAAGTGCCGTATGTAGCCTCCTTGAAGATAGAGAAAGGTGGGATATAAATAAGGTAAATAAATAAATAAATAAATTTTCTGCTGCTGTTTGAGAATGATTTTGAATGAGTACCATCACATGACATTTGCCCCATCCCATCACTACTGCGCCGGAATCTGTCTGCAAAGCGCTGCAGAAACGAATGGTTTGCATTCTAATCATGTTTTGTGAAATACTATAGATTATTTTGTTGCTGAAGTGCTGTTTTTGTGTGCAATAGGAAAATCTGTATGCATCCCATCAGCAACAATACTTCTTAAAAGGTCATAAAGTGATGTAGTGGGTGTTTTGAATGGATTGGGAGAAGCCAGCCTTCCATGGTGTGATGAGCCAAAGTGCAGTATTTTTAAATCATAAGAATTGCAATAATCAGGTGTGATAAGGAGAGTATGCATTCCATCTCAATACAGTATGCATCCAGTCCTAAAAAATGGGATGCATACTGACATAAACAGATTATATCCCAATGTTATAAGGTCCTAAATGAGCAGGATAACCCAGCTAGAGGTCCAAATATTCCATTTGCTAGATGCCACATTCAAATAACTTGCCCAAATCCCAGGAGTTATTTGCCCTCAACTATCTTGACACCCTCAAATGTGATCCTCATACCTGCAGCTGGCATTGGAGACCTTGGTAACAGTAGTCCAGGGTGAAAGTAATGACATGCAGCTCCTCCAGAACAGACAACCCTCCCTGCAAGGAAAACAAAGGAAGGAAGGAAGGGGGGGGGGGGGGAGAAGCAAATTACTATTACCACACTTTACTTTTTTCCAGGGTGGAAGAGGTTATATGAATTGGAGGCTATCAACATCCAAGTTCACCAGCCCTACATTGGCAGCAAGGAAGATGATCCCCAAGATTCCTTCCTCTCCAGAAAACTCACCTCAATGATCCCTTTGCCTCCCTTTCCTTTCCCAGAACCACAGCTCTTCTGTTCTCTCAGTGACTGCCAAAAGAAGGGAAAGGAAATCACAGACTTATAGATTACGAAAGCAATAAAAGCCACTGCCACATACCCCTCCGAGGCTATTCTCACATTTTTGAAAAACTGTTCAATGCTGGCCAGGACACAAAGGACAAAGGAGAGTAGCGTACATGTAACTCAGGTGTGGAGGTGATTATTCCATTATAATTATCCACCAAAAAATCTATAAAGAAAATTGTTGTGTGCCTTCAGGTTAGCTTCTGACATATGGCAACTCTCACATAGGGTTTTCTTGGCAAGATTCCTGCAGAGGTTTGTTTCTGCCTTCCTCGAAGGCTGAGAGAGAATACAACTTGCCCAAGGTCACCTAGTGAGTTTCCCTGGTCAAGCAAGGATTTGGACCGTGGTGAAACTTTCAAACTATGCTGACTCTCGCAAAAGTAGCTATTGATTTGTCACTAAAATACTTGGAAAGGTAATTACTGACTCAAGTCAGTCTCTTATTCAAATATATGCTTTAAAGAGAGAGAGGAGCATGAATTGTAATACTAGTGGTCTATTGTCGGCATGTATGGAGAGGATTATTCCACACTGGTGGTGTTAGGACTCCCTGATCGCTGATGAGAGAAGAGTCAGGGTAAGCTGCCTCCTGCCTTCCAAGAAATTCTTTCTGCTCCTCATGTGGTGCTCAGTCATAACCTGCCTATGAGCACAGTTCAAATATCAAATCCCCTTTTCCACCAGGATATAATTCTATTTGACTTCTAATTAGGTTCTAGAAAAGGGCACATAATAAAATGTCATTTATAATCACCATGAGCAACAGGATGTCTACAAAGCAACGCCTAATATCTGCATTCTTGGGATCTGTTCTGTTCTTTATTCTATAGTCAGGTCTGGCATGTACTTGGTCACAAAAACTGCCTTTGTTATAGTAGTATGCAGTTTCTTCACTACGTATACAAAATATCTATATGTAGATATTGCTACTTTGGTACTTGAAATGGGCATCTATCCAAGTTGACAATCTGCACTGTCCTTCTTCACTTGCTTTAAATCAATGAGCTGCAATATGCTCAATTTCTTCCTTCTACCACTCCCATTTCATTTTTTCTCCAATGTCATTCCTAGCTTTCCTTCCTCCAAGCCATCACGCATGGTGGGGAGGTCTGTCCAAGAAGGGGCAGTGAAGGAAGAACATCATCATCATCATCAACAACAACAACAACCAAACCCAAATATTTAGAATCCAATAGCACTGTCCTTTATGTTCCATGAAGCATTTCATACCCAGGTAAGGGTACAGAATTGCAACTTAAAGCATTCAATAGGCCATTTCCCTTCCCAGAGGTTCGGATTATGAGTCCCCAGCCCTACTGCCTACTCAGCTGAGCCGTACAATGTGCCTGAAGTCACAAATGAGTCCACTCATTTGGGGCTTGTCCATTATCAAGGTCTTGGTGTTTGATGTCAAAATGTTGAACTTTCGAAACCTTCAAATAAAATAAGTGAAAAAAACGAGACTGAGAAATGAGGACACATATACATTCAGAGGCACATCATCATCTTCTAGAGGCAATAGACAGACACACTGACTAGCATGAACTATTAGACCTGACAGTTGGCCTGCTTCCTCATAAACCTGAGTGGTTCTACTCATGAGCACCTTCCAGGTTCAACTGGACCCTTTTTGGAGATCATACCACATGTTAGGGCCTTCCCCAAAACTTTGTTGAGTGGACCTGGAAGCAAGTGTCCTCAATACGGTTCACTGTCATGCTTTGAACTGGGGTCATACTGCATCCTTCACAGCAGAATTTGAAGTCATTTCTATAGGTCTATTCCCTTCTCCTCCTCCATGTACCACATGCTAGAAGTGATAGCAAATGCTGTCACCCTTTGCCCTCAAACTCATAAAATACTTATTGTTCTCCATTGTTTTTCCTAGGCTGGTGCTTACCCTGCCACATTGGAAGAATCCCTGGAAGAGAAAGGAGAGAGAGAAAAAGTAAGGAAACATACATGAGAAATCCGTTTCAGCTTATTCCCAACTGTGTTCCTACAATCCCCAACCCACCCACCTGACATAAAACATCTGAAGCCCATTTTCTTTGAACCAAGGCCCCCGCCTACTACCTGTCAATCTCAATCTTTGCCTCCATCGGATGGTTCCGATCCATCAGCTTCACGAGGAGTCTGAAAAGAGGCAACAGCACTGCACTGTAACTCATGTGACAAAAATGGCAGAATCTGTGCACATTTTAAACAGTGTCTCATCAGTGGTTTGCATCACTGTATTCCACAATAGCAATTCAAAGACGGGTGGATGGAAGGGAAAAGGAGAAGAAAAGTCTACTTAGAGTTTCTCCAGTAGGGTTCCCTGGAACACTAAGGTTGCAGGAGAGCATGATTTAAGAAATAATATCTTTTTTGAGCTGTCAATATAATTATTTCCCAAGAACAAAACATATTTGAAGAATTCCTCCAAGATAAAAAGATTGAGAGAGGCTACACCAGTGTGTCACCCAGGATTATACCAGAGCAGAATCCTTCTGTTCTCCATTATACCTTTCATTTCTTCTCATCCTCACCTTATCTCACCTCTCCCCATAAAGAAAGGAGATATTTCTGGATTATTAAAGCCATTTCTCACCTGGCACGGACAGAAAACTTCTGGTTTGTCCTCAGCACCAATGGCCGGCGACAGGGGAAAGGCATAGTGGGCTGAATCTCCACCACGAAGGCCCTGGAGACCAGAGGAGGAAGATATTTAGTGTCCACAAATTACACTCTTACACTCTTTTCATTCACAGAGAGCTCCCACACACCCACAACACCTTTGCAAAAGGAACATGATTTGTTCTTTCAGTCGACTTTTCAGCTGGGGCAAGCGTGTTGTCAGCTGGTCTTGGTCATAAGTCAGCTTTCCTTGCAGGTCCTCCAGCGTCTGCATCAGCTGCAGTAAATGGAAGAGGTCCTCGGCATTTGCAGTGAACCTGCAGCACACAAAGAGGATCAACAAGAGTAGAGGGACCACAGACAGAGGGAACATGTGGAATTTGTTACTTGGAGGTGGGTAAGAAAAGGAGAAGTCCTGCAAGGATCATCAAGGTCAGTCAATAAAGTAGGCTGCGTAGGCTGCCCGGGGAGTCAGAAACACAAATACTACACTAGGTCCAAAAGATGCATTTCAAAACTCTAGTGAGCAAAGAAATAAAGGCAACCTTCCTCAAGTTAATGCAAACCCACCCCACTCCTCACCCCAGAGTGGATTTGATGGCAAATCCAATCTGTGCCAACTAACATTACCAAGAATGAGAGATCCTGAGAGTCAGTCAGTTGAAGGATTTCATTGAAACTACTACATGGAGTCATTATTGGCAAAGTGACATAACGCTTTTTCTGGAGTAGCTAATTTAGCAAATAATGTCCTGTTAGAGTTTGGTAAACTACCTGGCAGATTCATTGTTAACTATAAAATCAGGAGTGACTAAGCAGTACATAAGTTCTGAGCAAATCACACAGTAATGAATGGGACTTCTAAGCAATTAAGAAAAGGCTGCAGTGGGAATTGTCAAAAATATTAAAAATTAACTAGGTATTTTTGATTACAAAAATACCTGAGTCGAGCACTGAAAGAGTTAGTAGGCCGAAGCCTGTTATGAACCCACGCAATCCCTTTGTTCATCCGGAGAGGCCCTGCTTACGATCCCACCTGCGTCACAGGCGCGTCTGGTGGGGATGAGGGACAGGGCCTTCTCTGTGGTTGCCCCCCCCGACTCTGGAACACCCTCCCCAAAGACATTAGACTAGCAACCACGTTGGCAGTCTTCAGGAAGAATCTGGAGACCTGGCTATTCCGATGTGCCTTTCCGGAATAGGATAATCTCCAGCACTACGTCCCAAAAGCACTTTATTAGAGTTTAAGTCTCTCTGCACATTGCACTTGCCCGGAAATTCAAAATACCACCTGCCACACCCAGCACTTTTTAACCTGTACCCATCACTGGCCCGGCCCTGGTTTTTATTGCATAATTGATGTATTGTTTTGTTATTGCTTACGTTTTAATTTGCTTTAAATTGTATTGTTACTCTTTTGCTGTTGTTGTGTTGAGGCCTTGGCCTTTGTAAGCCGCATCGAGTCCTGCGGGAGATGCTAGCGAGGTACAAATAAAGTTTAATAATAATAATAATAATAATAATAATAGAGTCAATGGGCCAAAGCTAGTGTTGTCTTGAGGAGTGTGAGGTAAACCTCTGTGTGAGAGAAGCCTTGTGTGAGAAAGCTCCAGTATAAAGGATGCTGTGTGTAAAGCTACTATATATTTGTTTATTTGCATTATGGAAATCTAGGTCTTGTAAATAGTGCAACCATATTATTTTACCACAAAGAAAAGCCTCCTATGGAAGATATAACATTGGTCTCTGTGTTTTTGTTCTTCTTTGGGCTACTGGTGCTGGGTCACGTGGCTGCTGATAAGTTGCTCTGCTGTGCATTTATGAGGGGGGGGGGGGGTTGTTAGTAAGTCCACTCACCCAACAGGGATAATGTAATGCAGTAGGTGAATGGTTAAGGGGAATATAAATTAAACAACCATAGTATCTTCCCAAGGATCATGGATTGTTTGAGGTTTCCCAATGATAGAGGTTGTAGATTTCCCTATAGAAGAGAGTTTGGTGTGTTTGATTTGATTCTGTGAACTTGTGGATCAAATGTTACTTTAAGACTGAAGACACAGTAAAAATTATATTGTAAGTAGTAGAAGGAGGAGAGACTGTTTATACATTGAACAAACTCTGTATATTTTGGTTTATGGAACTGTAAAGATAAAAAGCCTTTGTGGTTTAAATGAAGACAATCCCCGCTGTTTGTTTAATGTACTCCAGAGTTACGAAGAATATCAGTACTCACTTGCACTGCACAGCCTGAAGTTTGGTAAAATATATTTAAAGGCTAGAAGATTATCCAACACATCCCTCTAAAGAGAAATGAAGAACAACATAATGGGCAAGGGCCACTTTGGGACCTACCACCTCTCCAGCTGTTCTAGTCTGGTATCACAATTGTTTCCAATGCATGCCTGCCGCTGGCGGTCTTTCCAGGCCTCAAGCTCCTCTAGTAGCAAGTCCCTCAGGGTCTCAAAGAAGCCCAGCAGTTCCTGGATCTTGGCCAGCACATCCTGAGAGGAAATAAGGAGGAGTTGGGGACACAGCAAACCTTGGGCTGGCTTCTACTATGGGCTTTGTTTTAGCCATAGGGGGACAAAGGCATTGTTTGGGTATATTCCCACCCGGTAACAGTGCTACACCATGGCTAGTACTCAAACTAACCTTGCGGGAACGGTCCACATTATTTACCATGGTTTGTAACTCCTGCATTCTTCGAATCAGACCAGGGTCAGTATTAGGCACCGTACTTTCTACAACAGAAGAAGGCATAGGATACACGAGGCATCAAAGTCACACGTGCCCTTTCCAGTTCTATGTCTCCCTGCTCCCAGTAGACTTCCACCAAGGCAATTCTGCTGAGAAAGAAATGCCATGTGTAGAAATCTTATTTTTGTTGTATTTATCAGAAATACTCTGGAATTCTTCTTCCATCCCAGTTCAACATCATATTTCTTCTCACACATGGATTCCCACATATTTGTTTACAAAATATACACTTTTCAAATCAATGAGGCATACATGGTTTTCAATAATAAATGTGGTTTTGTGTGCATGTTTTTGTTGGTCTGAAAGTATTGCATGCCCCAGAAATGTACTCATTTTCAAGGCACTATTTCAGAATGAGAAATAAATACAGCCGCTCCCCAACCTTTTGAAGGTATTCACTCCTATTGAGAAGGAATACCACTAGTGAAGTCAAAATGGACTCATGGGGGTCCAGGTGAAACTTACTAGTAACAAAGAACAGACAGGAAGCAGGGTGTATCTCAAAATGCTTCCTGCTGAAAGAGAAATGTTGTCCTTTGGCCAGTTCTTGTGCTGATACTTCAGGTGTACAAATCAGCATCAATTTCTGCTAAGCATCACTACCTGGCGAAAGGTAAACAGTGGCTGATCCATGCCTTGATTTAAAAGCAGCCATCTGAATCCTTTTGCTCCACCCCAGAAACCAGTCAACTGAGTATAAAGACTTTATATGCAAAATCAACTACTAGCTATCTCAAACTTTCTACCCTTCCAGTAGCACAATACATGGTAGGATGGGAATTGGGGATCTACTGATACTGTTTAAAAAATTAGGAGACAGACATCTCTGTCACTCAGAAATCTACACGAAGATACTGATCTCGTGCCTGATTAACAGATAGTAATACAAAAGGCAAATTGCTCTTCTCCAGTCTCAACAGCATGGACAACCAAGAGTAACTCCTCAATGATTCTCACCTAAAAGTTTCTGTGTCTTGTAACGGAAATCAAAGGAGTCCTGCAGCAACTCAAGTTGATCAATGGAGGTTTTTAGAGACTGTGGAATAGAACCAGGTACCATGTTCAGATAAAGCAAGCAATTAGATGACGAAGTATAAATCAAAAGAGGGCCCCGCCTGTGGCAAACGGTCATCCACTGACCAGTAGCAAATGGTAGCTTCCATGATACTGAATGGGGAATCAAGGTATTAGTTCGTATGCTGTTCAGGAGGCATGCTATCTAAAAAAACGACTCGGCACCTAGGATCATTCCTTTAAAGTTCAGATTACAACCTGGAGTGGATTCAGGGTGCTAGTGACCAGCAACCACTGTCCCATACCCTCTTATATCATACTCAAGCCACTGAGATCCTGCTAATGATCCACTGCCCATGTTCTGCTCCCCAATAGCACTGAGGCAATTTCACCCTTAAAAGAATGTATAATGCAATATGGGAGAAAGGACTGCCCCCACGACTGATGCTTATTTTGTTAATATTTAATTTTAAGGCCATAATAGGCCATCTATAGGACAAAAAAGGTTGCCAGGTGACTAAGAAAAAAGTAAAGGTTTCCCCTGACATTAGGTCTAGTAGTATGTGACTCTGGGGGGTGGTGCTCATCTCCATTTCTAAGCTGAAGAGCGTAGACACCTCCAAGGTCATGTGGCCAGCATGACTGCATGGAGCGCCCTTACCTTCCTGGCAAGGTGGTACCTATTGATCTACTCACATTAGCATGTTTTCAAACTGCTAGGTTGGCAGAAGCTGGGGCTAACAGCAGGAGCTCACCCCGCTCCCTGGATTTGAACTGCCAACCTTTTGATCAGCAAGTTCAGCAGCTCAGCAGTTTAATCCACTGCACCACCAGGGGGCCAGGGAGCTACAAAGTTCATAAAGCATTGATCATATGCAAATAAATTCCACTTAACAACTGAATACAGTCAAAAAATAAGTAGGACCAAATGAACTAATAACACCCATCAGAATAAAGTGCTAAAACATTTTCCCTCAGCAACCAATAAAACCTCAGAACACATTTGAAGAAGCTTTGGCCTACCCGTCTGATCAACCTCACCCCATCATAATATAGGATTTTTGAGCAGTTCTTCTAAAAAATCTCAGAACCAACAATCCCTGTCCCTTGTTCTATAATAATTTCCTTCTGCCTTTGGATCTTCAAATACAATCAGGTCCAATCAATATAGCCAAATTTATGGCACTGGAGGACTTGTAGCCCCAAACATAGTGAAGTCCAAAGGTTCTCCAGTTGTATCTCAGGAGAGGTCCATTCTGAATAACTGTAAAACTCTTTACACATACATCAAAGATAAGACCTAGTACAAGATGAATTAAGCGGAGCTACATGTGCCTGGAGCAGTAGGAAGAAATTCAGCGTGCTGTGTACAAAATCTGTGGCTTGTCAAATGACTGTAAATTAATATACTTTACAACTGGAAATCTGTGCTTTAATAAAATGTCTCTACAAGGAGAAAAACAGCTGAAACAGGTAACTTTATCTACTCCAGTGCCTTGGCACCTGCTGCAGACTTACCTGAATAGCCTTTCGCATCTCTGCTAGCCTGGCCTCAATCTTCTCCTCTTGACTGGAGGTCATGGAGGCAGCAGTTGGGGTTTCCACCACTGCCTGCAGGGAAAGGAAGAGGAAATACATGGGAAGCGGTAACATATAACAGAGGGCCAAAAACTGGATTCCTTGGGTGAACAAAATACTGCCTGAGGCAATGTTTGCATGACCTTCAAATTGTCTTTCTTCAGGAAAATTTTACCACAGCAGTAGCTGGTAATGCAGTTTACATAAGTTATATTCTAGAGCAGGGCTTCTTAAAACTTTCCAGGCTGTTTTTTTAATGAAGTGCAGTTGAATTACAGTTGGTCACATCATGAGAAGACAGGAAAGCTTGGAGAAGACATTGATGCTGGGGAAAATGGAAGGAAAAAGAAAGAGGGGCCGACCAAGGGCAAGGTGGATGTATGTTGTCCTTGAAGTTACTGGCTTGACTCTGAAGGAGCTGGGGGTGGTGACGGCTGACAGGGAGCTCTGGGGTGGGATGGTCCATGAGTTCACAAAGGATCAGAAGCAACTGAACTAATAAACAACAACAACAGTTGAAGCAATTTCTGCATGTTGTTGTTCATTTGTTCAGTCACTTCCGACTCTTCGTGACCTCATGGACCAGCCCACGTTAGAACCCCCAGCTCCTTCAGAGTCAAGCCAGTCACTTCAAGGATCCCATCCATCCAACTTGCCCTTGTTCGGCCCCTCTTCCTTTTTCCTTCCATTTTCCCCAGCATCATTGTCTTCTCTAAGCTTTCCTTTCTTCTCATGATGTGGCCAAAGTACTTCATCTTGGCCTCTACTTTCCCTCCAATGAGCAGTCGGGCTTTATTTCCTGGAGGATGGACTGGTTGGATCTTCTCGCAGTCCAAGGCACTCTCAGCACTTTCCTCCAACACCACAGTTCAAAAGCATCGATCTTCCTTCGCTCAGCCTTCCCTAAGGTCCAGCTCTCACATCCGTAGGTGACTACAGGGAATACCATGGCTTTGACTAGGCAATGGATCTTTGTTGCCAGTCTGATGTCTCTACTCTTCACTATTTGATCGAGACTGGACATTGCTCTCCTCCCAAGAAGTAAGCGTCTTCTGATTTCCTGGCTACAGTCTGCATCTGCAGTAATCTTTGCACCTAGAAATACAAAGTCTGTCACGGCCTCCACGTTTTTTCCCTCTATTTCCAGTTGTCAATCATTCTTGTTGCCATAATCTTGGTTTTTTTATGTTTAGCTGCAACCCAGCTTTTGCTTTCTTCTTTCACTTTGATTAGAAGGCTCCTCAGCTCCTCCTCGCTTTCGGCCATCAGAGTGGTGTCATCTGCATATCTGAGGTTGTTAATGTTTCTTCCAGCAATTTTCACCCAGCCTTGCATTCATCAAGCCCCGCACATCGCATGATGTGTTCTGCATACAAGTTAAAAAGGTTGGGTGAGAGGATGCAGCCTTGCCGTACGCCTTTCCCAATCTTGAACCAGTCTGTTGTTCCGTAGTCAGTTCTGACTGTTGCTACTTGGTCCTTGTACAGATTCCTCAGGAGAGAGACAAGGTGGCTTGGGATGCCCATCCCACTAAGAACTTGCCACAATTTATTATGATCCACACAGTCAAAGGCTTTAGAATAGTCAATGAAGCAGAAGTAGATGTTTTTCTGAAACTCCCTGCCTTTCTCCATTATCCAGCGGATATTGGCAATTTGATCTCTCGTTCCTCTACCTTTTCTAAACCCAGCTTGAACATCTGGCAACTCTCGCTCCATGTATTGCTGGAGTCTTCCTTGCAGGATCTTGAGCATTACCTTACTGGCATGAGAAATAAGGGCCACTGTACCGGAAGTTTGAGCAGTCTTTCGCATTTCCCTTTTTTGGTATGGGGATATAAGTTGATTTTTTCCAGTCTGATGGCCATTCTTGTGTTTTCCATATTTGCTGGCAAATGGCATGCATCACCTTGACAGAATCATCTTTTAAGATTTTAAACAGTTCAGCTGGGATCCCGTCGTCTCCTGCTGCCTTGTTGTTAGCAATGCTTCTTAAGGCCCATTCAACCTCACTCCTCAGGATGTCTGGTTCTAATTCATTCACCACACCGTCAAAACTATCCTCAATATTATTATCCTTCCTATACAGATCTTTTGTATAGTCTCGCCACCTTCTCTTGATCTCTTCAGCTTCTGTTAGGTCCCTGCCATCTTTGTTTCTTATCATAACAATTTTTGCCTGAAATTTACCTCCAATGTTTCTAATTTTCTGGAAGAGGTCTCTTGTCCTTCCTATTCTGTTGTCTTCTTCCACTTCCATGCATTGCTTGTTTAAAAATAGTTCCTTATCTCTTCTGGCTAACCTCTGGAATTGCGCATTTAACTGGGCATATCTCCCCTTATCCCTGTTTCCTTTTGCTTTCCTCCTTTCTTGGGCTACTTCCAGTGTCTCAGCAGACAACCATTTTGCCTTCTTGGTTTTCTTTTTCTTTGGGACGTCCTTTGTTGCCACCTCCTGAACAATGTTGCGGACTTCTGTCCATAGTTTCTCTGGGACTCTATTTACTAAATCTAGTGCTTTAAATCTGTTCTTCACTTCCACTGCATATTCACTAGGAATGTTAGTGAGATCATATCTTACTGGTTTGTGTATTTTCCCTGATCTCTTTAGTTTTATTCTAAATTGGGCAATAAGAAGTTCGTTATCTGAGCTACAGTCAGCCCCAGGTCTTGTTTTCACCGACTGGATGGATGACCGCCACCTTTGGCTGCAAAGGATGTAGTCAATCTGATTTCGGTGTTGACCATCTGGTGAGGTCCATGTATAAAGCCGTCTTTTAGGTTGTTGGAAGAGAGTATTCGTTATACACAGCGAGTTTTCCTGGCAAAATTCTATCAGCCTGCGTCCCGCTTCATTTTGTTCTCCCAGACCATGCTTGCCTGTGATCCCTGTTGTCATTTGACTTCCCACCTTGGCATTCCAGTCTCCTGTAATGAAAATAATGTCTCTTTTTGGTGTATTATCCAGTAGTTCCTGCAGATCCTCATAGAACTGATCTACTTCTGCTTCTTCAGCAACTGTGGTTGGGGCGTATATTTGGATCACTGTAATGTTGAAAGGCTTTCCTTGCACTCGAATTGAGATCATTCTGTCATTTTTTGGGTTGTATCCAAGCACCGCTTTAGCGAATTTCTTATTAATTATGAAGGCTACTCCATTTCTTCGATGTTCCTCTTGTCCGCAGTAGTAGATCTGGTGGCCATCTGATGTGAAGTGGCCCATTCAACACTGCATAACATATTCATGTAAATGTCTCACACTTCAAGAAGGATCTTGACAAGAGAAGAGCGACCAAAAGGATCAATGGTTTGGAAACCAGGAAGTGACTGTAGGGGCTCGGTATGTTTCCCTTTGGGGAGAGAGGGTAAGGTATAAATAAAGTATTATTTGATACATAACAAGATTAGCCCACAATATGCTGGCTTTTGTATCTGATCACATATTGGCCACTTCCCAAGTGTCTAGAACTGTGTGATGTATCAGAGAATAATGTGGCAATAATAATAATAATAATAATAATAATAATAATTGCTTGGAGAAAAGAAGGCTGAGAGGCGACATGATAGCCATGTCTAAATATCTGAAAGGACGTCACATTGAGGTTCTTTTTTGCTGCTCTGGAGACTAGAACACAGAGCAATGGATTGAAATTGCAGGAAAAGAGATTCCACATGAACATTAGGAAAAACTTGCTGATGTTAAAAGCTGTTCAACAGTGGGAAGTGTAGCCTTGCAAGGAAGTGGAGCCTGCTTCTCTTGAGGTTTTCAATCAAAGGCTAGATGGCTATCTGTCAAGAGTGCTTCGATTGTGCTTTTCCTGCATGGCAGGGGATTGGATTTGTTGGCCCTTGTGATCCCTTCCAATTCTGTAATTCTATGAACCAATTAATCTAAATGTATGAGGCTTGACTTGCATTACAGGAATGGCAGTTTCAGTTGACTCTTAAACTTAAACTAAAAAGCAAGGAAAAAGCAAAGATGCAAAACACATACAGGGTCTCAACGGAGTGAGTCAGGAGCCATCCAGTGCCAAAGACACACAATCGAAAGCTTATTTCGAGCCAGAACTTCAATTGCACCCAGACACTTCGGCCAAGCCAATACCACCCATACACACACACCAGGAAAGCTAAATGAGCTTGGCAGTCTAATCATGAGGAACATATAAATGAAGGGCTCTAAAGAAGATGGCAATTTGAGACACCAAGAAGAGGAACAATTAAAAGCAAATATGGCAAGAATGACAAATTATAGTTAGGTTTATGTCTAAATCAAAAGCAGATTGGATTTTATGCATTAATAACCAATTTGTTGCTAGATTTTTCCCTTGGCTTTTCCAGTTCAAAGGAACACATTGTTTCAGCTTTTAGATCAGTGCTTCTCAAACTTTGGTCCTCCAGATATTTTGGTCTTGAACCAGGAGGCCCAGCCAGCTTAATCAACATTCAGAAATTGTGGGAGCTGAAGTCCAAAACATCTGGCTCATGTGCTCCACAAACCTCACATTTAGTCCTCAAACATGGCCACTTCTCAACATGGGATAATTAATAACCCATATATTTTCACCCAAATATATCGTCATGAATGAAGATGGAAGAAAATCACATTAAATCTGATAATCAAAATTCACGCAAAGTGATTTTTTTTAAAAAATGCTATCCTTTCATTAATTAATCTAACAACAAGCTTACTTACTCACTGCCTAATACCCATTTGCCTCTGAATATATTCTTGGTTTCAGATAAATATGTGTATCCCCTCCTGCCCTGGAGTTCCTGTGACCAATCGAGAGGAGTTTACATTAACACTAAATGGAAGCATATTGTTACAGAGTAGGATGAAAAGTATCAGATCAGGATAACAATGCAGCAAAGCAACCAAGAAAAACGGTTATGCTAGGAGGAGTGAACGCAATATTTATTCATCTATCTATTTCTCAAGTTGCATTTACATCCCAGCTTTTCCTCTGACCGTGGATTAAAGGATGACTTTCCGAAGGCCACTGGAAATGGGGTCTCTCAAGTCCCATCCTACATTGTAAGCACTCAGACAGACTGGTTCTAGCTGGGTTGGCTGAGGCAGATGGGACAGCTTAACAGAGATTGGTAAACTTGGGTAAACTTCAGCCCTCCAGGTGTTTTGGACTTCGACTTCTACAATAGCCAGTGATGTTAGGAAGTGTGGAAGTCCAAAATACCTGGAAGGCTGAAATTTGCTCATGCCTGATCTACACTGTAGATTAATGCAGCTTGACACCCCTTTAACTTCCATGGCTCACTGCTATGGAATCTAGAGATATGTAGTTTGGTGAGGCACCAGCACCATTTGGCAGAGAAGACTAAAACAACAAATTCCATAGCATTTAGTCATGGCAGTTAAAGTGGTTCCAAACTGCATGAATTCGAAAGTGTAGATACACCTAGAGTTCACTTACCTTAGAGGCAGCTGAGGCAGCCACCAGAATTTCTCGCTCTTTCCTCAGCAAGTCGTCGATCACATGGGCCAATTGCTCTGGATGTTCTTGATACAGGGCCTGGAAGGAAAGAATGCAAGAATGGTTGGGAAATTGCAACTCCACCCACACTTCCAGCTTTTCACATGATCTACCAAGCTGTGGCACAGCTAGCTGATAGTCCTCTGCATTAAATCACTACTGACTGAAAGGTCATGAGTTCAAAGCCAGCTCGGGTTGGAGTGAGCTTCCGGTCATTAGTCTAGTTTGCTGTTGACCTTTGCAGCCTGAAAGACAGTTGCATCTGTCAAGTAAGAAATTTAGATACTGCTTCATGGCCAGGAAGGTCCTTTTGTTTGGTGTTTAGAATTCCTGGCTTGGCCCCGCAGTTACTGGTACTCAGCTGCCTTCTACCCAGACCTCACACCACCACCGTACATACAGTGTTTGTACCTGGAGATGGACTTTGGAGCGGTGCAAGTTGTGCTTGAGCAAAATGTTCGAGTTGTTCTCTTCGCTCAAAACTAGGCGCCCCAACTGATCATCCAGGAGTGACTGCATAGTATAGAAAAGGCAGCAGGCCAGTGAGCTCTCGGACTGCGCTGCCTGGTTCCTGAAATAGACACAAAGGCCATGGGGGAGTGAGAATGGTATTTCAGCTGTATGCACAAAAGCTAAGATACAGGAAGACAGGCGGAAAGAATACCAGGAGAGAGGTAAAAAAAAAAAAAACCAAGGTTCTCCCAAGTCCCACTGGAGACTGTCAGGTCGGGGGTTCGAGTCCGGGGAGAGCCCCCTCTGACAGCTCCAGCTCTTCATGCGGGGACATGAGAGAAGCCTCCCACAAGGATGGCAAAACATCAAAAAACATCCGGGCATCCCCGGGCAACATCTTTTCAGACTGTGGTGGCCATAAGGAGAAAAATAAAATAATTATAATTTAAAATGAAAATAATGAGTAGTAAGGCTTACCTGTCTGTTCTTGAGGGTGGGAAGTAGAGATTTTGGTAGAAGAGAAATTTAACAGATGACTTAGAAAACTTTTAGGCTGGCTCTATCTTAAGTCAATATTTGAAGGAGCCAAGGCTAAAGGCTGAAGGCTGAGGTAGGAAACTTGGCTCATGAGTTAAATCGATATTATTGATTCGAAAACTGACATCTAAAGGTCATGTAGTAGTAGCGCCACCTCCTGTCTGGTTGATGAAAATAGCAGGCAATTTCATACACCTTTTTAAATGATCAACTGAGGAAAATAATGTATTGTGAAAGTAATTACAGAAGAATTAATAAGGGAAATGCTTGCTTTGAATAAATTAAAGATACATATATGAAGACATATGTATAAAGAGAAATATATGAAGTTATGATTCATTCTAAAGATTACGTAAGTCATCTGGGAACGTGGCTGGTCAGCTGATGAAAGGGGAGCAGTGGAAATTATAGTATCTTGCCAACAATTGTTCTTGGCCTCGGTTCCTCGAGGACAAATTGATATTGATTAGATTGTGTAAATGTCAAGACCCATATGCGCATGTGTAAACCTGAGAATTTATGCTATAAATGCTGGAGCAAATCTGACTTCCAATGTGTGTCAGATATTGGTTTCTGAACACCCTGTCAAGCTTGATGGAATTAAAAGCCTGGAATCAGTTGCTGTCTCCTTTCTCTTCCTTCCTGATTGTGCTCGTCTGATCTCGGGTAACGAATCTTCCGCAACAAGACAGCCAATTCTCTCACACCAGAAGCGACTTGCAGTTTCTCAAGTACAGGGTGAGGCAGCATTTTTTAAAATGCGCGCCATTCAGTCGGTTGAAGACGTAGCGGAGCGCTAGTGGTCTCGTTCGAGAGGTGGGAGTATAAAGTTTTGTCCTGACACAGTTCATTCGCCATCATGCGTTGGAACAGTGAGGAGCGTGCTTTTGCCATTGAGGCCTACTTTTTGAGCAGATTTGGAGTGGCCAGCCCACTCTCCAGATTTGGCCCCTTGTGATTTTCTTCTATGGGGTTTTCTGAAATCCCGTATTTATGTGAACCATCCAAGGACCCTGCAAGATTTGAAGACCAGCATCCAGGAAGAAATTGCCAACATAATGCCTGCTATTCTGGCAAGAATCATAACAAATGCCAGAAATTGGTTTACTCAGTGTACGGAGAATGGGGGATGTCACCTACCTAATTTGATCTTCAAAACTACGTAAAAAAAACTTTAGGTATGCACCTACATTATAATTTTTTTTTAAAAAAAATATTCTGATTCATTCAATGGGTTTTATTAAGTTTTGAAAAAATGAAGTTATGCTGCCTCACCCTGTAGCTCCTGACACGAAAAACAAAACATTTTGGGGAGGGGGGGGGGATTTCCCTAACAGCTTCAAGAAATGCAATCCAGTGGTGCTTGGAGACATCATGCTGGTTCTGTCAGATATCTCCCTTTAAAAATCCTAACTTTGACACAAACAGATGAGCAATCACAGCCCAAAAATGGCAGGATTCCTACTGGGAGAAGGGAAGAGCATTTTTTCATATTTTTCAATTCTCCCAGTCCTACCCCACCCTTTTTTCTGTTGTAAGAGAAGAGTGCCACATTCCCCAACTCAAAGTGTTAGAAACTAAGGTCAATCGGTTAAGCTGAATTATAGGAGATTCAGGGGAGACAAAACAAGCATTTCTTCAGTCTGCACATAGTTCAGCTGCAGAAGCCTCTGCCACTAAATGTGGCAATGGCCAACAAATTGGGATGCATCTGAAAAAGAAACACTATAGATATATGTTTAGACATTTTAATCAAAAAGTGATCTAATTAACCTGAGTCAACTTATTCACAGTTCAATGTAAATACCGTAACGTATTTTTAAAAAACCAAACCATTCCTTTCTCTGAGTAGAGTGGAGAAAGGTCATTTTCAACACCTGGGCAGAAAATTGGTGATAACAACTAGAGGTCTGCAATTTGGCCAAAAGGCATGCTGTTTTGGGGTCCATTGTTGACTGACCCCTCATTCTGTTTACTGGGAAGATGCTCAATTGGGAGGAGTGCTGCCGTTTTCATTAGGCAAAGATTCGGCCCATTGGCTACAATGGGAAACTTTAAAAGCCCAATCCTCAGTCATTTTAATGCGTATGTGCACTAAACCTACCTCAGGCCTGCCAAGCTTCAAAACAATTCACCAATCTAACAATTTTTTAAAGTATTATTTTAAGTTTTAACCATAACCCTTTTTTTTTTTCAAAATAAGACAAACCGCAAGAGAGGGTTCTGGGAATTGTAGTCGCCAGTTGTGTTCATTCTCAGCCAATCAAAGCATGGACACAACTAGGCCTTTTATTGGCTGAGAAACAGAGGGAGATAAGAACTTGATGAATATGATTATTTAACTATCTGGCTTTGGATCTATGCACAATAGTAGTCTAATGTTTACATATCTTGTTTTAATGTTGTTTTAGATTGTTGTTTAATTGCTTTTAATTGTTGTTGTTGTTTGGGCATGGAATAATGCCAATTACGTAAGCCGCCCTGAGTCCTCTTTGGGGTGAGAAGGGCGGGATATAATTATAATAAATAAATAAATACTTCAACTCCCATCATGTTCTGAGAGTAACTCAGAGACTTTTCCATGCTCACCCTCTGCAAGTGCTGCTGGGAAAGCGAGTTCCCAGCAGGGTGCTCTCTGGAGGAAGAGGCTAGGAATGGACAGAGGCTGCTTCTGCCAGGGAGGGAGAAAAGACAGCAGCTCCCTGACTCAGATATATTGTGACTGAACTCCTTCCTCTCCAGGAACCGACAGAATCTGGCTCCCTTAATCCATTTTGCTAGGCTTTGTAGCTCCCTCCTCCCCATTCTGACCACTGAATATTACAAATCATTTTCATTCAAACTGATTCGGCCCCAAGCCTAATAAAAACAGCCAGGCTAGCATTCATGGAATGACCCCCAGTTTATCTACACGTCACAAAATAATTTTTTAGCATAATTTTGGCCCGCAAATCTGCCCTCGATTTATATAAGGGGTCAACTTATGCACAAGTATATACAGTATTTATTATTATGTTTCTGTCTTACTTTTCTTTCAGTGGGGTAAAGAAAGTTCTGCATGGCTCTCCTTCTCCTGAGTTTATTTCCCTAAGAAATTCTGTGAGGGAGGAAATGTTGCTCTTATATGGCTGGTTTAAGACCATACAATGAAATTCATGGCTCAGTGGGGACTTGAACCCGAATCTCCCAGATAAACATTTTAACTACTACATCAGGGCAGGCAAACTGGAGCCCACCAGCCACATGAAGCTTCCCAAAGCCTCACCATGAATTGCCTCCACAATTGATAGCATGGGAATTTAGTGGGACTTAAAAGTCCTGCAAAACCCAGAATAGTACTCCTAAAAGAATAAAATCAGAAATTGAATTTTGGCCAGTTACCATTGCAGTTGTTGCATATTAGTCTTTTGTGCTGCACATGCTTGATGCTCAGGGCTCACATTCACTCCTGACACGATAAATAAATAAAGGGCTCCCATTTAAAGTTGTCCACCTCTCTATTACATCAACTCCTGCTCCAGCCAATTTAATGAAAAGCAAAACTATCCATGGCTTTTAGTCATTATGGCTATGTATCACATCCAGTAAACCTTTGGGTGTCAAGTTTTTTGGGAGCCCTAGACAGGGGCTACAGTTGGTCTCATGTCCTGCAAATGGGCTTCTCCTTGGGGCTTCTGACTGGCCCCTGTGGGAAGAGAAAGCTAGATGATGTTAGGGAATTCTCCCAAAAATAGCAGAGCATCCAAAAATATAAACAGGATACTTAATTGAGCAGTCAGCTCACAGCAAGCGGAAAGGTGAAGTGTTGTGTGGCTGCAAAAGAATGTTTGCGCTTAGGAGGCAAAGATGCAGAGTTCAATCTTTACAAAAAGCTTTGTTTACAAAATAAGAACTACATTTCTTAATATGAAAGAATTGGGTCTAAGCTTCTCTCTAAAACCATAACTTTCTAAGTTCCAAAACAAGAGCAAAAACCTCTAAACACTACATCTCTTCAAACATGCAGAATAGAGAGACGTCTAAATGCAAAGAAAAAGTAGAAGGCTTAAGCAAAGGCATGCAACCTGAAGAGAATCCATTCTATACTACCAATCAAGATGGGAGCAGAAAGAGAGAGAGAGAGAGAGAGAGAGGGAGGGAGAAAAGATACATCCCAACTGACATTCAGGAGTTAGGGGGGAAGGGATTCCCTCAGCCTATTCTAAAGCTGACTGTTCCTCATTGAGGACTGCAGACTTGGCAGAGTGGGGTTGAATTCCAACAGATGAAAGAGGCCTTGTCTCTGATCACAGTATTCTCTTATTTATTTTATTTATATACCAATGACTAATACTATTTGCTAAAATCTTTTCAAGGGAATACTTTTGTCTATTTCACTGTACATTATGGGATGTTTGCGTTGACTTCACCTTTCAATACCAATCAACCCCTTTATCCATGGATTTGCTAGTCATGGTTCAGTTCTCCACACTCCAAAACTATTTCCCCTGGTAGTGTGTGTGAATCGCTCTAGATTCTCCAGGGAAACTTTGGTAAGCTTCCAGCCCAAGTATAGTAAAATTAAAGGGTTCACTGTTATCCATGCTTTCAGATTTCTATGGGCATGGATGTTTTGGAATTTATACGTTTTTCCCTGATATTAGGTTTCCCCTGGGGTGGTGGTGCTCATCTCCATTTCTAAGCCAGCATAGTCCATAGACTTCTCCAAGGTCATGTGGCCAGCATGACTGCATGGAGTGCCATTACCTTCCCACAGAAATGGCACCTATTAATATCTAACATTTGCAAGTTTTCGAACTGCTAAGTTGGCAGAAGCTGGGCCTAACAGCAGGAGCTCACCTCGCTCCCTGGATTCGAACTGCTGACCTTTCGGTCAACAAGTTCTGCAGCTAAGCAGTTCAACCCGCTGCGCCACCAGGGAGCATGTGCTGTAACTACATTTCATTAAATGTAATGATTCCATAATATTATATAACTGTTGTTTTCCTGGTTTTGCAGGGCAGAAAAGATAAGGCTGACACTGACTTTGCTTGAGCTGAGAATTGCCAGATGACAACAAGTCCTATGAAATTCTGACTATTACGCATAGCACGAAACAAGTAATCAACACATGGCCGGGGGGGGGGGGGGCAGTAGTCCCATGACATTACCAGTCCTGCTCCTCAATCCAATAGGCGATGTACTCTCGCACTTCCATGGGCAGGCGTTCATCCATATAGAGCTTATGCACTTGCTCCAGGTACACTGAGTCCAACATCAGGATCTGTTGCCACAGGGCCATGTTGTGATGTGGTCAGCTTGGGCCCCCTTCTGCTCGCAACCCCTGAGAGAAAAAGTCAAAAGTTGAATAAGACTCCCTCTGCAGGGAACCAAGCAATTAAAAGCATGTGGACAATTTCAACAGAAAGGAAGAAACCATGAAAATGAACAAAATCTGGCTACCAGTATTAAAAAACTCAAAAATTACAGCAGCAAAACAACAGAGGGGAAACAAACAGGCACATGAAATCACTCTCAACAAAAGATTCCCCCCAGGCGCTTCCAAGCCATTGAATGCAAATCAAGGTGATCAGCTGAAACATTCACAGCTAGCCACAGCAAACAAAAGTCCTTTGTCTCACCCTGGTCATTCCACAGATATATAAACCCATTTTTCCTAGTTCCAACAGACCTCATTACCTCTGAGGATGCTTGCCATAGATGCAGGCGAAACGTCAGGAGAAAAATTGCCTCCAGAACATGGCCATATAGCCCGGAAAAACCTACAACAACCCATGGATTCTGGCCATGAAAGCCTTCGACAATAAATTAAAAGGCTACCAAATACAATACCACTTTGTTGCAGATATTTTTTGAATCAAGAGATTTTCAACAAGCTAAGAAGACTGTACAAAACCATTCACATTTATCATGGGTGTGTATGAATACATAATACTAGAATGACAGGGTGAAGGTTACTTATCCGGATTTCCAAAATCCAGAAGTGTCCAAACGTAGTGACACCACGTTTGGTTTCTGAAGGTTCACTGTACACAAACTTTGCTTCATGCACAAATATATTTAAAATACCATGTATATTTATTTATTTATGATATTTCTATCCTGCCTCTCTCAGCCCAAAGGCAACACAAGGAGGCTTACAAGTTGGCAGCAATTTGATGTCATAACAAACCACAATATACAGTTAAAAACATTTAAAACAACATAAAATCCATACAAAAACTCTTAAAGCATATAATAACCAATGTCTTCCTGATAATCTCATTTATAAAATCACCTTCAAGTTACATGTATCAAGTGTCTCTGAAAGATAAATGAATGCTGTGTTTAAACTTGGCTTGGAAGTTAAGATCTTCTGGGAAGGCCCTGCTCTTGGTCCATCTCCTTCGCAGGTGTGGTTGGTGGGGACAAGAGACAGGGCCTTCTCAGAGGTGGCCCTTCGGCTATGGAACTCCCTCCTCAGGGAAATTAGACAGGCCCCATCCCTCCCCTCCTTTCTTAAGAGCTTGAAGACCTGGTGGTTTCAACAAGCCTTTGAGAATGACTAGTTCTAACTCAGCCCTAGACATTGCTGAATATGGCCTTATTCTTCCTACCAATACCCAGGTCACTTCCTTTAATATGCCCCGGAAATGACCAGCCATAGACCCGTACCTATTATTGTTTTTGCCTGCTATAGCACTGCACTTAATTCCCACCCCCCACCCCCCTAGAATTTTTGAGCTTGCACTAATCTCGGCCCGGCCTTTTAAATTGCCTTGAAAAGGCAGGATTACTTTTAATATATATGTGTTATGGCAACAATTTTTATGCTTATATTGTTTTTGTTAATCTTATGGTTATGTTGTTTATTCTGTATGTATTGATGACATTACTTGGAAACTGCTCTGAGTCCCCCCGGAGAGATAGAGTGGTATATAAATAAAGTTTATTATTATTATTATTATTATTATTATTAAGCCATCACAGCCAATGCTAAGGAATGTTGGGAGTTGCAGATCAACAACTCTTCAGAGAGTTGCAGGATCACCAAGACTACTCGTTGGGAGATCAACTTTAGGTTTAATGGGCTCTTATTCCCAGAGCCTGGAAACTACAACAGGGTTCTGCAAGTTTATAATGTAACAAAATAACTTTTCTAAACTCTACTTTCTTTGGCCAGCATTTAGCTCCAAGGGCAAGGAACTTATGAGCTGGTATGCTGGGGAGGGATCTCATTAGCTCTGCATATGGATGGCACCATACTCCAAAACTCCAGATGACCTCTCCCAGCAGTTTCATGTATTTGTTGAACAGCATGGAGGACAGCACAGAGCCCTGAGAGACCCCTCAGGCCAGTGGCCAAGGAGTCAAACAGGAGTCCCCCAGAATCACCTTCTGGGAATGATCCTCCAGGATGGAATGGAGTCACTGAAGAACAGTACCTCCAAGCCCCATCCAAGAAAGGCATCTCAGAAGAACACCATAGTCAATGGTATCAACAGCTACTGAAAGATCCAGGTGAACCAACAGGGCCTTACTCCCCTGTCCAGTTTTCTATGTAGGTAATCGACCAAGATGACCAAAACTGTCTCTGTCCCATAACCAGGCCTGAAACCTGACTGAAATGGATCTAGATAATCTGCTTCATCCAAAAACCCTTGCAGTTGCAAAACCACCACACACTCCAGAAACTTGCCTAAAAACGGGAGGTTGGAGGTCTGTAGTTGTCCAGTATAGAGGGTTTAGGGAAGGTTTTAGAGAAGAGGCCTGTGAGGACCCTGCCTGATACAAAGAGGCATTAATCACTCCACCAGCCCTTCTCTGGCCTGTTTGATCAGCTAGGAAGGGCAAGGGTCTAGAGTACATGTGATGGCTCTCACATCTCCAAGAATCCTGTCCACATCTTCAGGCTGCACAAACTGAAAGGTATCCATCAACACAGGACAAGCAGCTGCCAACATTACATCCACCAGAGCTATATCAACAGTGGCTTCTAAGTCAGAGCGAATCCAAACAAAATGGTGGGCAACCTGCTCAAAGCGTGCTGTTGTATGCTACTGATAAGCCAAATGATTTCCATTCTACCTGCATATTTTATAATGAGGCTTCACAGAGTCATTTGGGGGGTTTCAGACTTGTCCACAATAGAAATGAAGGATACACAGCAAATTGTGTGGAAAGCTCACAAATCTGGAGGAATGTTGCTACCTTGGTAACATGCAAGGTATGTAATTCTTACCAGTTTCACATTTAAAAGGAAACAAAAGAAGATGTGAAACTATGAAGAGAGAACAATAAGCAAAGGGAAGGTAGGCATCAACAGAGTTCAAGCAAATAGGAAGTGCTGTCTTCAAACCACTGCATGTCAATGAGTTGAAAAGCAATTTCAATCAAGGGAGATGAAATTATATATGATGCAAATAGATGAATCTCTTTTCAGTTACAGGGAAAGAATCCCATATCCAAAATGTATGGGACCAGAAGTGTTTTGAATTTAAGATATTTTAAAAAAATGAATAGCTGTATTTGCATAAACACAAACATATATACATGATGAGATACCTTGGATATGGGACCAAAGTCAAAACAAAAAAAATGCACGTATGTTTCACATATATATCTTAGACACATAGCCTGATCGTGATTTTATATGCAATATTTTAAATTATTTTGTGCATGAAACAAAATTAGTGTACATTAAACCACAACAAAGCAAAGATACACTGGACTCTCATCATCCTTAGCTAACATGGGAGTTGAAGCCAAACGGATTGGTGAATACCAGGTGGACAAAAACTTCTTCTTCTTCTTCTTCTTCTTCTTTTTTTTTTTACAGCAGATACATATTATTCAATACAACCTATCATACTTTAACTTTTGGCATCTACTGTTATTTTTCTGCCTATACATATTGTCAATCTCTCACCGCTGTGCTCCCCCCTCCCAAGCCACAGCTTTTATATATCATCTGTCCAAAATTTCAATTCTTTTTGTGGAGGTAACTTTCCTTCTTCCTTTTTAAATATTTTTTCAATAAATTTTCTCCATACATCATCAAAAACAACTCTTTTAACTTTTAATATACATATCAGCTTATCATTTATTGCCAATTTCCATACATCCTTGTACCACTCCTCTATCTGGATATTTATTTCTCTTTTCCAGTTCCTTGCTATAAACAGTCTTGCTATTGTTAATACGTTTGCTATCACATCTTTATCTTCTTTTTTCAGTTATTATTATATAATGATAATAAAGCTATACTATACTATCTTCTATTTCTCTAAATACATTCCATCCAAAATTATTTACATATTTACATTGCTACCACATATATATATATGTTCCTGATTCTTGGCATCCTCTCCAGCAATTTTTTAGTAGTTTTTATATTTGCTATTCTTACTGGTGTTAGGTGCTAACTGGTGCTAATTTCCATATTAGCGTATAGTAATTTTCTTTAACCCATATTGATAAAATCTTTAGATGTCTTTGTCTCCATAATTGTTGCCACTCTGTTTCATTTATTTTTATCCCTAAATCTTCTTCCCAGACCTCCTTGAGGATGTAGTTTTTCCTTCACTTATTTCAATTATTATCTTATATACTTTACTAGTTATTCCTTTCAAATTTTCATGCTCCTCTATAACCCTTCTATTTTGTATAATTTGTTCGAACTGGTTAAGCTTACTTCCATTTTTATTATTTTTTAACCACTTTTTAAACCATTGTTCTAATTGTATACAATTTTATTTCTCTAAATTCTTCCATAATCCTCTCCTTCTTCATATAATCAATACAGATTAAATTGTATTAAACAAAGCAATCCTCTGAATATTCACTCTGAGATATCCCACTGAACTCAGTGGGCCTTATTCCCCAGCAAATGTATCCATGAAGCCAAAATCTCTTTCAAAAAGAACTTTCCCATTCTCTGGCTTTTGCCCTTTCTCTGTGCCAGAATGCTCTTTGCCTCATTAGGACAGAGGGAAATAATGCATTAATGGTTAGCTCAGAGAGTGTGTTGAAAATGGAGCGGGGCTAGGCAACAGACGGGGAGAAGACAGAAAGGAGAGCACAGTAAGAGCTGACAGAGTCAAGTCTGGAATTGCAGAAAGGAGGAAATGAATAGAAAGAGACTCCTGGGATTTATCTTGAAGAAAGATAAACAGGAACCATGCTGAATAGTGAAGTTTTTCCAACATGTAATAAGAAGCAGGGGGTGCTTCTAATGATTCCTTATATAACACTACTAGCTTAGATAGAAGGACCCCCTGGTGGTGCAGCAGGTAAACCCGCTGTCCTGCTGAACTTGCTGACCGAAAGGCCAGCTGTTCAAGTCTGGGGGTGGGGTGAGCTCCCGCTGTTAGGCCCAGCTTCTGCCAACCTAGAGGTTCGAAAACATGCAAATTTGAGTAGATTGATAGGTACTACGTTGGCGGGAAGGTAATGGTGCTCCATGTAGTCGTGCGGGCCACATGACCTTGGAGGTGTCTACGGACAACACTGGCTTTTTGGCTTAGAAATGGAAATGAGCACCACCCCCCAGAGTGGGACACGACTAGACTTAATGTCAGGGGAAACCTTTACCTTTGCCTAGCTTGGGTACCCGGCGTTCCCCAGTTTATTAGAAGAAATCTTTTTTTTTATTTTACAAAATGCATAAAGTTGTGGGTGTACTACAACTCACATCATGCGAGATTAACCCCCTGAAACTCTATCAATACTTAAAATTTGTCATTTTGGGCAAATTTGCTCTAGATGCATCATTGGTGGGGTTCATTATGCCCTCCAGCTGCAGGATCAATTACAACTCCCACCATGGTGGGTCTGTCCCGTCAAATCCCTCCAGTACATTCAATTGGTCATGGGGGCTCTGTGTGCCTAGTTAAGTCTAGGTCCATCACTGGTGGAGTTCGGAGTGCTCTTTGATTGCAGGTGAACTATAAATCCCAGTACCTACAACTAATAAGTGTGAAGGCCAATTTCTCCAACTCCACCAGTATTAAAATTTTGGCATATTGGGTATGCGTGCCAAATTTGATGCAGACCCATTGTTGTTTATGTGCACAGTGCTCTCTAGATGTAGGTGAACTATAATTCCTATAAATCAAAGTGAATTTCCCCAAAAGCCGTCCTCTATTTTTGGTTGGTCATGGGGGTTCTGTGAGCCAAATGTGGTTCAGGTCCATTGTCAGTGGGAGTCACAGTGCTCTGACTTGATGCACGGTGTACTAAAACTTCCATCATGTAGAGTCAATCCTCGAAGCTCTTCCAGTATGTTTAGTTGCTGCTCAGTTCTGCAGACAGAGTTGAAAAGAGTGGGAAAGGGTTTTTATGTGTATCAGGAGTGACTTGAGAAACTGCAAGTTGCTTAACCAATTCTTTGTGAGAGAATTGGTTAAGGGAGAGAGAGACAGTGAATGGGATCATGCAAATTCCGCACCAATGGAGAGAGTAAGAAACACTGGGATGTTTGCAGCGGAGGAAACACATAAAATCTAGGATGAAATTGTCCTCGTATGGAAGCATTCCTTGGATGGTGGGCCATAGTGTTTAGGGAGGTCATGGTGCTCGCTATAACTTGAAATGTCATTGGACAGAGTGCTTTTGGTGGCTCCTCAGCACTGTGGGTTATAGCTGTCTGTGGAAGCGGGAGCCTGTGTGTGGAAGTGGGCACCCCAGCCACATACACGCATACATATTTTCACTTTTATCATGTGGATAGATGGATAGATAGATAGATGGATAGATGGATGGATAGATAGATGGATGGATGGATGGATGGATGGATGGATGGATGGATGGATGGATAGATGGATGGATGGACGCACGGACGGACGGACAGATAGAAAGAACACAGTTTTTGTTCTTTGGTTATAAATATTGTTTCCTAATTGGTTTTATCATAAAAACATGGGGAAAGTTTATTAAAACTGTTGTTTTTGGGGGTCATCTTGCAGCACATTTTGTTATAGTTTTTCAGTTAATATTCTCATAGAGTCTCAACTCATTCAACCTAGTTTGTGGCTGCCACAAAAATGAAGTTTCTAGAGTATAACAACTACTTTCAAAGCAAGTATTGCACAATTAAACAGGAAATAACACTTTCAAACCAGGAACAGATTTTTTTTTCAAATTTGTTACATAGTTTTATTGTTTCATTCTTATTTATGAGCAGGAAATGCTCAGACACATCTACACTAGCCATTTAATGCTGCTTCAAGCCAGCCTTCCCGGCTTTTAGAAATTGTGGGAGTTGAAGTCCAAAACACCTAGAGGGCCAAAGTTTTCCCATGCCTGGTGTAGATGATTACATAGGAAATCTTGAAACCAGATGGAGGCCAAGATGGTAATTACACAAATCACAGAGTAATTATGCATATTAAGAACTTTCTTTCACACACCATGTTGTGTGGTTTCTAGGCTGTATGACCGTGTTCTAACAGCATTTTCTCCTGATGTTTCACCTGCATCTGTGGCTGGCATCTTCAAAGGATCACACACTTTCATGGGAGTTTGGCTGCTGCAGTTTGAAGTTATCTTCGAACTGCATTAAATGGGCAATGTAGATGTGACCTCAGTTAACAATCATCCTTGGGAATTGCTAGATACTGGAAAAATGTCATTTCTGGTTGCTTGAGAGTTACTATTAAAAATAAGCCTTACTAACGTTACGCCCATAATATACCACACCATAGATTCTGCATTGACTTGATATTAATATTGAAATACATCAATTAAAAGCAAATTGAGTCCAATTAAACAAATTTCATGTAACACAGTTTTACTGTGTTACAAAAATACCTTTATGGATGCTGTATTTTTTTTTCTTTTGCTCCTTAGTGGAGTAGTGGTTGCTTCAGTTTCAGTTAATTGAGGCCCCTACTACACAGCTGTATAAAATCCAAATTATCTGCTTTGAATTAGCAGTGTGTCAGATAATCCAGTTCAAAGGAGATCATATAGATTATCTGCCTTGATATCTGGATTATCTGGCACTGTTGAAGGGTTCCGGTGAGTTTTCCAGACTGTATGGCCATGTTCCAGAAGCATTCTCTCCTGACATTTCACCCACATCTATGGCAGGCATCCTCAGAGGTTGTGGGGTGTGTTGGAAACTAGGAAAATCGGGTTTATATATCTTGGAATGTCCAGGGTGGGAGAAAGAACTCTTGTCTGCGAATGTTGCAATTGGCCATCTTGATTAGCATTTAACGGCCTTGCAGCTTCAAACTTGACTGCTTCCTGCCTGGAGGCATCCTTTGTTGGGAGGTGTTAGCTGGCCCTGATTCTAGAAGGGCCCTGAGAGTCTACTGCAGTGGTTCTCAACCTGGGGTCCCCAGATGTTTTTGGCCTTCAACTCCCAGAAATCCTAACAGCTGGTAAACTGGCTGGGATTTCTGGGAGTTGTAGGCCAAAAACATCTGGGGACCCCAGGTTGAGAACCACTACTGTATTTTGAAATTGGATAACGATTTTAGTAAGGAGACGCTGATGATTACATTTTTATGGCTTTGTACGTTTTTTTATATTATATTCTAAATGCTTTAATTTAATTTTATAATTATTTTAACTGTATTTTTTATAATTGTTGAGGCACTGAATTGTTGCCAGCTGTGAACCGTCTTGAGTCAACTCCGGGCTGAGAAAGGTGGTATACAAATGTGGTAAATAAATAAATTTTACGGATGCTGTGTTTGGATTTCAACTCCCAGAAATCCCAGCCATCTTACTGGCTTTGCATCTCATTGCCTTCCAAGTTGCCCAGTCTTCTGTGTGCCCGGGGTGGAGTCTCTCATTCATGGCTTGAAGTTCTGGGTTTTTGCCTGCCACTCCTGGACTCTTGCTTGCTGAGGTGTTCCTGCGAGTATCTCTGATCTTAGAAAACTAATTCTTGATTTTGACTCAGATTATCCAGTTCAAAGCAGATCATGTGAATTATCTGTCTTGGTATTCTGGATTATCTGGCAGTGGAGAAGGGCCCTGAGAGTCTACTGTATTTTGAAAGAGGCCCTGAAGTTGTCTCCAAAAGATTGAACTACAACTCCCAGGATTCCATTGATTGAGCCATGCCAGTTAAAACAGTATCTTTACCAGCTGTTTGGAATTCTGAAGTCCAAAACATGTGGAGGGCCGAAGTTTGCTCATGCCTGCCGCTTTAAGGGGTTGTTTGATCTTTCCTTGAGTTCCCTTAAGTTATGTAAGCATTCCTCCGAGATGTTTGCGACTTTGGATGATGCAAACACCCCTCCAGATCCCTATGTCTCGCCCCAGCAGGGGCCAGCAGACCTCCCCGCCCGCCCGCGCCAAGCCCACCTTACGCGCGCACCCACCTGGACCGCTCTCTGCAGGGCCGGCGCGCTCCCTTCCTTCGAAGTCTATGGAGCGAAAACAGAAGCAGGAAAGCGAATGCCCCGCCCACCCTCCTCCCGATTGGTCAAGGCGCCGGAGCCTCGGCCAGGCGCGGAGGGAGTAGCGCCCGGGAAGGGAAGAGCCGGCTCTGGCGGCTGTAGATTTCGATTTCCCAGGAATGACGTCAGCGCCGGGGGCGGAGCCTGGCTTGACCCATGACTATTCAAATCCTGGGCAGGTTTGGAAAGGGTTGGCAGTGTTTATGCCCCGTTTAATGCACACTGCCATGTAGTTTGAAGCTCTATTCTATGCTCAGTGTAGATTCCTGTACAGCACTTTAACTCCTTTTTTTGGAGTTTCCCTCCACAGTTTTCAAAACCCAAACTCTACTGGGTTGCTGTGAGTTATTCAGGGCTGTATGGCCATGTTCCAGAAGCATTCTCTCCTGACGTTTCGCCCACAGGCATCCTCAGAGGTTGGAAACTAGGCAAATGAGGTGTATATATCTGTGGAATAATGTCCAGGGTGGGAGAAAGAACTCTTATCTCTTTGAGGCAAGTGTGAATGTTGCAATTGGCCATCTTGATTAGCATTTAATGGCCTGCAGTTTCAAAGCCTAGCTGATTCCTGCCTGGAGGAATAATTTGTTTGAAGGTGTTAGCTGGCCCTGATTGATTCTTGTCTTGAATTTTTTTTGTAGTGTTGTTTTTGTAGTGTTGGTTACCCTGTCAATGTGAGCAGATGATGGGAAGCTTCCCATTGGAGTTCAAATCATCTATCGGATAGATGGCAAGCTGTTTAACCGCAGCAGACTGAAGGCCAAAACCAAGGTTACAAAAACATCTGTTATAGAACTCCAGTATGCTGATGACAACGTCCTCTGTGTGCATTCAGAAGAAGATCTACAAGCCACTCTAAACAACTTTGCAGAAGCATACGAGAAGCTCGGCCTGTCATTGAACATCAAGAAAACCAAAGTGCTGTTCCAGCAGACACCAGCCAACCACTCTCCAATGCCAGAGATACAGCTTAATGGTGTAACATTAGAAAACATTGAGCATTTCCGCTAACTTGGCAGCCACCTCTCCACCAAAGTCAACATTGACACTGAAATTCACCACCGCCTGAGCTCTGCGAGTGCAGCATTTTTCTGAACAAAGCAGATAGTGTTTGAGGACCGGGACATCCATAGGGATACCAAGGTGCTTGTATATAAAGCTATTGTCCTCCCAACCCTGCTTTATGCCTGCGAAACGTGGACTGTCTACAGATGTCACATGCAACTCCTGGAACAATTCCATCAGCGCTGCCTCTGGAAAATCCTGCAAATCTCTTGGGAAGACAATCAGACAAACGTCAGCATGCTGGAAGAAGCAAAGACCACCAGCATTGAAGCAATGGTCCTCCGCAATCAACTCTGCTGGACTGGCCACATTGTGCGGACGCCCGAACACCATCTCCCAAAGCAGTTGCTCTACTTCGAACTCAAGAACGGAAAACGGAATCTTGGTGGGAAGGAAAAGAGATTTAAAGATGGGCTCAAAGCCAACCTTAAAAACTCTGGCATAGACACTGAGAACTGGGAAGCCCTGGCCCTTGATCGCTCCAGTTGGAGGTCAGCTGTGACCAGCAGTGCTGCAGAATTTGAAGAGGCACGAATGGAGGGTGAAAGAGAGAAACGTGCCAGGAGGATGGCGCATCAAGCCAACCCAGACTGAGACCGCCTACCACCTGGAAACCAATGCCCTCACTGCGGAAGAAGATACAGATCAAGAATAGGGCTCCACAGTCACCTACGGACCCACCGCCAGGACACCGAACTTGGAGGACCATCATCCTCTTGGCACGTTTCTCTCTTTCACCCTCCATTCATGCCTCTTCAAGGACCAGCCAGACCCACCAAAGAGGGCCCAAACACCTGGCAAGACAAGAGCACCCAAATAGAATTTTTCACTATTTTTCCCAAATAAAGCTCACTAAGTTGAAGAAGAAGCCACCGAGTTGTTTATTTCATTCCAGCTGGAGCGGATGTCAAACTGCAATCATTCACCAAAGTCGACATAACTCACAAGGGGAAATATTACAGTTTTTATGGGAAATACAGAGCTGTCAAATTCAAATTTCTCACTCCCACCCCCCTTGCTGGCTTCTCACTGATTGGCTGGAGTCATCAGCTGGCTGGGAGGTGTGGCTGGCTTAGCTGTGCCTTGTCCAATCAGAGAGCCAGCGCTGCTTCGGCCTCTTGGCCAATGGGAAGAGAGGAGACAGGCCAAGCAGGAAACAATTAATGAAGAGAAAAGGTGATAAGATTAAAATTATTAACGATTGTCTAAGCGGTCAGTGATTGACTTCTTTAGCCCTCAAGCTGGCCAGGCTATTGTCTTGATGCTCTGGAAGATACATTTTCGTCTGGCTCAGAGACCAGATCTTTTCTTGTCCTTCCATCCAGGATAAGGGTCCATTGATGGGATTTATGACTGGTATCGGCCAGCTGGGTCCTCACAATGAAAAACAGGCAGTGGGGAGCCCGGATCCTCCACAGATAGGACAGCACCCTTTGTGTTGGTGGATCAAGATGCCCAGAGGTCTTATCTCCAGATGGACTAGCCTTTTGCCCTCTGAGATCTTGTTGATAAGAACCATTTGTTTTATTGTCCAGGCAAATGGGGTTTGATTGAGTCCTTTGTGTGGGGGAACAAACCGGCCCAGGAATTTGAGATGCTTCCTGGAGCCATGGGGTGCTGGATTCTTGAAAAGGGTGGCTCTCTTCTATTTTTGAAAAATATAGTCATATACACACATATAATGGTATGGGAAGGGAACATACAAGGAGTTTATGGGGGATAAATCACATAAAGGCAAATAGAAATCATGTCAGCCCTCCCTCCCTCCAAAGTCTACCAAAAGTTCACAAAGAGAGGTGAATATAATAAGAATTCATAGGAGCTTTGGCCAGAGAGTTCCTAAAAAGTTCTAAAGTTCTTCAAAAATTAATAAAAGTTTTAAAAAGCCCATGAAAGTTGAGGAAAGTTCATAGGGAGCCTTGGAAAGTTCATAAAAGTCCATGGGGAGCATATGGGAATCACTGTGAGCACTGAGGGTCAGAATCCATTCATTGATGAGAAGAAAACTGTGAATCCAATTTAGTCTAAGAATCAGGATGGCCTGTCAGGAGTCCAGGGGTCCCAAGGGGTGACCACAGCAGGTTCTTTGGGTTTGGTCAGCTTCTGGACACATGTGAGATGGAGGCACAGACGTTGTTGTAACATGGAGCCATAGATCAGAACCAGCTGGTCTCCACGTCGGGTTTTGAGGTAAAAATGAATATTCCCAGGGGTCCATAATGCAAAAAGCGAGATAGCAATTAGTCTTAGAACTAGTCTAGGAAGAAATTGGCACCGGTTTGGAGTGGATCCATTGACCCACATATATGGGGGCCCAATGGATTTCCGTATTGGCAGTTCAGAGGAACGCAGTTTCAGCCTCCCCGGGACGCTGTAAGAGCATCCTGGGTGAGCCAGCAGTAATCAGAGGCTCAGGAAGGAAAAGGTTAATGTTAGATAATGTTAGAAGCAGTAAAGAGACACAATGTATCACTATGGAGAGGAAAAATTGCAATCAAAGGATACTTTTATTTGGGGATTTGTTACAATGTTAGGGGAAGGGGGGAAAGAAAGCAGAAAAATGACTCAGTTGGAGCTGCTGCTGTGGCCACAGTCCCCACGATACTGGCTCACCTGGATGTCCTGGAACTGTGGAACTCCCTGCTGCAGTTCAAATCAGCTTGAACGCAGGGGCCTGTGCATTTGTCAGTCTCAATTTCAGTTCTATCTTTTTAAAAACCCAATAAAAATCAGACTTCAACGTTGAGAAGTATAAGCCAAAAGCAGACTTCTCTTTCTGCAAACTAATATGTTTTGTATTACTTCCCTTTTAAAGCCAAAAATCCCATAACAGGGCCTGCTGCAAATGCCCATCCTTGATCTAATACTTAGGCCTCAAAGCAACAATGGTGAAGTTATATATCAATTAAATTTAAAAAGAGTTCAGTTAGGATCAAACTGTGTGCAAAATAATCCCAGTAACTATGCACAGTGGCCCCACTCAGCTATCCCAGCACTTAGTTGTAATCTGATAGCTGCTTTGCACGCACTCAGTCCTCAGTAGGCTATTTCTGAGACATTCAATTCTACCCACAAATACACTACTTTAGACATTTTTCACTCTTGTCTTTGCACTTCTGTAAACCTCTTCTGTAGAGATGGCACTCCTTGCCACAACCAAGGCACTTACGTCCTGTTACTGGAGAGTTACTGCTTTTTATCTATTTGCTTAAAGTGACGGCGAACACAGAGACTCCTGCCTTCAAATTGATCTGACCGCAGCAGGGAGTTCCACAGTTCCTGAGAGTATGAGTTCTCAGGTATCTGCAGGACAGTGTCACCAGCAACAGCTTCAACAAAGAACTCTCTCTCTCCCACTCTGTTAACCTACCTTAGCCTCTTTGTAACAATCCCCCAATAAAAAGTATCATTTTCTCCAACCTTTCCCTCTCTGAAGTAATACATTGTCTCCTTTACTGACTCTAGCTTTGCTCCAACCATAAACTTTCCTGCTCCCGAGCCTTGGAACACCGCTGGCTCAGCTGGGATGCTCCAGCAGCGTCCCAGGGAGCCCAAAACTGTGCTCCTTTAAACCGTGGATATGGGGCCCCACATGGTCTCAGTATCCGTGGGTTAACCAATCCGCTCCAAATCAGCGCCATCTTCCTCCCTGATGAATTATAATACTAATTACCATTTTACTTTCTGCTGAATGAATCCCTGCACCCCCAGGTCCATTCTTCTTGCCCAAAACCCCCATGTGGAAACCTAAGACATTTTCCGTGGGTTTTTTTTTTTGGTCATGTCAGGAGCAACTTGAGAAACTGCTAGTCGCTTCTGGTGTGAGAGAATTGGCAGTCTGCAAGGATGTTGCCCAGGGGACACCCAGATGATTTGATGTTTTTATCATCCTTGTGGGAGGCTTCTCTCATGTCCCCACATGAGGAGCTGGAGTTGATAGAGGGAGCTCATCCACCTCTTCCCAGATTCGAACCTGCAACCTGCACTTGACACAAAGGACATTTCCCCAACCAAGAGGAAAAGGAGTTGTTGCCAGTTTTCCCACAAAGCCATCCCCCCATTCCAAGAAAAGGATCCAAGATCTTATTGAAAAAGTTAATATTGCCGGACCTTATGACAATTGGCTGGCTCTTCAGGGCCAGACAAGGATGTTGTTTCAGACTTTTGTCAATAGTCAGTATCAGGACTGGAGGGCTGAAAGCCATCTTTCCTGATCACTTATCATCAAGGTCCAGGAAGGACTATTCATAATCCAATCACTTCACAATTTCTTCAGTGTTTCCCCTGCTGTCTGCCTCCTTCTCACTTATCAGCTGAGCAGCTCGTGGTCCGATTGGAGGGGCTCGTGGTCCGATTGGAGGAGCCGCATCCTCCCCTGGCTGCTCCTCCTGGATCGCTGACGTTGCGACTAATCACAGTGAACCGGCTCGGGGGAGGGGGGGGGGGGAAGGCATGGGAAATCTGAATCTGACAGCTCTATATATTCTGTATTTGCCTGCCTAGCAAGCATGTTGGATTCTGGGCAGATTACTGCAATTGTTATCCTTTTGGGCTGGAATAGAAAATAAACTTTGATGGCCTTCCTTCAACTTGGTGAGATTTATTGGAAAATAGATAAAATCTTTACTGGTGCGGATTGTTTTACCAGGTGTTTCAGATCCTCTTTTTGGGTCTTGCCAGCCTCTGCCTTGGCAGGGTCCCCTAAATTTGTGTTCGACATCAAAAGTAAAGGTCAAGATTTTCCCTGACATTAAGTCTAGTCGAGTCTAACTCTGGGGGGTGGTGCTCATCTCCATTTCTAAGCCAAAGAGCCAGTGTTGTCCGTAGACACCTCCAAGGTCATGTGGCCAGCATGACTGTATGGAGCGCTATTTGTTCCCGCCGGGATGGTACCTATTGATCTACTCACATTTGCATATTTTCGAACTGCTAGGTTGACATAAGCTGCGGTTAACAGTGGGAGCTCACCCCGCTCCCCAGATTCAAATCACCAACCTTTCTGTCAGCAAGTTTAGCAGTTCAGTGGTTTAACTTGCTGGGGGCACCTATCTGCTTGCTTAGGTCTCTGTATTTTCTCTTGTGTGTTGTAAGCCACCTTGAAGACCCAGTATTCCAGGAAAGGCAGGATGTGAATCTATATAAATAAAATGTAATGTTCATTTGTGGGATTAACATAACTCAAAAACCACTGGACAAATTGACACCAAATTTGGACACAATACACCTATCAGGCCAACAAGTGACCATCACTCATAAAAACACTGAAAAACACAGCAGAAGTGACTTAAAAAGCCAAAAAAACCCCCCAAAAAATTACATTACAATGCATGCACAAAACCACATATATACGCAAGCACACATATGCACAAATATATACACACAAATATACACTCACAAAACACATATACACAGACTGGGCCACAGCAATGCGTAGCAGGGGACAGGTAGTAGTTAATAAAGTCATAAAGAAAACTATGATTTCAGTCATAATAGGTGCTTTGGCACTAATTCCCAAATGAACGTACTAAACATCTAAATTAAATTACTGTGAACAATATCACAAAGCCTTCCCGGAACATGCCAGATAGTTCACAGATACCTAGATTCTTGGTCAGAGCTCAAATAATGGATGACCCAGAACTCCAATCAGTAAGAGCTGGTAGACTGTTAAATTTATAACAGTAGTGTGAAGACAAAAATGACATGAACTGTTATGACAATAATTATTACTCTGTGTAATTTTAAGATGCAGTTTTATTTCCCAGGTTTATCCATGTAACTGTACCCAAGAAGACACTTCTCTTCATATAATTCTGTTATCTTGGTGGCATGTGAGCAGAGAAGGAAGGCGGAGCAACGAAAAGAGCCTTTTCCAATCATAGACAACATTAGCCCAACACACACTGTCACTTGGAAAGCTATTTCCACCTGCTCTTGAGCACAGGCAGCAAAGGATGGATTTCTGTTGCAATGAGCACATGGACAGTTTGCGGGCTCTGCCAGATTTTATTAGATTGCATAAAACCAGAGGCTTTGAATACAATTAGGATATGGAATTAGGAGCGGAAAACACACATCTGAAGAAGACCAATTAAAGTTATACGGAGCAGCAATTGAATAATTCACTGTTTTGGATTACAGTTCCCAGAATCCTACACCCAGTGGCCATGTGGGCTGTGAGAGTCTGGGAGCTGGGGTCCAAAAAGGCTACTTTCCAATATTCTGCTATAGAAGTACTAAATTGTAATGACTACATGATGATAACTGGGCCAGAGTAGTTGGTGGGGACGGTGTAAGGCTCCTCTTGCTGCTGGCTGAAATAGTCTATCAGGTAACGCATCCCTGCTTTCATCCCTGGCTTGAGTGCTGCAGAAACCCCTAACGCAATGCCCCCACCTGCCCCACCTGTCATAGCTACCAGGGCGTCATAGCCCAGGTCTACTGCACCCTCCAGTGCCCGGTCCTTGGCCAGGTCTGTGCAGTCTTGGGTTGCATAGTAGATGCTTGTCCCAAAGTTGTAGAAGGTACTGAGACCAGGTAACCACTCCATGACTGCATGGACCTGTTGCTCCCTTTCACTAGTGCACTCATCTGGGATGGAGCGCTGCACTCTTGCAAGCCTGTGGCACTGATAGAGCCAGGAGCGGGCACCAGGATGTGGTAGGTAGTAGCTGCCATTTCGTTCCACCACTTGGAAGGAACTGGTGCCATTGATGGACACCCCAGCACAAGAGTCACCCAGGTGTTGACAAGCTACTGCAGCAGCCAGAAACTTTCTGTGGGTGCTGTGCACCTGGCCATGCAGAAGAGCATCATTCACTTGCATCAGACCTCTGCAGCGCCACGTTTTGGTGGGTGCCAACTGGTCTAAATTGAACTGTAAGGCGGCAGTGCTACTACGATTCTTCTCAGGGTGGTTAGATGTGTCCAGAGCCTCTACCATGGTGAATAGGAGGGCATCAGTGTGTGCCTGTCCCAGATCTTTGTAGAGTTGAAGGACCAAGATTTCTGCATGCCAGTTGCAGCCTGCAGTTTGCAAGGCAAGTGCCAGCGAAGCTCGAATGAGGATCTGGGATTTCCATGGCACATTGGCAAAATTTCCTAGAGCCTCAGGCATCAAGTCTTGGCAGGAAACACCCTTTTTCCGCAACTGGAATTGGAGGGATTTGGACGACATAGATCTAAAGAAGGTATGAAGCGGCCCCTGGATGGAGCCAGAAGTCAATGGGTGGATTTCAGCATCATTATCTCTTGGGGACATCAAGTGACCTTCTGATTCCGGATGCAGGAGGAAGCCAAAGAAAGCCAAGAAGGTCATGGGCAGTGGTGAGTACATGTTCAATTGTTTCATTCAGCCCTGTTGAAATGGGAAAATATTAATGAATCTAAATCCAACTTTGAAGTCTTCTAAAATATGTGCAGTTATCCTTCTATGAAAGACCCATGTCTCAGTAGCCATTTAAATGGCACTAAGTTATAAATTCTGTATTTAAGCTGGATCAACTTTACTCAGCCTTTTTACCCTGGAGAAACAACTGAAATTATATCCAGGTCTCAGGGAAACTCTGCTTGAAAATTATTATCATACATACAGCTTAAAAATTTTTTTTGATTTCAGTCACAGAGTTCCAGCTAACCCATATTGAGTAACCCTGGGTTAGAGAGTTTAATGGAGATTAGGTCTGTTTATGGCTGTTTGTCATTCCAGCTATATAACTCCATCTTGCCAATTACTTGTGACTGGAAGCAAACCTATTATGAGACAGAGACAATTCCCTCAAGCAAAAAATGTGATGCTACCATGGCACTCCCTAATCCTCCCCTTTGAATCTTCATGCTATTTCCCACTATAGAGTGGAGGAGTGCCTGATGTAGCTAGCCTTGTTACTTCAAAATAGGATGTCTACACTATAGAGTGAATGCAGCTTCATCCAACTTTAACTGCCATGGTTCAATGCTATGAAATAATAGGAGCTGTAATATTACAAAGTTTGTAGCTCTCTACAAAAGAGTGCTGGTGCCACAACAGACTACATATCTCAGAATTTCAGTGTTGAAGCATGGCAGTTCAAGTAGTGTCAAACTGAATTAATTCCAGTGAAGCATGCTATCCTCAGAGACAACAGTGAACAGAGCCCGTAATGCAGCAAAGTCCAGTAGACTTCTGTACATAAAACTGTGGGTGAACATCCTGTTTATTGTCTCGGTCAGCAAAAATGTCTGCCCCATGGCTGACTGACTTGCCTAGAAGCTGCCAGAAGCATTCTGGCATTGTGGTGTCAGGAGATCGATCCAGGTTTGACACAACCCAAAGCTTGTTTTTAGTGTCTGTGAGGTATCAATGAGGGTTTGATACAGGGAGTTAAAGCAGAGTTTGCATGTTCAAAAACAGTTTTGAACACATCTGTTTAGGTGGCTTTGGGGGTTTCAATCACCCTAATGTACAATTTATGTAAGTATGGTTGTTGTGTACCTTCAATTTCTTTACGACTTATGTTGTCCATCAAGTTAAACCATCAAGGGACTTTCCTAGCAGTAGTTGTTTAGAGAGGGCTTGCCTCCTGTGAGGTGGAGAGTGTGTGACTTCTCTCAGTCACCCAGTAGGTCTTCCTACTAGCCAAATGGGAATTAGAACCAATTTCCCAGTGCCTAGCTTAACACTCAAACCACTACAGCACCAAGCATACATGTACAGAATTATATTATATTTTCCAAATAGGAACAATATCTTCCACAAAGGAGGTCACAATTGCTTCTGTGGCCATTTGTGGTATATGGGCTGTTTTGCTCTCTCGAGACGAGTGGTTCTCAACCTGTGTGTCCCTAGGTGTTTTGGCCTACAACTCCCAGCCAGTTTACCAGCTGTTAGCATTTCTGGGAGTTGAAGACCAAAACATCTGGGGACCCACAGGTTGAGAACCACTGCTCTTAACGTTTCCGTATTGCAAAGGTAGGAGCATATTGAACTCAGACCTTTGGATCTAGTTTTCCTATACAGATGATGTACTCTCTCACACAGAACTATAGCACTTCTGGTGAAAGAATTTATCTCCCTTTCCCTTATATTGGGAAGCTGCCTAAATAAATTGTGATATTGGGGTTCTCTTGCCAATTTCTAAACAGAGGAAGCTGAAATGACCTATATGAATGTGAAGGGGGTACCAGAATATTTGGCACAGCTGCTAGCTGTAAGTTATCTGTGGAACCAACCTGGAAGAGGCCAAAATAGTGGGAATGAACAGTATTTGTTATATACAATATATTTTAATCCAACTAAGAGAATATCCTGCAGATCATGTCATGTTCTAATCAAGGGCCCTCTTACTTAATTGACTGGATGGAAAATAACTCTTTCTAGGAAGTTTGTCTTTCCCATGGCTACATTGAATATATATTATTTTGATACGTGATATATGCCTCCAGAATGCCTTCTAGAGCTATCTGTAGTTTGTTATATAAGGCTACAGGAGTTGGCAGGACGTGGCCTTCTAACAGGAGGCAGTTTTATAGCTTTGCATTATAACAGGTATGGGCAAACTTTCTAACTTGGGGATTGCATAGCAGGCCGGAATGGGGTGGGCGGGCCAGAAGGGAGCGGGTTCCCCCCAAGTGCCCTCTCTGCCCTTTCCTCTTCTCTTTTGAAGGAAGAAAGTGAAGGAAAGACAGGAAACATTTGGACCCCAAAAAGGTTAACCTTGGTCAGGATGAGATGGTGGACAGGAGACGACCATGTTTCAATATTTAAAAGGGTGTCCCATTGAGAAGGGGACTTTCTACTCCTCTAGAGACCAGGGCACAAGGGAGAAATTGTTTCAAATAGAAGGGGAAGAGATTTGACTGAAAAGATTAGGAAGAACTTTCTGAAGAGTGGCAGAGGCTGCCTGGGAGTGTGGTGGAGTCCCCTTCTCTGGAGCCTTTTCCAAAGAGGCTGTCTATTAAAGTGCTTTGATTGTGCCTTCCTGCATGGCAAGGGGTTGGACTGGATAGCCCTGGGGTCTTTTCCAGCTCTAGGATTTTATATCAGTAGGAGGCAGTACGGAGTCTCATGGACACACTTTTTCTCATTTTCCCTCACTACCCATCTCTTCTCCCAGCTAAACTTTCCCCAGGAGGAAGAGAAGGAAGAAAGGAAGGAAGGGAGAAAGAGAAGGATGAATGGAAGGAAGGGAATGGAAGGAGGGAGGAAATACAGGAAGGAAGGAAGGAAGGAAGAGAAAGAGAGGGGAGGGAGGAAAGGAAGAATGGAAGGAGGAAGAAATGAGAGAGGGACGGAAGGATAGGACGGTGAGAGACAGGAGGGTCTGAGAAAAGAGCCCAAGAGGCTGCATCTGGCCCCCAGGCCTGGGTTTGCCCAGACCTACACTATAAGAATAGATGAAGCCTTTTCTCCCAGTCAGACACTTTCAAGCTCTTGCTTTAATAAACATATTTAATTGCTTTCTCTTGATAGATAGATAGATAGATAGATAGATAGATAGATAGATAGTGTGTGCATTATGCTCTAAAAAAGGGAAGGATAAGGGGTGGGAGGGAAGTGAAATAGTTTTCCTCTGTCTGCTGAAAAAATAAACCCGAAGGGAGTATAAACCCCCAGACCAGAACTAAAAGGGCAATGGAATGAAAGGATACTGACACAGATCGAAAGTTGTAGTCCAAAGGTTGGATTTACTGGAGGTCATAGTGCCACATGGAACTGTATGGACTAATTTGAAAAAAAAATGTTAAATACAAAAACACAGACCCACACACAAGATTAACCAAAAGCAAGAAGTTTAAACTCTGGTGGAATGCTATTGTTCATGATCACAAAATAAGTTCAACATTCAAACCTAATTTAAGCAGACTTCTGAAGAGGAATCTCATTGATTTCTTGGATGTGGTTATATAGCTGCATGGGAAACACCCAGAGGTCTGATCAATGACGTGTGAGCAGTGTATTAAAAATAAACAAGCTATACAATTAGGGTGCCCCCCTCATTATAAGTGAATATATTAATCTGGCCCATTGAGGTATATGAACCTTGTCTGGCCTAGCCCATATAGATAAGGTGGAATCAACACAACATAATCAGCCCTCACTAGTCTTTGGCTAGGAGACAGCCAATGAATACCAGGTTATACGGTATTTCAGAGGAAGGGCAAAACCACTTCTGAGTATTTCTCACCTAAGAAAAGCCTATGAAATTCAAGCAACCTGAAGGCAAATGCACATGTAGTTATGCAAACTACAAAAAATATTTCAAATCTCCATAGGTTATCTTATCAAAAAGTGTGTTTTTATGGCAATTTGTGCATTTGAAGCTGATGATGTATTTCAGAAAAGAAAACGTATGCACAAAATCAAACCTGCCTATGAAAAATGTAATTAAAAATACAAACTTTTAAAAAGTACATACCAATATATTTCTGTCCATGGAAGGATGCATATAAAATAGATTTAAGAAAATACATGCAAATTTGTATAGCAAGAAAAAGTCTTGCCACATGATACGAACTGGGGATAAGAATGCTACTGGGATTCTCATTGATGCAAGAGAAACCCATCTAGCAAGTGTGCACATCCTTGTTAGCAACCCCATGCTATTTCCAGATTCTGATTTCCTAATGTGGTAGAGGAAGCATTCTAGAGTGTTTAGTATATTCGTTCTTCTTCAGAATGATTTCAGAAAGACCTGAAAGATGTTCTTTCACCAGGAACTGGCAAAATGACCTTTGAGAATTCCTTGCCCAAGAAAACTATAAAAAATTAACGGCTTCACCATAGGTTGACAGTACACTTAACATACACAACAGAACTACTTTGAGCGGTTGTCCATGGGCTTCCTAGGAAAGAAAGAAAAAGCTATATCCAATAGGCCCAAATATGGTGCAGTCTCAGGTGCATGGGGGAAAATCCTCCTGGGATAGTTTGAGATGCACTCTTCCAGAGGGCATGTCTCTCTCAGCCACCCATTCCCTGGCCAGAAAGGGATCACCTTACCTGCTTGGAGAAGAGATCCAAGTGCGAAAACTTCACAATGAGAATTAAGAGCTGCTGCAAGTCTGTGCTTATGTACATATTCCAGCTGGATGCTCTTATCAGCAGAACCAATGGTAACACAGTTTCACTGACAAATTCTGGCACGTTTCCTCCCTTTGCAAGGGGCCCAAATGTTAGCTCTTCCCACTAGTTCATGCTCTTTGTACTGGCTTCCCCAGTACAAAAAAATCCCAAAACTATGTCCCGGGGCAGCTTGTGGACCAAAGAGCTGGGGCACTTCTCATTGGTCCATGAGTGGCCAATTGAAAATCCTCAGAGCAAAGAGCTTGTAAAGGTTTGTAAAGGAAGCATTCATAGAATCATAGAGCTGGAAGAGACCTCATGGGGCATCCAGTCCAACCCCCTGCCAAGAAGCAAGTAAATCACATTCAAAGCATTTAGGAGACACTATGTAATGGTAGAGAGGAGGAAGCAGCTGCTCCATGGTCCATGAACCCAAAATCAAAAACCTTTTGAAGAGTACAGTGTCTGAAAGTTTAAGTTGGAATACAAGTCAAATATACGGGACACTGAAAGTGTTTAGTTATTATGATCACCCTGCTTCTATTTGTCAATGTAAAAAGGGGAAAGATCAGCGATATCACCCATTACAATGTTTTTACCCCTTTCCTTTTGCAGTTCAAAGCCGCTGTGTGCGATTACAAGACAAGGCAGAGAAACCTGTTTTTGTTTTATTATCAAAAGTAGACCATACACACAAAGACACGGAAATGTTACATGGGACCCTTGCCAACATGGGGTAGAGATCTGCACAGTCAAGTGGGGACAATCCATGTAAAGGTCTCAGGTGTTGCCTCTATCTGGAACAGCTGGAGCAAGGCCAATAACACAAGAAGAAACTGCGGAAGTAACTGGAATCCACTTGAGGAGAAATCACCTGGGCGAAAAGGGTGGCTGCTTCTTAATGTAGCGGTTGTTTTTAAATCCGTACCCTCCTAGCTCGCCTCCCAGTTGCCACTTTGTTCTTAATGACTGACATGAAATGAAAAGGGGAACTTCCAAGTGCAGCTGCAACTCCAAGATACAATGGGAACAGCAGAGACCATGTTTGCCAGTATTTTAAGGCAATCTGTGACTAAGCAAAGAGAACAGGGCCATAAAGTCCCAACCAGATTCCAGGGGAAAAGGTGAGGTGGACCCAAACTAACAATGAACAGCTAGGATGCCTGGCTCTCCTGTCTATGAGTGTGGCTTTCAACCACTCAGGAGGGACAAATTTAGCAATGTCATTTTGGGGAGCAAACATCACAGGATGCAAGTGGTTATCTACAAAAGCAGGAACAGTTTCAAAAGAGATGTCTTCCCTCATGCTAAATGTATTGTAACAAAGGATAGCAACAGGAGAGTAAGCCCTCTGCGTCCTGTTCTTCGTTTCAGCGGATCACATGCTTCTTCTCTTTTTTCACATTTAGGCAGTCATTCTCTGTAATCCCTTTCCCCAAAGGAAAGTACTGTGCACAGGAAATATGATGATTGTGATTGTTTTCACTGCTGAAGCTGAATAATAGTTGCATCCCTGGTGCTGGACAAAGGGGCAATTGGCCTTCCTGCTCCAGAAAGAGACGGAAGCTCCAGTTTTTCAGTCTTCCTCATCCTCAATTCGCAGGCGCTTCCGCTTGCCTGTTTGGTAGAGTTCACCTTCATCATGGGAACCTGCAGAGCCAAAGCCAGGTTTAGGGTATGGGCAAGTATTTGTAACTTTCCCCATGAAGCAGTGGGAAGATAAGCTCTCTGTATCCCTGTCCTTTAGCTTGGAGTGAGTAACGGTCATCCATGGAAATTTTAGAAGTACAACAATTAAAATGTTATTTCAAAATGCAGTATTGACTGAGTTCTCTTGCGTGTTGTGAGATTAGAACTCACAACACACAAGGACAACAGGGACAGAATACCCAAATGGGGTGGGAAACTTTCAACTGCTTTATTCTTATATAAGAGCTACACTTTTCTTCTTTTTGGAGGCATAATTCCTGAAGTTCTGATAAATCAAGGCAAATGTCATTCTTATGCCTTTTTAACAGTGTTATATAGGGATAAAACTAACCACTTTCAGTGGGAAATTGGTTCCTTGATTTCTGCATGATTCTTGATTGGAAGGAGGATTGGAACAGCAACTCACACAAGGGGCAAATGTGAGCGTCCTTGGTGGGAAGTGGGGAATCTCCTATGTTCTCAGGAGAAGAAATGGAGCCCCCAGTGGCACAATGGGTTAAACCCCTTTTGCTGGCAAGACTGCTGACTGACAGGTCGGCGGTTTGAATCCTGGGAGAGCGGGTTGAGCTCCCTCTGTCTGCTCCAGCTTTAGCTGTGGGGACAAGAGAGAAGACTCCCACAAGAATGGTAAAACATCAAAACATCCGGACGTCCCGTGGGCAATGGTCAATTATCTCACACCAGAAGCGACTTGCAGTTTCTCAAGTTGCTCCTGACACGAAAAAAAGTAGTAGAAATTACTCAGGAATCCAATCACAGCTTTGTATCCTCTATTCTCCTTATTCCTTATTTACTCATTCTTTTTACTATATATGATTAGTTATTCTACTTGCCTACTGCTTCCTTTCACCAGTAGCAGCACTTCATTATTTTTGGAGTAAGGAAGTTCTCTTGTTTGGTTTTAATAAAGTTTAAATGATGCAGAACCTATTGGGATGTAGAGATCAAATGACATCTGACAGAGAGAAATGGCAGGGCAGCTTTCCACTCCCAGGAGATGATACAAGGAAGAGAATAGGGCCAGACAAGCATAAAGAATGAGTAACTTTCTCCATGGCTGGGTAATCTAGGCTCACTGAACCCTTTGAAATCACACATTAGCCATTCCTTAAGGTACAATTTGAGTTGTAGCACCAAAGCCAGAAATTACTGCCTTGAGGTCTAATGAGGCACTAGAGATGCCTTGAAGAAGCATTTCATGAACTATGCAAATGTAGTGGGTGATTCATGGGAAGAGCAGTGATGGAAGTGATTATACTTCCAATATGGGATATACCTGGGTGGTGCGATTCTTCTCCCTCCTCTTCCTCACTGTCACTCAACAAACGGCTCCGCTTGGGTCCCTGAGGGCACTGGATGGGTTCCTCCCTGCAAGAAATGCATAGAAGTGAAATATCTCTAACTTTTCTGAGAACCAAAGCCTGGGCATGCAAACAAACTTGGAGGATGCAGCTATGAAATTGTGAAGTTTGTAAAATATTTGTGTATTTACTCAATAAATTAAAGTAAAATGTGCTTGTGGATGTCATGCATGTTGCTGTGTGCCTTTAAGCCTTCTTGACCTATGGTGACAGCTGGGCTGTTCCATTTTGTGTTCTTAAAAAATGGGAGGAAAAACTATCAAGAAAGAAAAAATGCACGCTAAAAGTGGAAGGGGACGGTACACCCACCCCTTTAGATCAAAATGGAACTTGAAACAGGTTTGCTGTATTCAATCTTGGCCTGCAATTTATGATTAATTCAACTTTATTGAATTAATGGAATTCAGACTATTGTCTTCTCTTCCTGAATGCAGGCTGCTTCTTTTGCTCCCACCCACTACCTCCCTTTTTCATGCAGTTCTCACTTTTCTATTATCAAGTACCTTGGCTCCTCTGTATCGAGATGATCTTCCTCTGAAACTGAGGAAAGAAAGAATGTGTGAGCTAAAGAAAGAGCAAGGCTTTTCTATACAGAGATAAAATAATTTCCTGATGAAGTTAGCCATTTCCTACATGCACAAAATCACACCATTTCAGGTGCAAAGATCTCCAAGGAAGGGTACAATGCTTATTTAGTGCCTAAACCTTTTTGTTCATTGAATCCTTCAGAAGACATTTACTTTATATGGAACCTTAACTCTATACCCAATTTGTTGAGGCAAATGATCTCAGAATAATAAACTTAGAAGTAACCTAGTCCAACCCTTCTGCCAGGCAGGAAGACACCACCAAAGTCCTCCCAACAGATGGCCATCCAGCCTCTGATTAAAAACCTCAGGAGTAGCAGATTATATCACACTCCCAATATATTCTGAATTATTTCACACCAATTCAAATATTTCTCCCAATTTCCTATATAATGTCTACTTTTTAAAGGTAAATTTTACTCTTGGTAATACAGGGTGCAGCAGCATAACTTCCTTTTTTCAAAACGTAATAAAACCCATTGTATGAATCAGATTTTTTTAAATAATGTAGGCGCATACCTAAAGTTTTGTTTTACGTAGTTTTGAAGATCAAATTAGGTAGGTGACGTCCCCCATTCTCCATACACTGAGTAAACCGATTTCTGGCGTTTGTCATGACTCTTGCCAGCATAGCAGGCGTTATGTTGGCAATTTCTTCCTGGATGTTGGTCTTCAAATCTTGGAGGGTCCTTGGACGGTTCACATAAACACGAGATTTCAAAAAAACCCCATAGAAAAAAATCACAAGGGGCCAAATCTGGAGAGCGTGCCGGCCACTCCAAAACCACTCGAAAAGTAGGCCTCAGCGGCAAAAGCACGCTCCTCACTGTTCCAACTCATGATGCCGACTGAACTGTGTCAGGACAAAACTTTATACTCCCACCTCTTGAATGAGACCACTAGCGCTCCGCTAGGTCTTCAACCGACTGAATGGCGCACATTTTAAAAAAGGAAGTTATGCTGCCTCACCCTGTATGATATGGATAATATCCCAGTATCTCAAATGTCTTTTATCCCAAAAACTGGACAAGATGTTGTATCGTCTATAGTTTGTGCTGACTTTAAAAATTCTATTTTTGCCCTGAAAGGGGATAAACACACATTATTTTTTGATGGTTTAGAGTAATGGTTCTCACCCTGTGGATCCCCAAATGTTTTGGCCTACAACTCCCAGAAATCCTAACAGCTGGTAAACTGGCTGGGATTTCAGGGAGTTGTAGGCCAAAATACCTGGGGACCCACAGGTTGAGAACCACTGGTTTAGAATATTGGCAATGGTTTCCAAATCTTAGATTCAGAAACCAGTTCTCCATAGGATGCGCTGCCTCCAGAGTGTGCAAATATTCTCATTCAGATTGTGACTCTACTGACTGAACACAATGCCCCAGCTATGCTCTGTGGCTTTGCTAGAAGCCTGTCCCAGGCAAGGGTCAAAACAGGACGTTTACCGAGTATGTGGAAAGTCACAGTATCTATTCTAAAAAAAACACACACTGAATATACATTATCTTCATAACTTGTTAATGGAGCAATGAGACCAGGTTTACGCTTGTGTATCCCTAATTATTCCACAAACAGGAGGAAAGGCAAAACCCACCTTTTCCTCAAACAAAAAAAAAAAACAAAAACACTTTGTCTTCCTGTTCAAGATGTGCTAGGCTATAATTTCTATCATCCTCACCATAATGGACATTTGTCATCCTGCCAGGAGAGGTGGTATTGGGAGCTGTGGTTTTAACCATCTTGTGGGTCGCAGATTGGGGAAAACCAACACTGCTTATCATAAAAGCAGTTATCAATTCCAAAAAAACAAGAAACGAAACTGAGCAAAAGGCTATGCTTTAACAAAACCGCTGTACAAACATTTGAGAGAGAGCAAATAATGTCAGACGGAACTGAAAAACCAGATTGTGAAACTGATTAGTCAGCAGTCTGAGGAAGTTAATTGGGCCAGATTTTGCAATAAATCATGGCTGAACTTAGGGATTCATATTCGGAATTTGAAATAGCAAATAATCCAAGCCTCCACATTAGATGCACCACTATATAAAGGGAGATGGTGCTCTGGAGAGCATCAAATCAATACAGCGCACCAACCAAGGAGCAAGTGCTAAGACACTTCAAATTGCTCACAAATGCTCAGAAGAAAGATTCAGCAATACAATAATGTAACATAAGCATACATTTGAAACAAATCTTCATCTGTGGCCTTGTTGTGACTATTGGCATTTGAAGAACTGTTTCAGCTGACAAGTGTTTCAGTTAGAACCAGCCATGTGCTGGTCTTTGCTCCCTGTTCCCCTGTGCACACCTCACCTGCCGGCTGTTCTTGGGTCTCTCCTTCCACCTCTTGCAGGGAAATGGAAGCAGCTATTCGCTGCAATTGCTCTGGGCTGAGTTTGGAGGGAATGCGCCAGAAAGACTCCTGCAGGAGGCAGAAAGACAAGGAAGTAAACCAAGGCTGCTAGCTCCTGGCTACAAAGAATGATGGCCACAAGAGAAAATAGTTTGTGTGTGGAACTTGTTTCCCAAAGGCACCAAATACATCTGAACAGGAACTGAAAAAATGTGCTAATGATATGCTTTCTTTTGCTATAAAACACACTTTTCCAAGCTCTGTACCAAAGTGATTTGATACATTTTGATAGTTGCCATCTGTACATAATTCTATACTCCTAGCCAGCAATGTGTTGCCACCTATAACTCAATTTCCTTTCCTTTCCTTTTTTGGGATTTGGTACTTTTGAAACGAACTACATGCATCTTCTTAAAAGCAGCTGTGCCAACTGTGAGGGCTTACCACACGTGAAAACAATAGCCCAGTTTTTAAAAGGCACACACAGGCATAGCTTTATTAGAAAAGACACAATTTTTTATTTTATTTATTTAGAATATTTGTACCCTGCCCTTCTCAACCTCTTGGGGTGGCGGGACTCAGGGTGGCTGATAAAACAAGATAAAACCCTAACAAGCAAAGACAAATGCAGTGATAAAACTTCAATGTCTTTCATGAATCAACACTCAAAACAAAACAATACAATAACCTCCTTATATGGCTGCTATAAGATTCAAGATTACAAAGTGCAAACAGAATGGCTCCTAATAGAACACAAATCTAGAATGATTCTCCAGAAAGAGGCATTTCATGTTCCACCATATCTAAGAATCAAGATCTGAAGAGAATGAACAGCTATGGTTAGTGAAAGACGAGCATCTTTATTTTTACCCAGAATGTAAGAGTAGATAATCCCCCTTGAAATATATTTATATGAGAACAAAGACTTAAAATGGAGTTTGAAAACACAGAAAGGATGGGGTGACAACTCCACATACCATGGCCACATATTTTAAAAAATAGATAATGCCAATCACGTAATGTAAAAGTAACCATACAGCCTTAGGCAGAATGTTTGTGTCCAGCTTTTAATTGGCTTATGTATCCCCCCCTCCTCTAAAATATATTGACCCATATAGGTGCAGTCACAGTAGCCAACACGAAAACTTTCTTCACAAGCTATGGGTATAAAAGTGTATAGCACTTCATTCTCAATGTCCCCTGCAAAAGGCACCCATAAGCTAATGCTTCTGTATTTCTGAATTTGTGTTTTCCTAGAAGCCTGTCTCCCTGGAGGATGGAAGTTTACACATACACAAACAAAATGTATATGTATATATGTGGGGGCGAAGATCAAAGCGAAGGGGATTCGGCTACTAATCCCAATTAAAGCAGACCTATTAAATGGATGAGGCTTGCTATATTATCATTGAAGTGTGTTCAATTGATTCAATGGGTCTGCTCTAGCAGGAAGTAACAGCTGGATTAAAAACATACACATTCTTCCAAATACTTCCAACATGCAATTCTACAATGTTATTTCATTCCACAGGGAACACTTTCTTTCAAGATCTCAAACAATATGCAGTCGAGGGAGAAAATAACAAAAGATTGAACCAGAGATTTTTTTTCCTAAGTAAGACTGTGCAGGAAAATCCAGAGAGCTCATAATTACTTACATCTGCTGACACATAAATCATGAGTTCATTCCTGACTCTTTTAGGTCACTTTGACAATGAAGCTAAATACAAACATTTTTTTTCTTAAGCGAAAAATAACTCCTACAAACCCAGCCTCAATGCAAGCAGCAGGAGGGAATAGCTAAAAGCTCAGCACTGTCTTTCAGCAGAATTTAGCCATAAATATGTCCACATAAGTTGACTTCATGTATAAGGTGAGGGCAGGGTTTGCAGACCAAAATTAGAGACTTTGATATACCTCTTGATAAATTCTTTAGAAAGGGTAAAGGACGCACTGTTGCCAACTAACCCTGGCCACTGTTCATTCCCCTCCCAGACATTCAAAAATACCAGGAGTGGCACAACAGCAAAGACAGTAGAAGTTGGTGTTTCTTTTATGTTATTCTGGGACAGACAAAGCTCATGCCTTTCGCCACTCTACTCAGAGAAGGCGATGATTCCTTTTTTTTAGAAGAGTTAAGCTACAATATGTAAACTGACCCATGAGTAAGTCAAACCAGGTTTTGGGTTTTTTTTTATTATTAAAACATAGCTATATGACTATTCTAAAGCCTTTGACTGTGTGGATCATAATAAATTGTGGCAAGTTCTTAGTGGGATGGGCATCCCAAGCCACCTTGTCTCTCTCCTGAGGAATCTGTACAAGGACCAAGTAGCAACAGTCAGGAACTGACCATGGAACAACAGACTGGTTCAAGATTGGGAAAGGCGTACGGCAAGGCTGCATCCTCTCACCCAACCTTTTTAACTTGTATGCAGAACACATCATGCGATGTGCGGTGCTTGATGAATGCAAGGCTGGGGTGAAAATTGCTGGAAGAAACATTAACAACCTTAGATATGCAGATGACACCACTTTGATGGCCGAAAGCGAGGAGGAGCTGAGGAGCCTTCTAATCAAGGTGAAAGAAGAAAGCGCAAAAGCTGGGTTGCAGTTAAACATAAAAAAACCAAGATTATGGCAACAAGAATGATTGACAACTGGGAAATAGAGGGAGAAAACGTGGAGGCCGTGACAGACTTTGTATTTCTAGGTGCAAAGATTACTGCAGACGCAGACTGTGGCCAGGAAATCAGAAGACGCTTACTTCTTGGGAGGAGAGCAATGTCCAATCTTGATAAAATAGTAAAGAGTAGAGACATCACACTGGCAACAAAGATCCGCATAGTCAAAGCCATGGTATTCCCTGTAGTAACCTACGGATGTGAGAGCTGGACCTTAGGGAAGGCTGAGCGAAGGAAAATCGATGCTTTTGAACTGTGGTGTTGGAGGAAAGTTCTGAGAGTGCCTTGGACTGCGAGAAGATCCAACCAGTCCATCCTCCAGGAAATAAAGCCCGACTGCTCACTGGAGGGAAGGAGACTAGAGACAAAGTTGAAGTACTTTGGCCACATCATGAGGAGACAGGAAAGCCTAGAGAAGACAATTATGCTGGGGAAAGTGGAAGGCAAAAGGAAGAGGGGCCGACCAAGGGCAAGATGGATGGATGGCATCCTTGAAGTGACTGGACTTACCTTGAGGGAGCTGGGGGTGGTAACGGCCGACAGGGAGCTCTGGCGTGGGCTGGTCCATGAGGTCACGAAGAGTCGGAGACGACTGAACGAATGAACAACAACAACATATGCAGATTAGCTGTGAGAAGCACATGCAGAAGCCAATTACTGCCCATGAACCTCAGTGCTGCAGTGGAAGTAAAGAAGCTCATTCCTGTTCTAATACTGTTTTACCTCATTATTATTATTATTATTTTATTTATTTACAAGATTTCTACCCCGCCCTTCTCAACCCCTGAGGGGGGACTCAGAGCTGCTAACACTGGCAACAATTCGATGCCGCCATATCAAAAAATAACAACAATATAAAAACAAAACCACAATAGATTAAAACAATAACATTTATACAATCATAGCCGTTTCCATGCAGTATCACTTCTATGATTATATGAAACAAAGGATGTAGGGAGTGGGTATCTTGCTAAAAAGGAGAATTGAAATTCCAGGTGTCTTCTATAGGTTCTCTTTCAAAACAACTTCCTTCCATCTATCTCAGTGGTTCCCAACCTGTTTTGACCAGGGACCACATAGTCAAGGACCATTTAGCCAGGGACCACTCTCCAACATTAGTACCAAAAGGGGTACGTAACTATTTTTGGTCAATTTTAGATTCAGTTTGATTAGCTGGAATTTTATTTCAGAAAACAGCATTGGATAGACCACATCAGCTCTGGTTTCTGAAAATAACATATGCCATCCAGTAGTCGCCATCTGCTCTTTCACAGAAAACCATATTTAATAATCTAGAGCTGATGTAGTCTATTCAATGTAATTTTCTGAATCAGCACTCCAAATGATGCAAGGAATAGGCCTAAACACAAAGACACCAAGACATCCCCACTTCCAGGCACCATACAGAACGGCTCCACTCAAGGGTAGGGAGGGAGAGCAGCAGTCAAGAGGCTTCTTGTCATGCCTTTTGTGGGTAGTCAGCCTCTCCCCTCCCAACATCCCTGTTGCCTTTACACTATAAAAGGGTTTCGCGAGACCAGTCACTCTCGCTGCAACAGTGTAGTAACGGTGAATCCGCAGACCATATTTTAGTTCTGGGGGACCATTGGTGGTTCACAGACCAGAGGTTGGGAACCACTGATCTATCTGCTTACTTTGCCTGCTTCTCCCTTCCCTTCCTAGAGGCAGTGATTGCTATAGGGTGAAGCAGCATATGGATGTGTATTGTCCTTCTCCAATTTAATGGCTTAAAAAAACCCCAGATTTAAATGAGATGAAACTAAGGACCCTTCCACACAGCCATATAAACCAGAATATCAAGGCAAAAAATCCCACAATAGCTGCTTTGAATTGGGTTATCTGAGTCCACACTGCTATATATTCCAGTTCAAAGCAGATAACATAAGATTTTATTCAGCTGTGTGGAAGGGGCCTTAATTGTCCTAAAAACCAACAAAAATACTCCACCTGGCATGCACAAAATACATCAGTGTAAAAAGTCTTGTTACACGCATCCTAGCATCTAACTGCCCCCTAGAAAAAAGAGTTACCTGCTCATTGGCCGGTGCTCGCAACCCCATTTTCCGTAGAAGCTTCTGGAAGTTTTTGTGTTCCATGGCATCCTCATTCTCTTCAGATAGTGGCACCAAAGGCACAGGCTGGGCGCAACCTGGTGAAAAGCAATGCTATCAATTTAAGTCCTGCTAATTGTTCTAGGGAGAAGAGGAAAATATTCATGTCTACATAGCACTGTTCTTGCTTGAGGAGGGGAACTTGGACTCAGTGCAAAGCCTATCCCTATTGGCATTTAATGGGACCCCAATCAAGCCACACGACTGGCATGAAGTCACAACTCTTCCTCTTAAGAACCCGCTACACCAGGCTCAAGTTTCACTGTACTTACCATCTTCTTCTCGATCAGCAGCTGTTCGGTTCAGGCAAGTCTGGATCCATAAGAGGGGACCAGACAAACCTATGGGGACAAAAGTGGGAGGGGAGGTGAATGGTCTGGTCTCTCAATATTCTTGATTCAATGACAGGGAAGGGGTGAGTACAACAGCTTGATCTGGTTCTCCATATGGAGAAAGATTAGATGAATAGGCTGTGCCGTTCAGAACACAGAGGTGGCAGGGCAGAGCATTTATAGACCCTACTCCTTACAGTACAGCATAAGAAATAAAGAGCTGATATAGAACTGTGGTTCTCAACTTTGGCCTACAACTCCCAGAAATTCCAGCCAGTTTACCAGAAGTTAGGATTTCTGGGAGTTGAAGGCCTAAACATCTGGAGACCCAAGGGTTGAGAACCACTGATCTAGAGTATTTTTCTAATGCACAGTTTTTCTATTTGTACAGAATGTGATAATTCACTGGTTTTCTATTTGCAAAGAATAGTTTACGTAGAGATACATTTTTAAAAATCATGTTATTTGCCACCTATTTTGTGCTCCATTTCATTAATGGTTAGGCCAGGAATAAGGGTTGGATAAAGGAGAGACAGGGAGACTCACATAGGGATATGTGCTCCGTAATAGTTCAATTTGTCATCTGCGAGGACGGTCCTTAATACTGATCCTCCAAACTGGAGTAACGTTCATATATGCAAACAGCATTCTGCACAATTTTTGATTCCTTCAGGAACTACCTGCCACTACCAATTTCTCACTGCTGTGTACAGCCCCAGAAAAGTGGTGTAGGAGCATTCAAAAGCTCATGAAAAGACATGTGGCTTCACATCAATGTCCTAGAAGATCTAGCCAGCAGCTGCCCACCCTGCAGGTTCTGCAGCAGGCATTTGGATGCAGCTCTTCAGACTAATGGACGGGGAAGAAATTTCCTGAAGTTAGAAAGCTTGAAAACCACTACCTGAAGACTTCACAGGGATATGTCAACAAAAGTGAATCTGGTTCCCTTCAGATGTTTTGGACTACAAGCCCCATTAGCCCCACCCAGCATCGTCAGTAATCAGGGATAATGGGAGTTGCAGTCCATGACATCTGGAGGTACCTTTGCATAGATGGTGCTGCAGAGCATACCCACAATGCATGCCCATTCTCGTTTCTACCAGCATTTTCTCACCTTCCTGCCTCAGGCTCCGTACAAGCGTATTGATGCCTCTGTCTGATGCAGATCCCCATTTCTTGTTAGTCTGTCTATCCTGGGACCTGTTGCCAAAGCCATTGTTGCCATCGTCCTGGGCTGGTTCTTCCTCATCCTCACTATCCAAATTATCATCTTCGTCTTCTTCCTCTTCCTCTTCATCAACCTCATCCAAGTCCTTGGAAAATGTATCTTTCTTCTGAAAGAAAGATTGATTGATAACATGACAGAGCACAAACTCAACACCTCCCTCAGAAACTCAAATAAACTCTACAGAGAAATCTCATCACATTCCAGTGAGCTCTGCTCTGATCAGATTCAATGGTCTCACTACTATCAAACCCCAACAGTTCCGCACCATCAGTTTAGCCAATGTACCTTATGTCATAGGAGAAAAGGCTGGAAAAAAGGCTGAAACTCACCCCCTTTCATCACTTGCCAGTTCCACAAACATCCCAGGATGCCTTCGGTCATTCAGATGTTCTGGTCTATCCTTCACACATTCCCTTGTTGTGGCCATGGTGGGTTGGAAATATGTGACTTATAGACAAATGTCTCATAATATGACTCAAACATGTTCTGACAGCTTCCAAGTAGAGGATGTACTAGGTGTAGATAGCAAGAGAGCAGAAAAAGGGGGCTCCATGCTAGTGAAGGGCCACCTGAGTGGAATCTGGTCAACTGTTTTCTACTTGCCTGTTTTTCAAAGAAAAATCTTGCAGGCATCAGCCCAACTGCCTTAAATTCCAATGTGTACTTGTACTTTCTTACATGCAATATGCATTTGTACACATGAGTGTGTACGTACCATGGAATAAACAGGAAAAACAGAAGATGGGCATCATACCGTGCTACAAGATCCAGACTTCTGCTGGCGCTTCTTGTACAGTTCCTTACGATCAGACACCAGCCCCATGCTGAGCAGTTTCTCAATAATGCGGGCCTTGGAACGCTTTGCAGTGATGTGCCTCATTACATTGCCCAGGATATCTACAAAGTAGGAAAGAGAAAGAAGTAAAGGAAATGTTGAGTCAGGAAGAAGGGAGGAAGGGAATGGCAGGGAAGTAGCAGAGAAAAGCCAGGTAGGCTAATAAACCAGTAACAGGAGCTCACTTTACTTCTTCGCTAACCTGTTGTATCAGAAATACATGCATTCCACCACAATATTTTTAGATATGGGTGACAAGGGCCTGATATCCCCTTTACCAAAAATATCAGTTAGTGGGTTAACACTGAAAGGGAATAGAAACTGTATAAAAAGTTATCTTCCAAACACATAACATTTCTAGGTTGATTAAACTTCAGAATTCCCTCAGGTACATTTTGAATCACATGATATTTTGGTGACTTTTTGCAGCTCACAAGGCAACTAATTTCCTCCTCCCAGCTCGTCCAAACCCCATCTAACTTTTCTCCCTCTCCTTCCACTTTCTTCATCCCTCTTCAGCCTCTCAACTTCTCAATCTTCCTGTAGCTTTACCTGGCCAAGGCAAGGAGGAGGACTCTGGTCTTATCTGTCACACCACACTTCTTGGAGGCTTGTAGGAAATATTCCCCTCACATAAGCAAACATGGCGTAAGTGAGGGTTGCAAGGGCAGCTCCAGAATATTAGTTTTGGCACTTCAATCACAGCCGACCCTTTTTTCAGTTAGCCAGTTGGAAGGGCAGGTTTCTATTATTGTCTGGTTGCAGACTTAGAAAGATTCTCTGGCTGCACAATCTTACCATCTGTGTTCTGGTACTCCTCAAAAAGTCGCCGAAGCTCCAGCTCCTGATCCTCTGTCCAGAGCACAATGCGTGTCCCCTTCCTGTTGAAGAAAGTGCAGCACACCAGTAATTATAGGATGCCCACCTCCTCTTGCATCCCAGGATTTCTCCACAGAGGACATGACAGAAGGTGAGGGGAGTTGCAGCACAGAGAAAAGGACAGGACTCTGAAGTGTGAATGAATCACAAAGGGTGGGAGGCGGCACTGCAGACATTTATTTATTTGCATTATTTCTACCCCGCTCATAGCAGCCCGAAGGTGACTCAGAGCTGCACAATTCCATCGTGCAAAACTTCCTTTACTTTTCAGTCCTTTAAATTTATATTGAAAAACACGTGAAAAGCAATGCAGACAACATGTGTGAAAATACTAGGTATCCTAAGACAGGATGCCTGATGTTGTCCTATACTACTTAAGTTAAGTGGCAATGCCTGAAAACACTTTTCTTTTCTCTGTTTATGTGTACATAATAGAAACATACTTTTAGTCCATATGCTTATTATGCAAGCTTCACAAGTGTCAGAAAATGCAGTGATTTTTCAGGAAAAAAACTGTGTTTACTGAGAGTACAACTTTTATATATAGCTAAAGATACATTACACAGAATCTACAGAGAAATAATAAAATGAAAACTTGAAAATTCATTTTTTTCACATTTATTCAGAAATATAATCCAATTGAATGGAACTTATTTCTAAACGAGTTTTCAATGAGTGCATGCCAAGCAGAGGTGTGCAATTTGGCCAAAAGGCATGCAGTTTTGGGGTCCATTGTTAGTTGACCCCTGATTCTGTTTACTGGGAAGTTACTTGAATGGGGAGGAGTGTTGCTGTTTTCATTTGCCAAAGATTAGGCCAATTGGCTAAAATGGGAAACTTGAAAGGTGCAATCCTCAGCCATTTTAAGGCCTAACTTCATGAAACCCACCTCAGTTTTAGACCCCATTTACAATAGAAAATAATTCACTAATCTACTGATTTTTTAGAATTATTTTAAGTTTTAACTGTAACATTTTTAAAAATAAGACAAACCGCAAGAGAGGGTTCTGGGAATTGTAGTCGCTTGTTGTGCCTATTCTCAGCCAATCAGAGCATGGACACAACCAGGCTTTTTATTGGCTGAGAAACAGAGAGAGAGAAACTTCAACTCCAGCATTTACAGAGAACAGTGACTTACCTCTCCTGAGGGAAGTCTCGCATACTGTTGGCTAGGCCCAAGCGCACCAACTGCTTAGCCACCTGCTTACGGGTCCGACTGCGATTGCTTAGGTGAGCCAAAATGTTGTTAAGGATGTCTTCACCTGATATTAAGGGGAACAATGGGGAGAGATGTGGTACAAGCATAAGAACTAGGTCAGGAGAAGCTCTCCAGCCTATTTTAAGAAAAGCCAAAAAGGAGGAGGAGGAAAAGAAGGATAAGAAGAAAAGGCCCCTTCACCCAAGTTCCAACCTATACCAGCCATTTGTATGATCAAAAAGAACCAGCTACTATAAAAGCTTTCCTCCCTGCAGTCCTTAAAATTTTCTGACCCAGAAGTCACCATTACTTTCAAACAGAGTTATAGAACCGAATTCAACCCCCCCCCCCACTCTATTGTTTTTTTTTTAAAAAGCCTAGTATCTCACTTTTGGGCTGACACAGATGACTGTAGCTTTCCAGAGTTTTCTTCTGGACTGCAGGTCCCATAATCCTTCAACATTAGCTATCCCCACAAGAGTTGCTGGAAGTTGTGTGCCAAAAGCATCTAAAAAAAGAGCACCATTGCTCACTCCTGCTTTACACTGACCAGTGGGTAAAAAAGGTCAATAATGATGACGATGATAATAATAATAATAATAATAATAATAATAATAATAATAATTATTATTATTATTATTATTATTATTATATTTCTTATCTGCCTCTCCTCTTGGTTCGAGGCAGGTTACAGAAATACACCTATATTTGTGAACTAGATAAAAGAGGGCATTTTGCACAAATAGAAACATTTATATCAGGATGAAAGCAGCACAATAAATACCATATTCTGCATCACAACTTAAATGTGTAAACTGTCCTCTTTTGGTGTTCCTTGTTTCTCTTAATCTCCATAAACAGAACTATGGTGGGGCTTTTGTGGTGCTGCCATTGAAATTCATTTTCACTTCCTCTGAAATGTGAAAGAGGAAAAAGGATCTCCAACCCTTCCTATCAAATGATTCCAAATTTGGTTCCTATGGGTTGGGAGTTTTAAAATAAAAATTATGGCCAGCCAAGAGATACAGCGGAGGCTCCTATAGCAAGTCTGGTTCTTATAGTCTTTGCTTCATCCCCTGTTCTGCATTTTGAGCAGTGCTCTCTCCCTGCATTGTAAGGTGAGCTGGTACCTTCCACTTCCTTGTACTTGTAGTAGAGTTCCCGCAACTCCTCGTCTTCCTCCTCAGTCCACCTTGAAGCCTTGCAAGAGTCGGAGCTGTTTGGGGTGAAACATTATGCACTGAGAAGGGCTTGATAAACACTGCCCACATTCAAAAAGTATTTTTTTTTGGGGGGGGGGGGAGTAAATAGACAGATTGAGATGTTCTGTAGATAGTTGGGAATCTATTTTTAGGAATCTATTTCCAAAAGGTACCAAATCAACTGAACATAGGGATAATAGAAGAGCCAAACTTAGGAAAATGGCTAAAGACAATTAGTGACTACGGCCAAGTCTCGGGATTCAAGGTAAACTTAGAAAAAACCAAAGCGATAACAAAAAATATTACAAAGAAGGAACAGGAAATAATAGGGAGAGATTGGAACATCCAAATTACACAAAAAATAAAGTACCTAGGTATTACACTTACTGCAAAAAATCTGCAACTATTAGAAAATAATTACATAGAGAAATGGAAAAAAATAAAAAAGGACCTGGAAAAATGGAAGTACATGAAATTATCCCTACTGGGAAGGATAGCAGCGGTGAAGATGTCGATATTGCCAAAATTAGTGTTTTTATTTCAAAATTTACCAATAATTAGATCCCAAAAATTACTAGACAGTTGGAAAAAAGATGTGATGAACTTTATCTGGCAGAAGAAAAAACCGAGAATAAATTACAGAGACATGACAGAAAGGAAAAATAAAGGCGGCCTAGCAACCCCAAACATCAAATTGTATCACGACTCCTGCGCATTAATTTGGATAAGAGACTGGGCAAAATTAGAGAAGGAGAAGATCTTAAATATAGAAGAAGGATTAAGATCAGGATGGCATGCCTACCTAGGCTATGATAAAGCAAGAAAAGAAAAACATTTCGGCAACCATTTTGTGCGATCATCATTAATTAAAGTATGGAATAAACATAAAGATAAATTATACAAAAAAACTCCGTTATGGCTATCACCACTCGAGGCCTCCCAAAGAAGAATATTAGGATGGAATGATTGGCCCAAATACAAGGACATAATAAAAAAAGAAGGTGGAGAATTCAAGATCAAAACTCAACAAGAATTAAAAAATATAAACAATAGAATTTCATGGTACCAGTACGAGCAAATTAAAGAACACTTCAAGTTAGACAAAAAGGATTTGAAGAAGGCACAAACTTCTGGGACAAGATAATGCAAACCGAAAATAAGTTAATTTCAAAGATATATAAGAAATTACTAGAAGAAGAAGGAGACATAGAAAAGGAGAAAACATACATGAAAAAGTGGAAAGAAAACCTAGGAAGAGAGATAAGGAAAGAACAATGGGAAGAAATATGGAATAAGAAATTAAAATATACGAAAGCGATGGAACTTAAAGAAAATTGGTTTAAGATAGCCTATAGGTGGTATATAACCCCACATAAGATAGGGAAATTCAACAAAACTACGAATACAAAATGCTGGAAATGCAGAAAACATGAAGGGACATATTACCACCTATGGTGGACATGCCCAAAAGCAATAACCTATTGGAAAAGTATACAAAAATCATTACAAAAAATCTTAAAGATAAATATACCCCTGAAACCAGAAGCATTCCTACTAGGGATCCATGACATAAAAATGGAGAAGAATAAGGACAAAATTCTATTTCTCTTAACAACCGCGGCCAGAATAATATATGCAAAGCATTGGAAGAAAAAAGAACCTCCGGGAGAAGAAGAATGGCTAACAAAGATCCTGGATATAAGAAATATGGATAAATTAACGTACATACTTTCAAAAAAAAGGGGCACTCCATCAGTAGAAACCGACTGGAAACAAGTAACAACATATTTGATAGAAGAAAAAAATATGAAAATAATCACATGAAAAAGTGGTATGCAAAACAAAAGGGGGAGAGCAGAAGAGAGAAGAGAGAGGAGTAGTTTAGAAGAAAGAAGGAACGAAGGAAGAGGAAGAACCTCCAGAAGATACCGGGAAGTCAACGTCAGATATACACCTATCACACACCCTCTTTTCCCCCACAGTGACCTCCCTAATTTCCTTTTCTACACCTGGCACACCCCTTATTCCAAACAACTACCAAAAGCATCTTCCCCACTCTACCCCCCCTATACTATCATTCCCCCTCTACCCCCACCTCTTGTCCCCCCCCTTCTTATACCTATCTGACCAGATACTGTATGTTTTTAACCAAAACTAATAAAGATTATTTTAAACCAAATCAACTGAACATTTTACAGCAATTAAAAAATGCTGAATTTGCTGTAAAACCAATTTTCCAAAGCCCATATCTAAGTGATTTGATATATTCTGATAATTTTGATCTGTACATAATATTCTACTCCTAGTTAACAATGTGCTCATAACTCATTTTTCATTTTTTTTTTTAAAAATGGCACTTTTTGGAAACAAACTTTTCATTTGTAAAACTTCATTTTTAATTGTAATTGTCATTTTTTTAAAGTAAGGATGTTTCAGCTCTATCTTGTTTATTATTTATTTATTTATTGTATTTATATATCATTTTTCTCACCCCAGGGGGGACTCAAAGTGGTTTACAACAAATAATGGCACAATTCAATGCCTCACATACATATAAACCAAATCATAGATCTAAACAAAACAAATAACTGAGCATTAAAATCAGAAAGATAATTAAATATAAGATAAAGCAACAATTAGATATGAAGACATAAACATTAAAACCACCCAATAAAAACATTAAAATCACATGAACCAAACTCATTTTAACTTTATTGTATGATTGGGAGAAAGTTAATTAGAAAGTATTTAAAATATAAATCTAGAGGCCTGTTTACCAAAAACAAGTGGGAAAACACTAGACAAGAATGGGGTTGCAGAAGGGAACAACCAGAGGGAAACAACAACTACCACTGCTCTTATCTCACCTTGAGATTTGAAAGAACGTCCAATATCCAGGATGAAGTTGCAGCCTTAAAGGGACAACTGCCATTGAATAGTATGCAATGTTCCTCCACCCCCTCAGTCACTCATCAACAGAACACCAAAATCATGTAGGTGGGAAAAGCAGCCATTTTAATAAAAGTGTGACCTGGAACCTTGGCCCTTGAACAGTTTCCCTGACTCATTTCTTTCTAAAAATGGCCTTCCAGAAAACAAGTAACTGAGGAATGATTCTAACTCACCTTCCTTCTTGCAGTGTGGAGTAGCCTTCTGTCATCTCACGTACCACAGCCGTGTTTTTCCAGAATAGCAGCTCCATGTAGGCCTTCTTATTGGTAGATGCCAGTACAAAAAACTTTCCCACAATGTATTTAGCAAAAGTCACCAACTCCTGGAGAGATGAGAAGGAGTCAAAAGTTTGTCAATGCCTTGCTACTATAACAAAGTAGAGAAGTGTCTCCGGATAGCCAGTAAGCTGTTTTGAGTCCCATTAAGAAGAACAGAATCTAAATTAAATAAAGCTGGTTCTTAACCATCCCCTAGAGGACCTAATAAATGCCTAGAGAGAGAATATTTCATCAGAAACTGTAGGTACTGGCCCCACCAATATGGTGGGTTTGCACTGTACTGTCTTTTCCTGACTGGCAGTAGCTCTTTGGGATCTCAGGTGTTCTAGTCTCAGGATTTTTTTTCAAAGGGAGATGAAAACAGGAATTATGACTTTGGATGTAGATTTGGTCTTGGATGTGTTATCTATTAAATGGATGTTTTTTTAATTTATTGTTTCGTTAATCTTTTAATTGTGATTTTATTGCCATTGTTTGCGTGGCATTCAATGATTGCCAGTTGTAAGCCGCTCTGAGTCCCCCTTCGGGGTGAGAAGGGCAGGATATAAATGTCCGAAATAAAATCAATAAATAATAAATACAGCAGGGGTAGGCAACAGCGTCATAACAGAGGCCAAATTTTGCCCTATATCTTTGTTCAATGGGCTATACCAATGTCAAAAAGAAAGCTAAGGCAAAAATGGAGGACACCACACTTTTCCTTTAGCTTTACATTCAACTAATTTTTGGCTCAGCCTGTGTTACAAAGAGGAGAAAATTCGCTGTCACTGCACTAAAACCTACAACTTAGGCAAACACACTTTTTAATCCCCCCCCCCCAATTACATTGCAGTTGTTACACATTTTGGTCAAGATATAATGCAGTGCAGTGGTACCATCGCCAAGCAGCAAGCCATATTTGAACAGAAACTTCTGCCTTTAAACAGAGATTGGGAGAGAGACATGCACACAAGCTCAAGGTTTCCTCACCTTGTAAGCTCCAGCAGCTGGGTCATTGAGGAGGTGATTGAAGAGGCAGAAGATGGAGAGCTGGAAGAGCAAGGCCTCCATCTTGAGGTCACAAGCAATGCGGTGCAACATCTTTACAATACAGTGGTTGGTGTGAGAGCTATTCTGCTGGTAGTTCTTCAAGAGCAGGATGTAGGCCTTCACCACATGGGCGCTAGCAAATCTACCCTCCCCAGAGATGTAGGTATTAGATTATATTTAGTGTATAAAGCAAGGAGAGATATTTACAGCCAGGTGCATGTGTGCATGCTGCATCTCTTCAAAAGCACAAGTGCAGTTTCCGAAAAGTTTCAGACTGTGTATCTGTTTTAAGAAACCTTTTAGTCCTTGTGGATGGGGCGGGGGGAAATGGTAGAAGAGTTTCTGGGATAATTTGAAACAACCAGTTCCATAGGAGATGAGAGGATAGGAACAGGAGAGGAGATGCTTTTCTCATGCCTCTCAATTGTTGACTTCTCCATTGCTTTCAACTTAATATTGTCCCGTTGTTGGGAGCAAGGCAAATTATTAATAAGTCTGCTTATTTATTATTATTATTATTATTATTATTATTATTATTTACACCATTTCTACCCCGCCCTTCTCACCCCCGAGGGGGGACACAGGGCAGCCAACATAGGCAGCAATTCGATGCCACAATATTAGCAACACAATGTAAAAATCATAATATATAGCAAATTAAAAACAGTAACATTAATTATAATCACATAATTACATAGCCATCTAATCACATAGTCAACATAGTCACAAAATCTTACCGCTTCATGTAGTCCAGGAAGCTGAATTCCTTTTCAGAAACATGTACAGATGCCAATTCCTCCTCTGCTACCTCCTCTTCCTCAGCTGCCTCCTCTGATTCCTCTACTTCTGGTGTTATTTGCCCTGCACACATTGGAAGCGGTGAGGGAAAGGTAAACAACATGGTTCCTGGTTCCATTCAAAAACACTTATCACAGTACCAGTCTATAATGAGCAAAAGGGAGCAGCAAAGAAGGGGTTTGTAGGGTGCCATTATTTCAAGATTAACATGTCTCACATTTTTAAAGAGAGGATGAACAGAATGAATATGCATGCAAGGCCACCAACTTGAAAACAACATCAATCAATCATCAGCACCATTAATACCTTTCTTTTTGTCAATCTTGTATTTGTGGAACAGTTTGACTTGAAAAGAATATCAACCATCTCTCTCCCCAGACAACCCTCTCTCCCTGTTAGGCATACTTTCAAAGGCTTTCTTATAATCTAACTTTATTTTTAAATAAGAAGCTTGAATTGTATGTTTTCATTCCAATTCTATTAAAACAGTTTTTATTTAGAAATGTTTTTATAGTGACTACAATAACCTCAAGACACCAAATCCCATCTGCTCTTGGGAACTAATCTGGACTGGAAATAGTACATATTTGAACGAGAGTCTGCAAACAAATCCCAAGTGCTTTAGGTATAACTGACAAAATCACCTCTAATTATTCCTTGCCTAAGAAAACCCTGTGAAATTTGTGGTCATCATGAGTCTACAGGCAACTTAAAGGCATATATGCTAGGAAAAACAGCTTTTGAAAATCCTTGAAAAAGCAAATAAATCTTCTCTCTCTGTCAGTCTATGGAAAGCACCAGAGACAACCAGATACCTAGAAACCCTCCCTACCCATCATCTTTGTGGCTTTACTGTGAAAGAAGGCTGGTTCTATTCTGTGACTCCACTGGCGGATGCTGGATACTCACGGGGTAGATTGGCAAAGAAAAGTTGTTTTAGCAGCTCAGCCTCTTCATCTGGATCAAGTGAGGGTGATCCAAAAATGTCCCCTTCTGGCCATACCTCCCTTAGAAAACAAAATTCAAATGAAAGAATCGGCTCCTTTAAGGGGAGTACCTCCTTTACATTTCACCCATCATCAAGCGATGAGTGATATAAGCAAAATGAAACATATATACATAATGTAGACACTTGCACACAACTATAACACTGATCAACAGCTGGTGTCTGGCAAATTACTACTCTTGCCTTTTATAAATTCATTCTAATCATCCTTATAAATGTACAAGTTAAATTACATAAACACGTCAGCCCTCCACGTTTGCTGGGGCCAGGAGAAAAGAAATTCTTGCAAAAATGACAAACTACAAATAAAAAACACTATTCTTTTGCTTGATAGATCCTTCCCAGGTATCACTAGGTCCTCAACTGTGACTGTATGGTTAATGTCTGGTGGAACTTGGTGGCAGAGTTGCACTGTAGGACCTAGAAATGCCTAAGAACATTTCTGATCAAATCCACAAATAATAAAATTAATAAAAGTCAAACCCACAATTTTGGTGGACCAACTGTAGCACAGTAACAGTGCTGTATAAAGCTAACAGTCTTGCTGTGACTTAAGATGCGGGGACCGTATCATGGCAACCCTTCCTTACACTGCGCTCACAGGTACTGGTCTATTTAATCACAAGCAAGCCATACTTTTTAAATGGCCCTTCTTTTAACAACTAATGAATTTGAGTTTTAGATTTTATATTAACTTTTTAAATATAAAAGTCCAGTTGACTATGACCCTTTAATATTTTGAGAGCACAAGCACAGGCGGCTCCCTCAGATTCTATCAGAGCACGACATGTAGAGAAACCAAGTTACGTGGGCTTTCCATCGGAGTAGTTGCACTGTTTGTATTCATAAAAACAAAATATTTGGTTTCTATCTTTTTCAAGTCCAATCCTAAGTTTTAGGTATTCCTTAGAATGAATCCTGCATACCAGCAACAGCTTACAACCCAGCAATTTTGAATCCACAAAATGCTGAGATGGTGATGCCCCCTGAAAACTGCATTCTTACCGTGCTGAGCGTAAGAGGGAGAGCGCCTCGGGACCCTGGCCAGCCCGGAGGCTGTCTTGGATCCGCACCATGGCCTCAGCTCGCTGCTCCTCCAGTGGAACTTCTGATGCAGCATCAAAAGGGACGACGTCTTCTGGAAGAGGCTCAGAACTCTGGCAGAGAAAGGAAGGCACTTTGTGAATTCCCAAGTGGGCAAGTTAGAAACTTTAGAGAAAATTTCAATGCAGGTGAAAAAATGGTTTTCTACCATTTTCTGCAAATGCACATATTAAAAAGACAAAATGCCTGTGCCGGGAAGCCCCCCCCCCCCCCCCCCCCGTCCGACTTTAAAGGAATCAAAAATGCAAATTCACTGTCATCACCTATTCCTCACATATTTGCATTCCATACATCAACCTTTTTTCAAATCTTCTGAAACAAGATGAAAGTGATGGTAATGATATTTATTTATAGCAGCACAAGTGGATTTTGGGAGAAGAGATTGTAGCTCAGTGGAAGCAAACTAGTTCAGCCCCTGCCAGCTACAGATAAGGGTGAAAAAAGTATCCTTCTAAATTCTTGGAAAATCCTTCCCAGTGAGCCTAGGCAGCACTGAGCTAGACAGACTTGCAGTTTGCAAGGCCAGGTTCCTGTGGTCCATTATCTTGCAAGTTGGAGAATTCAACAAAGGACAGAATCTCTGGCACACTCAGAACAGCTATTCTCCCCCACTTTGAAAAAACTGGAAAACAGACCATGTTGTTCCACCTCCAGGACCAAGCCCATAACCTTTCTTCCCTACAGCATTATCCTACCTTTATACATTTACTGATTTGATCAACCAGCTGTGGCCACATCTCCTCCAGTTCTTCGGAAGTACGGATCTGAACATCTGAACCAGCAGGCCGAGCCTGGCGCTTCTTCTTCCTCTTGACCTTTTTGCTCTGCAGCAATACAAGCCACAGAGTTTTTGAGCCAGCTTTTGAGGAAAAGGGAAAGTTGATGGATAAGCGTAACATCTCCAGAATCTTTAATCCACTGGTGCTGTCATTTGGGGTGGAGGGGGGGGGGGGGGACAAAGCAGCCATCCATCACAAAGTAGACAGTCTTCAAGTTAACCAGAGTATAAACTGGAGAAGGCTCCTGGACCCTTAATGGCTGTATAGAAGAGGAAATTTCAACAGGTGTCGAATGGCAGACAAGAAGCCACAACAGTTGAAACTCCCACTTCCATAAAATCATTAAAGGCACAAGATTCTTCTACCGTTTCCACCTCAGCAACCTTACTAAACTCAGACTATAGCAATCATCCAGCAGTGGAGTTGCTCAGTTGCACAGCATAATGATGCTACTATAGCACTACACCATCTGTATATTGCACAGCACAGAGTACTTACACTAGTCTCTGCTTCCAAATGTTAAGGGAAGGAAAATGCTTCTTTTGTTAGGCCATTTGTGTGTCAGGTTTTTTTCCCATTATTTTGGTAAACTGCCTTTACTTGTAAAAGAATGAGCTTGTAAAGAACCTTCTTGCAATGCTTCATTTTAAAAATGGTGACCTTAATAACTGTCCAGCTGGGTGCTTTTTTGAGGAGGAGCCAATCATGTGGAAAAGCAGTAATATAGTTCCTTCTAATCAAGATTTTTAAAAGAATACAAGACTTCCCGATTATAAGTGACAATTATGACTTTTCCCCCAGAAATTAAGATGAAAGGTCTCTGAATTTATTCTTGAAAGTCTATTTTTTAAAAACATTTTTCAAATACAAGGATTTGTTTTAACTTGTTTATTTTGGAAATTTTAAATTTTAGAATTATAAAAGAGAAAGACACAAAGGTATGCGGAAACTAGACTATAGGAAAGAGCAAACAGTTCTGATGATTCAAAACCTGGCTTCTTGCCTTGCAAAATAATCATCCTCCAAATAGTGTGGTACAGTGATTCAAATGTTGGAGCAGCATCAAGAAAAACTCCCACAGGACATTGCTCTGACCTCTCTCTCTTTCTCATCTCTAACCATCGGCATAAACTTGTGATCAGGAGAATAGCGGGGCGGGGGCGGGCGGGAGAGAGAGACCCTAACACTACCTTTAGCTTCTTGGATAAAGACTGGGCAACAAAGCTGGGTGTCTTTGGTCAAAAGCTTCTCAAGGGAATGCATGAAAATCTGATGAGCGAAATAGATGGGTTTTGCCCCATACATCAATATACCTGGACTACTAAGTTGTTCCTCCCTTTGCAAAATCTTTCGAGCATCTTCAAGAAAAGGTGAGTGGTCTCCACCAGATCTTTGAGAAATGACCGAGGCTGCTTTGTCTCATCAAACTTACGGAAGAGGGTGAGGAACAGCTCACGATATTCCATCATGTAGAAAATGTTATCTGGGGGAAGAAGGAAGTAGATCATTTACATTACTGTTTTGTAAGAGTAAAGAATAAGGATTGGAAGAACAGGTTTCTCCTGAAAATAAATCTGATTAGACTAGCACTTGTGAAAACTACCTTGTCCCTAAAGCTCATTCAGAAGTGTAGGATAGATGCTCCCAGGTCCAGGCTAACAGGGCAAAGGAAAAGGACTTTGCATTGCTCAAGAGTTTTTCTGGGGAATACATGTGGTAAGATAGGATAATAAACCTTTTCAAATGCCTTTAAATTTGTAGTGTGGATGTGTCTTCGACCCACTTATTGACTTAAAAACCTATGAATTTCATAGGATTTTCTTAGGCAAGGAAAATTCAGAGGTGGTTTTGCTAGTTGCTTCCTCTGAAATATAGCCTATGGCACCTGGGATTCATTGGTGGTCTCCCATTCAATTACTAAGCAGAGCTCACCAAGATCAGATAGAATATTTGGCATACTTATATCCTTTAAACATAACTTTCTTGTTACACCACTAAAATGTGTTCACCCCCACTCATCTCATTATTTTTTAAACATGACTTTATTATGTCCTGTTTACAAAAAAATCTAGATGATTACCCAAGAAAATGGCATTACAGTGCAGGAAATCTATTTTCCAGTCAGCTCAAAATTTTAAAATCCTTACTTTTTAAAATATGGCTGCTGTGACGGATAGTTTCATCTTGCGAATGGTCCATTTCATGCATAGTCATCAGCAACTCCTGGTAGGCTTTGAGAGCCAGGTGCATCCTGGAAGATAAAAACATGGGTGAACAAGAGGCAAGAGTAACTTCAAATCCACACAGAGATGTGAGTGAAAGGGGTATTCCAAAGCACACAATGCCAAGGAGTAGGAAACTTACAAGGCTATTTCATAGCAACTGGCTCTCACCTTCTAGACCAAGATGTTGCCTCTTTCTTATCCATAAGCAGCATTTCATAGTAGTTGGTCAGACTCTGTTCAATGAAGTGAAAGGTCCGGACCCCAACAGTCTCAGAAACCAGCTGAGGCTGGAAAGAGTACGCCCGGTTGAAGGCCATGAAAAAAGCTACTGCCCACAAGTAGTACGTCTCATCATGCTGCTGGGCTTTCTCTCTCATCAGGTGATCCTGGGGAATGGTGGAGAAGGAGACAAGAGAATAGGGGTTTGTTTTCTTTTACTGAGCCTCCTTCTCTTCACAAGGTCTACATCCACTCCTGGGTGCTTTGGCTTCTTCAGGAAAACGGGTATTTTTCCAGTGGAATGTTTCTCGTCTCTGTCCAACACTAGGATCAATACATTACACAGGGTTGTGGGAAAGGACATTCACCAATGGGTTGCAGAATGCCCCCTTGAAGATATCTGGCTGCTAACGTTAGCCCAAGGTCAGCATCAACAGAAAGCATGGCTATTCACACAGGTTTTTGAGAGTCAGTGACCACAGCTTGGATTTGGCTTCCTGATCTGAGGGCTTTGTTTTCTGTTTTGCTCATTTGATCATCCCTTTGTGTTTTTCAAAAGATGGCATATTTTTTACAGACTACACTGTGCCCTAAGGTGGGACAGAAATCATATTCAGATTTAGGGCCACCCCACCACAAGAGGAACTTAAATGTAGACAACAGACTATGAATAAAGATCAACCCTTGCTAGAAAAGTGTACACCTGCATCCAAAACTAAAAAAATGGAAAAATGAGTTTCAGAAAATCTTCTGACATCAAGAGCACCACTCTGTATCCTCTTTTTCTAGTAGAACTGCCAGTGAAAACAAAACAGGGCTACTATCCTTGTAATGGTTGCATGGAAGAGGAAATTTCTGCAGGTGTTGATTGTGAGGCAACCAGATAACAAGCAATGCCTAACAACAACAACAACTTTATTTTTGTACTCCGCCTCCATCGCCCCAAAGGAACTTGGGGTGGCTTACATATGGCACAAAGTGCCGAGACAAAGCGTAAAATAAATAAATAAATAAATAATCACACAGTACATTACAAGGCAAAAACTATAGCATATAAAAGAGCAATTTAAAACTCAGAAACAACGCCCAATGACCAATAGTGGCAACTACTGTAAGACATGGCCAAACTGTAAACAAGACAAGGGAATAGGATAGTGCACACTGTAGCTAAGGAAGTGGGCATGGGATGAAAGTGAGGTGCTGTGTCATTGATTGCAGACCATTGGGCCTATTGAAATTCCCTCTTCTATACTGGCATTAAAAGCACAGGAGCTGTTTCCAGTTTTCACTCTAGCAACTTTATTCTCTAATGGCATTCATTCCCACGTTTCCTCAAAGGATGGTTCTCACCTTGACTAGATACATGAGGCGATTATAGCAATTCTCCAGAAACTCCACACAGAACTCTTTCAGGAAGAGCCGCACATTGAGGGCTGAGCGGCGACTGGTAGACTCACTATCATGGGCGAGCTGTCGCCTCTTTGGCACCCTCCGGACTTCCTTGCCCAAATCGTGGCTATAGTTCTTCACCTGAAAATACAGATGAGTTATGAAGATGAGAAATGAGAGAAATTCCAACAAATCTGATGAAAAAATGCTACACAACGAGAGGACATTTCCTTATCTTTGCCCAGGCTAAAGAGAATTGGCAGCCATCCAGAGCATCTTCTTTCCACAAGAAACATACCTCTTATACTATGCTTTAAATGTCATAAACCACAGAAGATTTGGGAAAAAACAAGCTGGCAAAGAATAACTAAATTCGAAGTTTTCTATGATGCAGCTATGAAGCTGAGGAATCATAATAAGCATGTGCAGAGTATGGAAATGAGGGCCTACAGCCAAAGAAATCTAGCTCTAGGCATTTTTGAGGATGGTGAGAAACTACAAAGTCTACGAAGAAATTTACTTCTTCTACAAATGAAACTACAAGGCCCTGAACTGTAAGGAACACCTAAGATGTAAGGGAGCTCTTCAGTTCTGCCAGTTTAAAAAGCAGACCAAAAACAAACAAACAAACCCTAGAAAGAGAACAAAACGTCAGTGTTAATAATAGTTTTGTCTCCATATTGTCAAGTAGACATAACACACTAATTCTACTAAAACAAACTATCATATACTGTATTATGTATGAGCGTTTCTCTGACACACCTTTCAAAAATTATTTTGGGGCAGTTTATATATGAAAGCTTATCTTGAACATGGTTTTCATCACTCTAAAAATATTCCATCCCCCCCCCCCCATTTTTCTAGAAAAGAAGAAAAAAACAGAAAAAAAATCTCATGAATTTCCCCCATTTTTCTCCAAGGCTTTCACAACTTTCTCTTTAACACTACTTCCTTTTCATCCCAACCCATGCCCATCACACCATCTGGTACTAGAATGCTGCCTTGCAGCTACCTCACAACTGGAAATCAGTCTCCAGGGCAGACAATGTTGTCTGGAGCCATAGATTTTAGAGCAAATAGACAAAGCAGGTGGTGTGTCTACCTACAGCACCCCATCCACCATTTTTCCCTGTAAGTCCTTTCCTAGCCCCATTCTAGGCAAGGTAAAGTTCTCAACTTGATTGATCTGGGCATGCAAAACACACTGCAACCACCCCAGCACAGTGACATGAACTGACTTACATTGTGTAGACTTTTATGCATCACTACATCTCTTTCTCCAATAGATTTCAATCCCTGGATGACATAGCACCCACCAAAACGAGAGTGTCTGCAGAACGGGAGAAACAGACATTACTGGATTGGAAGCAGTTGTCAGAAAAAGCAGCATACAGAAGCGACAGGACACAGGAAAGGGCCAAAAACCATGACCAGGTTCTTGGGCTCAGCTATCTAAAGTATTTCCCTTGTCAGACAGGGGAGGTAATATGTGATACCCTCTGAAGAAAAAGTAAGGTTGCTTACCTGTAACCATGTTTCTTCTAGTGGTTAACTGTGGTATTTCACACCTGTGGTATTTCCCTGCGTCCACGCAGCTGACTCGGATCTTTCTTGAAAGCTTTTCCTAATTAGGGACTCCAGCCCCGCCCATCTACTCCTAATAAAGCCAGGCAGCGGGGCTTGGAGCCTTAGTTCCGTACCGTGAAAGACAGTTGGAGATAAAAGGCATGACAGAATGTGGGGAGGATGGGCGGGTTGTATGAATTTCACAGTTAACCACTAGAAGAAACATGGTTACAAGTAAGCAACCTTACTTTCTTCTGCGTGGTACTGTGAAATCCACACCTGTGGTAGACTAGCGAGCAGTCCCAC